GAAATCAGGGAGAAAGTTTTCCTCTGCTCTAAGGAAAAAACATAAAGGCCAGATTAAAGTTTTGCTGACAGATTATAGGAAAAATCAAGGCTTCTTGAACTTTTTCTTTAAAATTTATCTAAAAAAATTAACAGAACCTAGAAGTTAATTGTTTGGTCTAGTATAATGGGCATGATGGTATAAACAATGTTCTTTTTTTTTAAGGAAACTATCCTCACATAAAAGAGCTGGAACTGTCATGGTTTTGAGAAGCTGCAGCTGCAAAATCTAAGAATATAAGAAAAAAACAAAGTAGCACAACTTTAACAAATTTCTCTTCAGTAAACCAAAAAAGTTCCATATAACAAATAACTCAAGTACTAGTAAAAAAAAATGTTTTGGTGAAAACACTACTGGCACAATAAGTAGCTCAAAAATACTGGTAAGTTTCATGTCTGAACATTTTATCAGATATAAAGATCTGTGTGAAATCTCATGTTTTAAAAATGAAGATAAATCAGCAATAAGGTTAAAATGAACACATGGATTAAACAATCTATAAACTGAAATCCATCAAACACAGACCTTATCAAACAAATGTTTCCAGTACATCATGCACACCCTTTAAAACAGGATAAAGTACCTCTGATGATAATGTTTGTTTTCTTGACCTTTCTTGACCTTCAAATTGTGAAGCAAACTCAACAGATAAAAGACAACATTTAAACATCAAAATTTGGACGCTCATCTTGACAAAAAACTTAAGCTGTCTATATTTGTTGCATTTTCCTGTTTAAAACAAACTTGTTTTCAACCAAAAATTAAATACAATTATTTAAGTGAAAGTTAAAAGTACAGCGCTGTAAAACTACTCCTAAAAAAACATTCTTAGCTAAACATTACTCAAGTATGTTTCACTAGTTGCTACCCACCTCTGACCAGAGCATGCCAGTACATCTACTAAGGCCTGGCTGCAACCTATTAGTTCATCCCTTCCATTCATGAGACAATGCAAACTCATGCTCTCACCAAAGGGTAATTGAGCAAAACTAAATCACACGACAGCAATGTATTCCAACTGTGCATGTTACAAAGGATTTGTTCCCAGGGTCATACCTGTTGCAAGCCCACAGTACTACCAAGTGCTTCACCAATTACGGTAGCCCTGTGCAAAAGTTTAGAAACATAAATCCTGGGATGGTCATTTCAAAAAAAGTAAAAAAAAAAAAAAAAAAAAAAAAATCCACTGGACTTTGTTTCCAAATTTGAAATCTGGAACCAAAGTCCAGAGAATTTTTTTTTCTATTGCTTATTTGGAATGACGATGACCTGGATGACTGAGAATCTTCACCAGCATACTGGGATGGTGAAGCCAGAGCTCAATCTCCATTGAGATGTTGCAGGAAGATGTAAAAAGGCATGCATATGCAGGAAACTTCTTGAATATCTCAAAGCTGAGAGTGAGGAAAAAAGGAGCAAGGTTTCCTCAGACCAATGTCAGATAATGATAAATCGCTATAGGCAGCATCTCACTTAAGCTGTTTAAACCACAGGCTGTAACACTAGCTATTGGGCAGATGGGTGTCCGGTTTCCCAACTTTGAATACGTCATTTGGAAAATATCTGGAAAACCAGATTATTTTAGGCTTTTACCTGGACTGAAATGATTTTCTTTGTCAGAGATGAATAATAATAAATCTAAATATTAGACATCAGTGTATGGAGATTTCCTCTAAAAGAGCACAGTGTTTAACAAGACGCCCTGATTATTTTCACTAGGGGTGATGTATTCTATTATGATTTAGATACCATCATATAAAATACACAATAAGAAGACTTTAAATATTACAAGCCTTTAGCTTATGTCTTCTGATTAGTTCTCATGATTTTTCAGCAGATACGTAAAATAAAGGTTATGGTGCAAATTAACCCTCAAACAGCTTGTAAAAAAATCAAGAAAATTCATAGAAACAAAGATTTGAACGTAATCAGACCTTAACCTTTATCAGTTAAGCAATTATTTCATTGCTTGTCTGATCCAGGTGTTAAGGATTCACTGAACTCTACTGTCCCCAAGTGGTCAAAAGAGCCAGGACTGAAAAAATAAACATAAATCCACTTGAATATTTTTACACACTTATCATGTTATGTGGTTGATTTTAACAGTTTTTTGTTATCAGCTTCATTTTACTTTGTAAAAAAAAAAAAAAAAGACCCAGCAGAGCACATGAAGTTCAATGTAAACAAAAGAAGCGTCTTAAATCAAATATAGAGAATATTTTATTTAAAAAAGTAAATAAATAAAAACACAAGGTTTCAGTTTCAAGAGGATTATCATTTAAGTTGCCAACTGAATGGGAATTATGTAGTAAATATCAAAAAAGATTAGATTATTGACTAATTGAAAAAAGTTCCACAAGAGAAGAAAACTTGATTTAATTGCAAAATTAGAGAACATAACCTCTAAAGAGATTTTATTATTCCGTGAGCCATTCACATAAATATGGTTATGATCAGAGAGTAGATTAGCACAGCTTCCTGAGGTTTATTTTACTTCCCAAGAAGCACTACATCGTGTTCTAGCTGTCCAACTTGGTTAAAACGTTGATATATTAGAAGTCATAAGACTGAGGAAGTTTTCTCTGCATGAGTGCCATCCCTCAGTGCTGGTGTGTGCTCCTGCTGATGTCTGCATATCCTGCCTGCCGCCTTGTTAATCCAGAATACCCTAATGACTTCCTCTGTAGCTACTGAGCCATGCTGTAAAGTCGTCCAGGTTTCCATGTAGCTCAAAGTGAGGCAAGGAAAAATGGGAGAAAAAAGGGTCAATAGACTATAGTGGAACATCTCTGTCTTTATTCACTACTGAATAACACACATTTTTATAATGAGAGGTTAAAGTGAAAGGTTTTTAGACCTTCCACCTCAAGCTGTAATGATTTTCTACTTTTAATCAGTTAACATGAGAAAATTTTCTACATTTTTATTGCAGATAGACATGATACATAACATTGATCAAAAAGCCAGACTTGTCGTTTATTGCAGTTTTATTGTGTCAGAAAATACAACAAACTTCTTTTTTTAAACTGCAAATAAATCTGGTGGTTCAACTAGAGCTTTATGGAGGCTCTTTTATATTGATATTAAGAAAAACATGAATATGAATACCTTGAAAGCTGGTAAAAAAAAAAAAAAAAAAAAAGTATTGTTTTTGCAAATGTTTCTTAGCTGACCTGGGAGGGCCTTGGGATTCCCACGGAGGAGCAGGCCCAAATGGCTGGGGAGAGGGATGTCTGGGCGTAAGATGGATGGATGGATGGATGGATGGATGGATGGATGGATGGATGGATGGATGGATGGATGGATGGATGGATGGATGGATGGATGGATGGATGGATGGATGGATTTGCATGTGAAAATAAATGTCTCTTTAACAAAGATTACTGGGACTCTACATTTCTTCGGTGTGACATTATATCAAACTTGTTGCCTAATCAAAACATTGCGGTTTTATTTACATAAATGAAAAGTTTTCTTGGATACCTAAAGCCTTGCCAGCATGGCACTGAATGTCTCCATCTTGTGGATGACTAATCGTACTACTGGAATGAAGTGGTATACAGTTGTGCTGAAAGTTAACATACCTTCCCATTAAAGAAAAGTATTAATTCATACCAGTAATTCAAATAACACAAAACTGAAAAGGTAATTAAAAAGTGCAGTAAATGATTAGTTAGTAAAGTTAAATATTTAAGATATGTTAGAGGAAGGGTATGTACATTTTCAAGCACAACTGTATTTTATCAGTACTCTAGTCCTTAACTGATGATGACTGTCTTGTTGGTTCTTTGACGAGTGTTTAGACATCAGGATCCTAGAACCTTTTAAGCAGATGACCCCAGCTCTTCTTAGAATTGCTCAGGTAACCTGCGGCTTTCATCATAGATGGATGCTTTCCCCGAATCTCTTGTGAAATTTGGTCGTAGTCTGACCAGCAGCATCTTTCAAAGGCATAATGGCACATGTGTGTAACCTACTTATAGGGAACAATAATTAACAAAAGTAAAAAGGCTTTAGTAGCAACTTCAATTCAAAACAAAAATTCTGATATTTTTAATTCAATAATAGTAACACTTATAGCACTCTTTCTTGAGGTCATTTGGATGGTAGCAGAAATAAAAACACATAATGCGTAGGAGGATTTTGTTTGCAACTGAAAGCTTTGCATTAAAATGCATTTCATTTAATAAATCTTCATAGAAAAAAGCCAATATGCAGATTTCCATAATAAAAACCAAGTAATTCTCCAAACCTTTGGTACACAATTCTATACTGAATATATTTTTTTGATTCTTTACAAAATATTGACAGTTATTGTTTGTGTTGTTTTTTTTTATTTCCTAGATGTAATCCACCTCACTGATGTCAAAAAGTTTTCTCCACAGACAAATATTAAGAACTCTCATTCAATTCAACTAATTGTTTCTACTGCATTTTGCACCATATCTTTTTATTTATTTATTTGCACTGCTCCAGTGGTGATTCTAGACCAAATGTACCAGGGGGCCAGGAGGGGGCCATCTAGTTTTCATTGGGGCACAGAAAAACATAAAAATTAAAAACAGGGCAAGGGATTGAAATACATTAAGATAGATGCATGAAATGAAATTCCTATTCAATTAGATTTAATTAAAAATATATGTCTTATTAAGTCAATATAATATATATAAATAAATATAAAATTAGTTTTCTGTAAAATCGGAATTAGAACTCAAGAAAAACTGATAAATTGGATACAAGATGAAAATAAAACTTGTCTACATTGAGATTTTTATTTGATCTTCTTTGTCGCCCCCTTGTGACCAATCACTCTAAAGAAGTTTTTCCGCTTTTTCCAAAGTCTATTGTGATTGGTTTATAACACCACAGTCCGTTTCGTGACCAATGGCACTCACTGTGCTCCACTTTAATCCATCTAAGCTCCACCTCTTTCTTTCTCCACCTCTTCCCCCCCCCCCCCTGCAAACACCCATGCAGCTCCCCCCCCTCCCTCCCGTGGTGGACAGACAGTCTCTCAATGGACGGCGAGGCTGTTTGATCTGAAAACATAATCACAGTTATCAGAGCGCCTATAGATGCGCTAAATAGAAAAAAGGGTAAACAATCCTCAGAAGCTCCATTCATTCGGATTCCTTTCAAAGTGGGTGAAATATTTTGCATTGTTTTATTTATTTTAGATTAACACCGCTGCAGGGTGGAGGTGAACTATGATCGGCGGTAAACGCGCAAAGGAAAACGGAGATCTGGATCAACATAATCCATCTGGACCTGAGGGGCGGTGGAGAAGATGAGGACTGCGATGGCTCCGAAGATGAAAACAGAAATATTCCTATTTGTGCACTGGGGTGAGTACATCTGCGTCTGTTTTCTTCCAACCATCTCACCATCTTTCACATGCATGGACGGATTTTATTCCAGTGGTTGTTTTTAGGAGAAATCTGGATCCCAGACATTTTATTTTGTGTTTATTACCTTGCTTAAGTCCACTGGTGTTTTTTTCTCTCTCAATTCAATTCAGTTTATTTCTATAGCGCCAATTCACAACACATGTCATCTCAAGGCACTTTACAGTTCACCAGATCATCCAGTCAAATTGATTCAAAGTTTTCTATCTAAGGAAAACCAGTTGATTGCATTGACTCAAATGCAATACTCACTCTAAACATGCTTGTAGCGACAGTGGAGAGGAAATCTCCCTTTTAACAGGAAGGAACCTCCAGCAGAACCAGGCTCAGTGTGAGTGGTCATCTGCCGAGGCCGACGCCTCTTATTTTAAAGCTGTCCCTAGCATTGGGATTTTATTCCTATATATTGGTCATTTGGCAGAGTTATTTTTGCAAAACTAAATCCTAAGCTGTATTGTGATGTCCTCTGTTTTCACTGGGTGGTTTTAGTTCAAATCAATATGCTGTCATTGCAGTGTGTGGTCAATGAAGTACACAAAAAGAGACACATTTTTCAGGTAACATGTAAAAGGCTCAATTGACAATACAGATAAACAATACTGAAAATATAATAATAAAGCAGCTCTGATTATGTAAAGTTTGACTGGTGGCAGTTTAAAAAGTTGACACAATAGCTTAATCCACTGGACTTTTTGACTGTTTTACAAGTTTGAAGACATTTCCCTTCCCATCCAGGAAGTTTTTTTAAATTCAAAATGTCAGAATTACCGTTGAGTTCCAAGCTTTATAGTGAGCCCAACAAAGAATTGTTTTGGCCTAGAAAACATGCAAATTGAACCGGAAGAACGGGTCCACCCCTTAGTATAGGGGGGTCGTTGAGGTATTTGTTAGCCTGCAATACCCAATACTGGTCTATGCCTCTTAAAGCGGGAGTCATTACGGGCATTGTTGGCCTGGCTGACCAGGCGAGTTGTCTTGGTTCCCTGCATGGTGATGAGAATTATGATTGCGGGAAGTAATTAACTCTATTGCTGCATTGTAGGTTTTTTGAGAGCTGAGTCCAACTTGCTATTGGTCCATCAAGTGGCAAGAAAAAGCTTCCTGGATGGGAAGCGAAATGTCTTCAAACTTGGAAAACAAATTCCAGTGGATTGTTTTTTAACTTTTTTGGAACAATTAAATAATACTTAATCAGTTCCAAAGGGGAATTCAGTGTTATTATAACTGTTGTATGACAGTCTGATGAAGAGGATGCTGAAATTAGTTTGTCCATAATGGTTTTCATTGTGAGAAAAATTCTTTTCTGTAAAATTATTTCCAGAGGAGTTCTGAATAGAGCTGGCATTTTTTTGCCTATCATATCTGCTTCCCTCACTGTCTTCTGCAGGGCCTATTGGTTTAACCTGGCATAAGAGATTTTGATACAGTGTAGAATTCAAATTGAACCACACATATCAATCTGGAAAGCCTCATATAGAAAGTGTTTGCAAAAGGGAGGCACATTCAGTACAATTTTATCAAACTGATTGGGTATCTGCCTCCCATGTTATGTTTTTAGCCAATAACAGTAGAAGTAGCAGGGAGACGAGCAAACATCTTCCCATCCACGAAGGCAAACCAACGTGTCCTTTTGCTTTCTTTCAAAAAGAATTAGAGGGTATTCCAGCTAAAAATTATGCAAACTGATGTCATACACGTTGCTGCATTTCATTGATCCGAAACACTATTGAGGGTAACACATCTGACTGCTCCTGGCAAGATGTTTTGTAGTGAGTTTGTAATTCACATATGTCACAACAAATCCTCTTTCTTGCAACAACTATTAGCTTCTGTCTGAGAACATATCATGCAATATCGTGAACTTGTCTTAATTTGTCTTGGGTGAGCTCAACAGAAGATTGATGGCTGATCTCATATTGTGCAGTCTTTGCAGAGATTGCATGTTGTTATCTCAGCAAACTGACTTTGCCTATATATCCAAGAAAGCCGAATTGCAATCCCTGTAAGAAGATATAAATCTTTGATTAATTTCAGTTAGAAATGTAGTAAATGCTGCAGGTTTGTATAGATGCTTTAGGGGTTTCCACACCTTTTACTGAATGTCCATGCTCTCATACCTTCAGAAGCAGTTTCCTGTGGGGCTGTTAGATCGTGCAACACCAATCTCTGTTTGTATTTTGGTTCAGACCTTATCCCCCAGGCTCTTTATTGCATAGGCTCTAATCCATACAGCACTGGGTATTGTGGTGTCCCCCAGCCCTGTCGGACTGTCCAATGTTAATTAGGACGTGATCGGCTTAAGCTTCTTTGTAGTCTCCCATGACTTTATCTATGTGGGGTTGTATGAGTGTGTGTTGTGATCAGGCGGGTTGTTGCTTATGGGATATCTAGTCCTTCCATTACTGTTCACTCAACCACTTAAACAGTGGATGGGAATTTTACAACTGCCTTAACTTGTTTTTCTAGTTGTGAAGGTGGTTAGCCATCTTTTGAAGTGTTTCTAGTTTACAGTAACTTGGGGTAAGACACAGTAGCAGTTTAGCTGTTTTACCTCCTGCTTTCCAGGCAGATCAATATCTGCACTGCCACTGATTCAATAAATGTGATGACATGGTACTTTGAATGTTGGGAATTCTTGCTTTGCATTTGTTTTCTGTTTATTTGTTTATATTTCTATGTTCAGCAGACCTTGTTATAACCTGGCTAGGAGTGGACAGACCATAATATGTTGATTCGTCTTCCTCATACGCAAAACAGCCACAGAACAAAGAGGATCAGTTTAACATGCTTTATTTACATTCTTTTGTTTTTGCAGGTTATTACAAAAAAAGGAGTGTATGTACCTTCAAGATGAGCTTAATGCCAAAACAAGAAACAAAAAATCTTTAAAAAAAATCCAAATTAATTCAAACAAAAATGCAATTACTTTCCTCCGATTCCAAAAACTAAACTAAACTAAAAAAGGAAGCTCACCTCCTATAAACTAATTAAAGTGAGATAGTTACTAAGATGCAAAGGTGTGGCTGGTGAGATGAGCAGAGGATGAAAAAGCAAGCAGTCGTCAGCAGCGTTTCTTTAGCCAATCCTCTGTTGTATATTTCTGCTTTTTGTTGAACTTGGGACGGGCATCCATAATATGGTTGTTTATACCAATAGTTCTCAAACCTGTTCCTCAGGTACCACTACCCTGCAGGTTTTAGATGTCTCTGTGTTGCAGCACACCTGCTTCAAATAATTGCATTATCCGATTAGCAGCCTTCAAGTCCTTCAAAAGCCTGTGATTCCTTCATTTATATAAGTCAGGTGTGTTATAGTTAGGAGAACTCTAAAATATGTAGGGAAGTGGCACTTGAGGAAAACCACTGATCATCAACAGTCTATCTCCAAAAAGAGCCCTATGTCCTACCAGTATTACTGCAAACTGATCTGGTTAATCAAACACAATACCAGGGAAGCTAACTAAATCTGTTAGCTTCCAGATTCAGTATAAATCTGTATCTGAGCATAAATGAGCATAAATCTGCTCATTAGCAGCTCAGCACAACTAGGGGTGTAAATCCAACCCATCATGGCGATTGGATTCAGTATCAATTTCCTGACCCAACAATTCAATTCATTTTGATTCTCAAGAATACAAGAATACATCTGTCTTGCCTCCTGTTTATGCGAGTGAGTGTGTGCAAGTGGAAACAGCATAGTGGCTAAAGGAAGCAAGGTAGGAGGTTAAAAAAGGTTTAGCGCAGAATTAAGTCCGGGAAAATGAATAAAATAAACCGGAGGAAAAAAAAGCATGAATCGATACTCTTGCGAACATGTCGATGCATCAGATAGTCGGCTGTTGCATCCATGCATCGATACAAAACAATAATTATTTACACCCCTAAGCACAACCTTCATTCTGATGAGATCACTTCCTGGAGCCCATTTCAGAAAGTGGGATTAAACTATTCTGAGAGCATTTATCCTGAGTCAGTGTCCCAGCCCCAGTACTCATGCTAAACCCTCTATGAAGTGTGCACATGGAGGAAGTGCACATAAAGTTTGGAGTGCTCAGGTTACAAGCTCACAAAATCTGGAAAGCTGGAACAGTACCTGTGTTCCGCGTTGTAAGAGGATCAATCCTTGTGCTTGCAATGTTACTGCTAAAAAATAAAAAAGATAACTGCAACAAGAAATGCTTTCATATTCATGCATATATAGTAAAATATGAATTATTTTGACAGTTACACCTGAAAACCATTTAAAATTTTTTTTTTTACAATAATCCAGTAAAATTCAAACAACAATATTAGCCGTGTAGAAGAGATATCTTGAATGAGGAAATACAAAAGTACCCGTTACAAGAAAATCTTTGGGAGAATACATTTAACTGGATTTAGAAGTTTCATAGCATATTTTAGTTAGAGTTTTTTGTTTTGGTAGAGGAGAATGAACTAAAATCTTTAAAAACATTTTAATAAAGTGTGTCCACTTTAATTTGAGTCTCTTATTTAAAATGTGTTACCAAAATATATTTGGTTTGTTTGGTATTTTGAATTGTTTTTCATTATGAACCATTGACAGTGAAATGAGCCATTTAATACAGTAATATTGTTACAAAATTTGGTCTATTTTCTGAACAAAGCCCTTATTTATAATATTTAAATGGAAACGCTTTTACTGAACAAATAAGTATCAAACAATACATTTAATATCAAGTATTTGTCATAAATATTTATATTTCCTTTTAGAAGGTTGGGACAATGTGATGATTTTTTTTGTACAAATAAAGTTGATGATGAAACAATGAAATTAATTTAGTTTTCAACACCTAAACCATTAAACAGTTCTCCTCTCTTTCTTTGCCTTTTAGGCTCTTTACAATCATTCGGTCATAAGGCACTTTATGCTTGAAAGCCTCTTAAGTTGTAAAAAAAAAGTTCCAGATTTCAATTAAGCATTTTTGCCAAAAAAAAAGGCTATATGTAAAAGACTCGGATGAAAAAAAAAATAAAAAAAATCCTTTTTTTGATAAGCTATTTCTGGACCAGTGTAATGCTTTGTAAATTGTTCCGAATCAATAATCTCTGCAGACTAGCAAGTGATGGATCTTATCTTTAACCTTGAGATAATAGGCCTCAATACACAACTCCTCTTTTGTCTTCTACTGGCTTCCTTTCTGTCTCTTGATCGATTTAAAATCATATTACTTACCGGTACCTGTTAAAAATATTTGTTACTCTTAGGTGTTTCAAGACCCCGAATAAAATATTAATATAATCTCAGAAGCATTACTAGTTAATTAATAGATACTTGGACAATTAACTCTTGCTGCTTAAATCCAATATTTTCTTTATTCTAACAGTAAAAACTATGCGGTGGTATTTATACTTTTTTAATATTTTTCTTTTGCTCTTATTTTTCTTAACTTGAAAACTGACAGTAAAGCACTCTGGTGAGACCAGTTTTTTTTTTTAGTTAAACTGACTGCCTACTTTACTCCTACTCATGTTTGGACCCTTTGACCTTTAGAACTGCCTACATGTTTTATGGCGTTGATTTCCTCCTCTACAATTGTGGTTCATATTGACATATATAATTACTTCTGATTTGATAGCTGCATATTCTCTCACCCAGATCCCCTGTTCCTCCATGGAATCTGGTAACTTTTAAAGGAAAAGTCCGGTCAGCAAGAAATAATCAATGGATCATCATCTATACCTAGAACTAATACTTTTGTGGTGATTTAATGAATATAGCCTTAATCAGTAAAAAAAAAAAAAAAAAATGAAAATGATAATTTTTGTCATGATCACTAAGTCAGGGAGAGGTCATTTTTGCCAAAATATAGTAACACCTCACTCCTGACATCTTCCGGTAATGACGTCACTGTGCTGTACACATATAGCCATTCTCCCCCCTTTACAAGCAAAATCAGTGGCAGCTACTAGACCCATTTGCAATCGACAACAATTATTTTATATTTTGAGAGGACTTCACAATTGAAATTCGCGAGAGCTATAGTTAAACTGACAATGCCCATGTGCATGGCAGTTGGAAGTTGTAATACATCGGATAAAATTTCACCGTTCTGATTCATGATCGACCACGGGTTCGTAATGGGATTGCCAACTTGAAGAGGGAGGATTTGTCATCAAACTTCTGGACAGAGAAAAAACAGGTAATATGTAGCCAACATTTTGAAGAAGTTTTTAAAAAGGACTTTGATAATAGGGTGTTGTGACAAACACCAGATACAGCACTGGGACTTGATCGACAGCTGATACATGGATGCCTCCAGTAAAGCACATTCAAATTAAACTTACTCTTAATTAAAAACACTTAGCATTTATTGAACAGTATGTATAAAGACTTTTCCTTTGAAGCCCATTGAAAACTTTGTTATAGTCAGTAACTCTGTTTGATTTCATTTTGATGTTGCGCGTTTTCCTGCTATGGATAGCATTTATTGCTATGTGTCACAGGCCATAAAGGGCGATGCTGTTTAAGTGATCCTCAGTTGGTCCAAAGAGACCGAAATAAAAATATTCTACTCATCGTTACACTGCTGCTACCAGTCTGAACGCTTGATGCAAAGCAGAAGATTTATACTTAAATACTAAATTTTGACCCATCATCTATATGTTCCAGCTGAAATTAAGGCTTGTCAAACAAGGATATGTGTTTTCACCTGATACGTCAAATTTGGATGAACATGTATAAATTATAACCTAAGTTTGCTGGAATTGATTAATAGAGGAGTTGTAGATTATGTGTTTCCATGTTGGTTATACTGAAGTATTCAGGATAATTTATTGAAATAAAGGCTTTGTTTTTTTTGTGTTTTTTTTTCTTGCTTTTGTATTAGTTAAAAGCTTTTGATACAACTTCTGCTCATTGGATCTTTACTGTTCTGTAGAGCATTTCTCTGTAGACTCTTTCGGAGGTTTGTGCATTAAAATATCAATAGTTCAGAAGTTTCTAAAATAATCTGACTGGCAGTCTGAGTGTTTTAAAGGAAGGAATTAAGGGGGGTAGTTTGAAATGTTAACGTATTAGTATAATTGTTTTAAGTAAAGATAATAAAACAATTGAATCTGTTGGCTCCCTTTTTTTATATAAAAAAAAGGAAGCCAACTCAAGCTTCAACACTTCCACAGCTGAGATCAGGACTTTATTCAATTGTTTTATTATCATGTGATCTTTACTGTATGACCGGTGTCAGAGCCTGGTCCTCATTGCCGGCAGTAAGTCAGACTCGTTTCCGGTGAGGGTTGGACTCCGCCAAGGTTGCCCTTTGTCACTGATTCTGTTCATAACATTCATGGACAGAATTTCCAGCCACAGCCAAGGTGATGAGGGGATCCGTCTTGGTGTCCTTAGGATTGCGTGATTTACAGCTGTAACTCGAGCGGTTCGCAGCCGAGTGCGAAGCGGCCGGGATAAGGATCAGTGCCTCCAAATCCGAGACCATGGTCTTGAAACGGAAAAGGGTAGAGTGCCTTCTCCGAGATGGGGAGGATGTACTGCCCCTAGTGGAGGAGTTTAAGTATCTTGGGGTGTGGTTCACGAATGAGGGGAAGAAGGAGCGGGAGATCGATAGGCGGATTGGTGCGGCGTCTGCTGTGAAGCGTGCACTGTACCGGTCTGTTGTGGTAAAGAGAGAGCTGAGCCAAAAAGCAAAGCTCTCAATTTACCAGTCGATCTGCGTTCCTACCCTCATCTGTGGTCATGAGCTTTGGGTCATGACCGACAGAACGACATCCCGGATTCAAGCTGCTAAAATGAGTTTCTCTGACTGAGGAGCTCAGTCATCCGGGGAGGACTCATAGTAGAGCCGCTGCTCCTCCACATCGAGAGGAGCCAGTTGAGGTGGCTCGGGCTTCTGACCAAGATGCCTTCTGGACCTCTCCCTGGTGAGATTTTCCAGGCACGTCCCACCGAGAGGAGGCCCAGGGGGACACCCAGGACATACTGGAGGGACTATGTTTGTCGGCTGGCCTGGGAGCACCTTGCAAGAGCAGCTGGCCTAAGTGGCTGGGGAGAGGGACACCTGGGCCTCCCTACTGAAGCTGCTACCCCGCGACCCAACCCTGGTTAAGTGGAAGAAGATGGATGGATAGATGGATTGACGGACGGAAAAATAGCTTAAGTGGAAAACCCTGAACATATCCCACAGCACTTTATATTTTTAGAAAAAGCTGTAAAGTCATTTTCTCAGTTTATTAACGAACGCCACTGACATAATGTATTTCACTATTACCCTTGTGCTGGAGTCAAGTCCTTTTAACCAGTAATGTGTATTCTTTCAAGTGAAAAAAATATCAACTTAGGCTTAAACTATTTGCATTTGATGATTTCTGGAAGCTTTTTTATTTAAAAGTTGTTTTTCCATTTCTCAACAGAGAGAAATTGTTAAATTGTTGTCTATTATGATAAAATAATTATATTGTAGTTTACAAATGTAAACATTTATACCCAGCCAATTGGAGGATCATTTCCAAAAAGTTTTTAATGAACAATGTGTGAATTACACAGAAATGCTTTATTTTTATTAGAGTTTCTAAAGCTTTTTTTGTATTATGTTTTTATAGAGCAACTCAACATGTGACCTTTAAATCATATTGGTCCTTGGTTATCGATGAAATATTTTAAATGTATTATATATTTCTAATTTTAAACATCTAGGAAAACAATCTGTTCTTTTTGAGAGTCATTCATAAAAACATTCCTAATAAATCTTAGAATAGACTAAAGTTTGATCTTATTTTTAGAAGCTCTCTAAGACTATGAACCTGTGCATCTTGTCATCACCATTTTGATTTATATTTTGCTTTTTAATCATGCATCACCTCCAGATATTGTTCATCTTGTAACTAGATAAACTAAAGTTAAAATAAAAATATTTTTCTCTCTCTCTCTGAATTTATCACAGTGCTCCAGTATGTTCTGTGCCGTGAGGTCGCCCTTCCCAATGGACCCCTTTACCGTGTTGCTGGGTTCCCTCTCTCCATCCCATGTCATGTGTCCGGATATGAAGGGTCGCGTACCCAGGAGTTTGAGTGGTTCCTCTACAGGGAAGATTCCGGTGGAAGGCAGATGGGAGTGGTGTCCACCAGAGATAAAGGTTTCCCTTATACCCCTTTCCAGGCCAGAGTGAGGAACGGGGAGGTCAGGGTGGAAAGGGATTCTGGGGATAAGGTCCGACTGGTGATCCAGAGGCTTCGGGTCGAAGACCAAGGAAAATATGAGTGTTATACACCAAGCACGGACACTACCTACCAGGGAAATTACAGTGGCTCAGTTACTGTCAAAGGTAAGACCAGCAAATCTAAGTTTCTTTCTCTTTCTTGAACGTTTGATCTTGAAAAACTCAACAGAGTCTTTTATAGAAACTACATTAAAGCATATACAGCGGGTGAACACTCTACAATTTTTCTCTGTAAAAATATTTCTAGAGGTGCTGTTGACATGACATTTTCACCAGATGTCGGTAACAATCCATGCAATCTACACATACAAAGAAATCAAACCACAGATGCCCAGAAATGAAGTTATTTGTAATAAAGTGAAATGGCACAGCGTAAAAGTGTTGAATAGACTCAATGAAAATGATTTAAAGCTTTTTACAAAAGCCTTTGTTGGCAATGACAGCTTCAAGATGCCTCCTGTTTGGAGAAATTAGTTGCATGCATTGCTTAGGTTTGATTGTGGCCCATCCTTCCACACAAGCAGTCTTCAGATCTTGGAGGTTCCATGGTCCTCTTCTGATCTTTAGTTCTTTTAGTAGATTTTCTGTTGGATTCAGGTCAGGTGATTAGCTGAGCCATTTTAGCAGCTTTATTTTCTTTCTCTGAAACCAATTTAGAGTTTCCTTGTAAATGTCCACCCACGTTTCATCTTCATCATCCTGTTAGATGGCAGCAGATTTTTATCAAGAATGTCTCCCTACATTTTTCCACTAATCCTTCCTTCAATTATTTGAAGTTTACCAGTACCATATGCTGACAAACAGCCCTACTCAATGATGTTTCCACCTCCAAACTTTACTGTATGTATAGTGTTCTTAGGGTAATCTGCAGTGTCATTTGACCTTCAAACATAATGTATATTATGGCATCCAAAGAGTTAAATTTAGGTCTCATCTGTCCAGACTATATTCTCCCAGTATTTCATAGGCTTTCTAAATGTGCTGCAGCAAACTTTAAATGAGCTTTAACGTGCTTTTTCTTCAGCAATGGAGTCTTGCATGGTGAGCTTGTACACATGCCATAGTGGTTGAGACCATTACTCATTGTTTTCTTTGAACAATTGTACCTGCTAATTCCATGTCATTCTGGAGCTCTCCAAGAGTTCTTTAGCTCTTAGACAACTGTTCTGATAATTCTTTTCACTCCACTGTCAGAAATCTTGAGAGGAGCATCTGGAAATGGTTGGTTTATTATGAAATTATGTTCTTGCTGCCTCCAGATTATGGCCACAACAATTCCTAACTGGAACATTCAGAAGTTTAGAAATCCTTATGTAACCAATCCCATCATTAAGATTTTAAAAAATAAGGTTGGGAAGGTCTTGATAAAGCTCTTTGCTTTTACCCAACATGAGATGTTTCTTTTGTGACACCTTTTATAGACCATCATTCGGCACTGAACCAGCTGATTATCATTTGCACTGACGAGGGGCAGGATTGCTTTCTAATTACTGAGAGATTTCGGCTGCAGTCTTGGTTTTCCATCCCTTCCTTTCCTTTCTTCACGTGTGCAACACCTTATCCCTGTGCCATTTCCCTTTATTAAACTTAATTTCTGGAGATCTATGGTTTGATTTCTTTGTATGTGTGAATTCCACGGATTGTTACCGACATCTGGTGAAAATGTCATGTCAATTAAAAAAGGAATTGTTTTTGCTGGTAAAGATTCTGATTGATCCAGGTCGTAGTCATTACAAAAAAGTTAAATGAAAAACAAAAAAAACAATCCACTGGACTTTGTTTCTAAGTTTGAAGAAGTTTTGCTTCCCCTTATCAGCGTTGATCATCAGTTCTATACCTAAGTAACACTTTTGCCAATTTTTGATAGAAAATCTGTTAATGCTTTTCCTAGGAAAAACAATTCTTAAAATTATCTTTCTTTTTTAGAAATGGAAAAGCTCTCGTTGTTACTAGACAGTATTCTTAGTTTAACTGTGATGAACATCAGCATGGAAAATACTTAATTGCGACATATTCATGCTGTTGTGGAGATTACTTTGTGAGAAGATCTTATCAGCAGTTGAGCGTTGCATCGACCCGATGCATGTTTGTTAATAATGGGAATCAGGGTTTGACTCGGTTCACAGCAGCATTCCTCGCTCTACTTCATCGACTCGTTACTGTCCATCTAGCTGTTTGTGCTTGACAGCCACCAGGTAAAAACACAGTGCAAACAGTTGCCTACCCTCTTATATGTTTTATTTCTTTTTGTCAAATTTTAATGTTTTAGACCATTACACAAATTTAAGTATTGGACAAATATATACTGAGTAAATAAAAACTTTTTTAGGGCAAAAAAGAAGCCTGTTCTAACCAACCTGGCCCTGAGTGTAAAAGTGATAAAATGCTTTGATATTCTTAGTGCGGAAACTCATCTATTAGGTAACAAAACAGAACATGCAGAAGTAAAATTAACTTTCTGTTAGTCTCACATCAGTGTTTACAACCTAGCAACACAAAGGACACCAAAACACACCAATGACAGGGATAGAACCACTGCTGACCCAAATCCACTTAAATGCCATCTTGATTATCCCCAACTGTTTGATAAAAAAAAATATATGTACTTACAAGACAAAAGAAGAGATTTTTTTTTTATAGTATAGGTCTGATTAAACCAAGTACAAAATAAAAACACTTTATTAAATCAGCAGTCAAACATGATGGTGGGGGTATGGTGGTGGGGGCTGCTTCCGGACCTGGACCTCTTACTGAAATGTAAATAGTCCCTATATATCCTAAAAGACATTCTCCAGTAATCAGTTTGAGAGCTTAAGATTAACCAACTTAGAGTATACACAAGAACTATTATCATAGGCACACGGGGACATTTCATGTAATATATTAAGGTTTTGGATCTGCCTGATTAAAGTTGAGACTTGAAATGAGTTGAGATGTGGTGTCATAACCATAATAAGGACATTTATGCTTCAGAACATTTTCAAATGGGCTTAAATAAAATTAAAAAAATTAATAAATTGGGATAAAAAATGTGTCCGCAGTTTCGATGGCAGTTATTGTTACAGAGGGCAGGGGGATCAGTTATACAGTGGGTACGTAAAGTATTCAAACCCCTTTAGATTTTTCATTTTTTGTTTCATTGCAGCCATTTGCTAAATCAAAAAAGTTCATTTTATTTCTCATTAATGTACACTCAGCACCCCATTAATGTACACTCAGCACCCCATCGTGACAGAAAAAAAAAAAAATTTGCAAAAAGAAAAACTGAAATATCAAATGGTCATAAGTATTCAAACCCTTTGCTGTGACACTAATATATTTAACTCCCATGCCGTCCATTTCTTCTGATCCTCCTTGAGATGGTTGTCCTCCGTCCAGCTGTGTTTAATTAAACTGATTGGGCTTGATTAGGAAAGGAACACACCTGTCTATATTAGACCCTACAGCTCACAGTGCATGTCAGAATAAATGAGAATCAGGAGGTTTCCACCTAATAAATAAAACCATGATTTTCAAACTGGGTTTTTTATTTACCCTGTTTTTCTTTATTGTCACCCAAATTTTATCACATTAAAATTCAATGATCTTAAACTAGGGTTTCCGCAGCTCATTAAAAATCATTAAAAGTCATTCAATTATTTTTTTAAATTAAGGCCTTAATTGGCATTAAAATTCATTAAATGTGTCTATTGTGGCATTTAAAATGCTTTATTAAAAAAAAAAAGTTTATAAAAGCAATTTTGTCAGACATATTATATCACGATGTATTTGCGTGGAACTGCTTGATCGCAAAGCTGTATATTCAGAAAAGAAGCTTGAGTCGGAGAAAAAGCTAGAGAATGTATTAAAATTATTTCTAAGAACATTAAAAAGCATTAAGGTAGAGTTATTCATTCCTGTACAAACCCTGTAAACCTATGAGTGTAACAAAGGCAAGACGACAAACACAAAACATTTTTTTTTATAAAACTTTTTCAGAAGAGTCTTTCTGATTTTGAGAAGATTAAAATTCTGTCTTTTTGTCGTCCCTCAGTGATTCCAGACTCTCTCCAAATCAGCTATACTCGCTCCCTAACCAGCCAGCCTGTTCCAGAAGGAGCTGAATTAACTTTGACATGCTCGTCCAGCATCCGGTCTGAGCAGCTCACCCATCTGTCCATCACGTTCGGAAAGCGTGACGGAGGAGAGCGTTCAGACAGCGGAGCTGGAGGCGAAGTCAGCACCATAAGAGAGATCATCTCCATCGACAGGCTTCTGGGTGTTGTTCCAGGACGGTTCTACAAGAAACGCTACGATGATGGAGAGATCACACTGGAGAAGAGGAACGGAGAGGGCGGACAGGGGTTGTACGTGATGAAGATGAAGGCCGTGCAGCCTGATGATGCTGGGTCGTACTTCTGTGAGGCCTCGCAATGGATCCGGGACCCTGATCGCACATGGCAGAGGATCGCTCAAAGAACCCTGGATATCGGCAACTTAACAGTTCAGCCACTAGGTAAGCTGATACATTATAGCAGGGTTTGTGTTGCAACTAAACATCAAATAGTAACAGTCCCACAACACAACTGATGATGGATTTTGTTTTAGAAAGAACCCCTTAAAGAATGTTGGAGCTTTAATTTCCACTTCTTTGCCTGTAGGAAATAACTGGTGTTTACTTCTAAATAACATTAAAGACGATGACTATAGCCCCATTTACACTACCCTTGAAAAACCGATCCAGGCCCAGACCGGTCCGAGCTTGGATCGGTAACCAGGCCAAGCTCAGTTTTGACGACCGTTCACACGTCACACTTATCTCGGTTATCTCGACTCCTTGACTCCTCGCCTCCTAGTGACGATGTGCGGTATTACTGCTAGGATTGAAGGAGGGACTCAAGCAGCTGGTGGCGGTAATGCACCAAACGCTGTTTGTCAACCGCCGTAAAACCCAAGAAGAAGAAGACGAAGGAGGAGGGAATCAAGCAAATCAAAATGGCGGCGCCCGTCACATTCAGAAAGTTATGGTTGATTATTATTGCTGTACTTCCGTGTTTGCGGTGGGTCAGGCGAAGACGGCAACCTTGCGCGGATGTACTTGAGAAAGTCGGCTTTTGGGAAGCCATCTTTGAATGGAGTGTGAATCGGCATGTTCAGCCAGTCGGCGATGACGCGTTCTGCTCATGCGCTCTTGTTATCAGAGAACCGAGCCAGGAAAAAACCGAGCCGAACCCACCTCGGGAACTGGTCTGCAGTTAGCGCGGTCCGGTTATGTCTATCTCGGTTCAGTTCAGGTTGTTTCCGTTCACACACGACAAGTTATCTCAGTTACTGAGCTCGGACCGGTCTCGGCTCAGTTTTTTAAGGGTAGTGTAAACGGGGTATATAAAACAGGTTTAACAGCAAATTAGTCCTAGACTGAGAAGATTGTGTAGATTACAGGGCTGGGGACAAAGGAATAAGGAAATTAGCTCAGTATTATGGGTTTACAGCTAGATGTAATGTTTGCAAAGGAGACTCATTGTATGAAGTTAGCTGTAAAACTGTAAAAATAATGTAGAATGTAAGGTTTAACCACATGCATACACTGTACCGAGATAACTGACAGATTTTTTAATATCTCATATCTTTGAGGCTCACAGTGTCAGTGAATAATCTGTTAATTTCCTATGTAACTGTTTTCAGAGAAAGAAAGGAGCATTTTCCCTTTTTTCCAATAAATGACAGGTAACAGAAAAAGGAGAAAATCAATTTGAATGTTTGGAAATAATTTGACGCAAAGTAAGGCTTCGAGGATAGAAAGAGGTAAAAATTACATAAGTCTGTAAAGAGTTATCAGAAGTGAGAGCTCAAATAAAGGATGAACATACTGTAATCCCCTTTTTCACAATCAGAACTGAGAATAATCAGCCAGCACACAGAGGTTTAAAGGCTGTGGGCCTCATGAACAAAACAGATGAAGCCTTTATACTGAAAGTTGGCAGAAGGGAGGAATTCTATAATTTCCGACAAAAACTTCTCATCTACAAACAAGAAATATGTTCATAAATCCCAATATGCATGGAATTAACCTCTGCGTGCATTTTTGTCCACCTCGCTCAGCCCCTAGCTACAAATAAAAAAAAAAAATCTATAGTATTACCCTGATAGACCCACCATTGGTCAAAATAACCTTGGTAACTGTGCTGACGCTCCATCCCAGAGGCTTTGTTAACAGACCTCAGTGATAACACAACCGGCAATTTAATGAGTAACAGAGACTCACTAAATCAAATAGCTGAAATAGAAAGATATAAAGATATACATTCATCATTCAACAGGAAAAAATCTGTAGCCATTTTTTGTTTTAAATTGTTTGTGTCAAGCCCGAACTGTTGTGTCGAACCGCCGCATTAAGCTCAATTATTGTAATGTCTCTAAATTATTATAATTCATATGAATATGTGAATTTATATGTGGAAGTATAATTAATGTTTAAAACAATTCAGGTAATCACAAACATGGTTACTATAATACTATATAAACTATAATAATTATATGTTATAAACTGCGTTATATTGTTTACTTAAGCATACTTATTGTAGTCCATTAGAAGTAAAGAGCATCATTAAACAGAAAATGGAAAAAGATGCAGAGGGAAGTAGGAAAGATGAGTGGAGGGGAAAGCAGAAGAGAAGACACAAAAATATATCAAGACTCAGATTTGGACACACTGGATTACAGCTCACTCTTTAGAATAGGGAAACATCACTCAGGAAATTGTGACTAAAAAGAAACTGTAGAGCATACAATGTTACGTTGTAGAAAACGTCAAAGTTAGATACATTTTAATACCAAACCTTGAAAAGACAAAGATATAATAAATATAAGGTTTAGGTAACAAGAAATGTTATCCTTTAATACTGCAGTTTCTTCAGAATACTGGCTTATTAGATAGCGTTTAATTTATTTATATATCAAGTTTATTATGTTCTTTTCCTGCTAATTATTTAGTTTATTTTGAATTGGGGTATTAGAGTCCAGTTGGTGGCGGTAATGCACCTTCAAGTTGTTTGCAAACCACCATAAAACATCACAAGAAGAAGGAAAGAGAAGCACATCAAGATTACAGCTACTTTTCATAAATGTCATATTTCCCTGTGGTTAGTTGACATTTGCTGCCTTATAGTTTCTTGTTTGACTGAAAAAGTTTGCCTTGCTACTGCACATTTTCAACTACCATACACTTCAACATAACGTTCATTTTTAAACATGACGTTTGGGATTAAAATGTGGTGATTTTTTTTTTGTGTGTGTGTCTATGCACGCCTGGTACATGAGGCCTCAGTAAATCCCAACAACACCCCAGCCGGTCTAGTTTATCCTCTGTTCTTCTCTGAGTATTTGGACACTTTCCAAGTTCTAGGTACTCTAGGTTTGAATTAGAGGAACGTTAAAAGAGCGCTTGGCTGTCAGGTTAAATTATAGGTTGGTTGGCTGACATGGGAGCTGGATCGGAGCTCGTCTGCCTGGCTGTGTGTTTCTTGTATGGGCTGCCTTTTACAGTTGCCTTTTGTATCTCTACTTCTTTCTCTCTGTTTGCTTATGTCTCCTTGAACCGGCCTCGGCAGATAGCTGCTCACACTGAGCCTGGTTCTGCTGCAGGTTTCTTCCTGTTGAAAGGGAGTTTTTCCTCTCCACCTTCGCAACAAGCATGCTTAGTGTGAGGGATTGCATTCGAGTCAATGACTCCATGCAATCAACTGGTTTTCCTTAGGTAGAAAACTTTGAATCAATTTGACTGTATGGTCTGGTGAACTGTAAAGTGCCTTGAAATGACATGTGTTGTGAATTGTCGCTACATAACTAAACTGAAATGAATTGTTTAGTTTGGACAAAGAATAGTTTATGGAAATTAATAAGGTGAATCTCAAACTCATAAAATTGTCATTATTTCAAATGAGAGATTTTTTTTCAAATAAAAACAAAAAATGAAAATGCATTATAAGATAATTCACCATTAGGGTTGGGAATTGAAAAGATTTTCACGATTCCGATTCCCTTTTCGATTCTATGAAACGATTCGATTCTTTATCAATTCTTTTTTCGATTCCAATTTGGGGGGAAAAGGAGAACAAACAGTTTGATTATCAGAATCAACTTTGTTTACTTAACTATTGCACAATCTTACAAACTCAACAAGATCAAGATGTCCACAGGAAATGTGAAACTGGAGTAATATCTGTGTTTAAATGAAAAATGAATACAAGAACAAACTTAATAACCAACAATGTCTAATAACAAATGATGGGATAATAACCTATTTTAAATAACAAAAAATACTAATTATAAAACAGTAGTAGGGAAAATTAACAGTTCTTTTGCAGAAAGATGAGCATATCTGCTTTTTCTGGAAGGATACAGGGTCTTTCAGGGCTTATGGTGTCTCCAGCCGTGGAGAACACCCTCTCAGATGGGATGGAGGAAGCCTGCACACAGAGGTAGTTTTCAGCCAGTCCAGATAGCAAGGGCAGCGTATCTTGCTTGTTCCACCACCACAGTGTGGCGCTATCCCTGCAGGGGATGGAGGGCAAGCTTTTATAGAGCTGGATTTCCTGATGTACCCTCTGGGCTAAGGAAAGACGGGGCTTTGATTCACAAAGTGACCGCAGCTCGTTGTCTTCCTCCTCGAATAGTTCTTCCAACTTGCGTAACTTGCGTAAGTTGCGTAACTTACGTAAAAAACGTGACGTAAGTCGTGCTCGGCTCTGGTGCTGCGGGAATCGAAAAAAGAATCATTCAAAGAGCTGCCAAACGATGCCATGGAATCGGAAAATACGGAACCGGTTCTTAACAGGAACCGGTTTTCGATTCCCATCCCTATTCACCATACAGAAATAAAAAATAAAATTTAAGAAATCGTTCTGAATGAATTTCCTGGAAGTCTGTGCCCCGACAGTGATATCTCATGACTGACAGGCTGCGTACACTGGCCTCCCATCGCTAAACCAGCTGGATTTATAAATCAATAGCCGATTGCCCGTATGACTGCTTCTGGCCTTGCAGCGCTTCTAAAGGATTATATAATCTTTTTTTCCCACCTTGGCCTCTTTTTGCCTGCAGAGAGGATAACTTTCTGTCAGGCTAACATGTTCATTATTTTTTTAGATAACCACTGCTGTGGCGGATAATCTTTTCTTTAAACATATTTTTTCTCACCCTGCAAAAATGGAAAATCACCTTATAGCATTTGGTAAAAGGTATTTTGTAAGCATATGTTCATCCGATGTAGTGAATGTAGACTTGTTATGATGATTTTAATGTCAATGAAATTATTTATTTTGTTTTATTTTGTTATGCTGCATAAAGGGGCTATCAGGTGTTTCTTTACACCACGAATATTTGCATCCAGTCTCTGCGATAAGATTGAGGTCACAATGAAAGCTTATGAGTGCTTGCATTGTTTTCCTTCCTAACAACACTCACTGACTTGCTCCATGCTATTATACATTCATTGTTTGCCTCTTGGTACTAATACAATGATCTTTTTTTGTTTATATAATTGATGCATCTTTTTTTCTAAAGGCATCCCGTTTCAGCAGTAAACAAGTCTTTGCACAGACAGTAAAAATATGGGTTAATTATTATTATTACGCTTGATTTTATTGACATGCAGACTAAGTGAATAAAGATAGATTTATGTAAATAAAAAGTGGATTTATCACATAGGCAAAGCCTCTTTAAGTTTCTTAGATCTTGTCATATTACAAATACAAACCTTCAAAGAATCACACAAAGTACTACATATGAGTAAAACGGAAGGAAGTTTCTTTTTTTTTGCTGTTTTATTTAAAAATAATAGTCAGAGGTGTGTGCATAGGTATACAGCCCACCGATGTGGAATCACTCTGCAAAACAGATGGATGTTAAGTATCTCAGAAAATTTTTATTTTTTTTTTTGGCACAGTTTCCACAGTTAGTTTTAGATCTGAACTTGGGTCTATTTAACACATGGATGTGCGTTTCTTTAATCACTCATTTTAGCTCCACTCTTGCAGATTTTCTTCCACTATTACTCAAATCTAGCATGAACTATGCAGCTTCTCTGTCCCTGAGGAAAGGCAGTCCCACAGCATGAGACTGCTACAGCTATGTTTTACAGTGGGGCTAGTGTTAGTGGGGCTAGTGTTTGTTGACCTACATAACTTTGCCAAAATGGCTGGTGGCAAACCTGGGAAGGAATCTTTAATGACTTTAAAAAAAAAAAAAAAAAGAATAAATTCCACCCTTTATGAAAATTTGTAGAGAGCAAATGCAATATTTGTTTTGTTTAGAGATTCACCCATCTGAACTGTATGTCTTTGTAGCTCCTCATGAGTTACCACAGGCTTCCTGGCTGCCTCTCTAATAATGGTTCTTTAATCCAAGCCATCTGCAGCTAACAACAACAATACAATATGTTCAAAGTTAAGATTTTTGAGTTAGGATCTAACTCTGCTTTAAACCTCTCAGCAACTTTATCTCTGACTTGTCTGCTGTGTTTCCTGGTCTACCTTAGCATGAACAGTTTAAACAAAGTTGTGTTTTGATCAACTCAAAAAAGAGTTTGCATTATGTAAAAAAAACTGGAGTTGGTGGCCCGGTTAAAGTATTTTGGGGTCATGTTTGACTAAGTTAAATTATATAAAAAACACATACATCAAAAAGCGTTAAAATATAGTTAAATTTACTTTCAAATTAATAAACATATTTGACCTTTATTAGAAATCTCATACCATCCTACCCACACTGTATGATATCTCCTATTTTGAATCCTGCTTAACTGCATGGTCCTTTGTTGGTGCCACTGCACCCAAGCTATTTGAACAATTGTATTAAAAGAATATTAATGTAATTGATTAAAAGACTACATCTTTTCACCTATTAGAAATTTTGAGAACCTTAAAGCCCTTTTTTTTCTTCAAATAATTGTCCTTTTTAGAAAGAAAAAGGCCTCCATGCATAGTTAGTGGTGCAGTTTCTGAAGATCACATTAGCACAAAATGTTCTCTCTATCAAAGGCTGCTCTAATTGGAACACATTACTAATGACAGGTACCACCTACAACTCATTTAAAAACATCTTAAGGAAGGGCTTCTTGCACAGCAAAGCTGCAACCATTAGGATGAGCTCCACAAACACAGACTTATCATTTTATGTCAGGAGTTGGTTAGTGTGTAGAGAATGCATGGGTTGATCAGGGGCAGTAAATGTACTGCGTTGGCATCTCTGTAATCTTAGCCTGTTAATTTTAAGTAATTCTGTGTTTAATATATTAGCGTTAGTTTGGAATGCTGTTTTGTGCGTAGTGTGAAATGTTTCTTGCTGTGTTGTTTGTCTTGTATAAATTATAAGGTATATGCTCTGTGTTTTGGTGGTATGTTTTTATTACATGAAACTGCCGCCTGGAAAGTAGCCTTACGGATTTTTTTTACACCACCAGCTGTATGTTCATTAATATGCATTTTTCTTTTCCATAAACAAATGAAAAAATAAATGAAGAATAATAATTAAAGGTATCGTTGGTAATTTTCACGAATCTTGTAAAAGACCCGCCCTCTTCACAAAAAACACTGTACCGACTGCAGAGAGGGAAAGCCTATTAAACGTGTGCGAGAGCGTGCATGAGCCCATTTCTCCTTGTGCACGCTCTGTTTAAAAGTAGCTGTTTGCGTCGCTAATACAAGCTTATTTTCCAAAAGAAGATTTGCAATTTTTCCACTATGTCAGACTCACCCCCGGTACATGAAAATAGGGATGAGAACCAGAATGATTGACAATTAGGAGGACACCTTTGATGATCCTACCGGAAAAAAGAACATCCTCCACTATACCTTTAATGGGGCTTTTTGTTTGGTTATTTAAATCAATCAGATTCCAAAAAAGAATATTGATTCTAATGGGAAATAAAATGTTGTAACTCAGCATTTTATTTTATTTTTTTTCCCAGTTGTTTAAGATGTTAAAAGCTGCAGACGGGTAGGAACTTTTATAGTAGTCTGTCTTGCAGTAGATCTGGAGAAGCCTCCGACTAAAAGCACTCTGTTGTTGTTTAACAGCCTTCTGAAGAGGATGTTTGCTGTTTCCATATTCTACATAATTCTTTGTGAAAGCATCTCCAGAGGTTCTAGAGGAGTTCCTTAAAAATGAGCTTTTTTAAGCAGCTTGTTGAGCTTCTTTAGGTCATTTATTCTGATGCTGATACTTCAACAGACGATAAAGAAAGAGATCACAGCAGACTTATGGAAGAAATGCAGCATGTCACTGCAAAAGATAATGGACCTAAGCTTCCTTAAAGGAATAGTACACCCAAAACATGATTAGCCTTCATTTTCTACTCACCCCCATGCTGAACAAAACTCTGGAGTACTTTTTTGATATCTCAAATGCATCTGGAGATCTGGGAGGCTTCTTGCTGTCTGCTGACATTCAAATAATGGAGGTCTATGGCGCCCGAGACAGAAAGGTCCACAAAAGTCCACAAAAACGTGTCAATATTCCTCCATACTGCTCGTCCAATGTAATCCAAGTGTCCTGAGTGGGTAGCGTCCATAATTTACTCGAAACGAAGTCATTTAGAATGTTTTTAGAGCCTAAACAGTAGTGTATAGGATTTCCTAATAGCGCCCCCATGCGCGCTCACGATTCTACGGAAACCGCGGCAGACCAAACCAGCGCATTCAGCTCGGCAAAGAACTCATGCTCTTCCTCAACACTGAAGTCCTCAGACATTTTTCTTTCGTTGTTTCTTTCTTTGCACAGGTAAACAGCACATTTCTTCTTCTACGCTTGCATTATCGGCAGAGCAGACGCTGAATGCGCACTTTCTTCCGGTTTGGTCTGCCGGCTTCCGTAGAATCGTGAGCGCGCATGGGGGCGCTATTAGGAAATCCTATACACTACTGTTTAGGCTCTAAAACGTTCTAAATGACTTCGTTTCGAGTAAATTCTGGATGCTACCCACTCAGGACACTTGGATTACATTGGGCGAGCAGTATGGAGGAATATTGACACGTTTTTGTGGACTTTTGTGGACCTTTCTGTCTCGGGCGCCATAGACCTCCATTATTTGAATGTCAGCAGACAGCAAGAAGCCTCCCAGATCTCCAGATGCATTTGAGATATCAAAAAAGTACTCCAGAGTTTTGTTCAGCATGGGGGTGAGTAGAAAATGAAGGCTAATCATGTTTTGGGTGTACTATTCCTTTAAGAGGCACAGTCTGCTCTGTCCCTTCTTGCAGACGGCTTCACAGTTGAGTCAACTGTTCAAGTGAAAGCAAAGGCATTTTTTTTCCTTCTCCACCTCCACTTCTTCTCCCATGATGGTAATGTTCTCAAAAATACCTCTGTGCTCACAGAGCTGCTGGATTTATACCCAGATTCATTCACTCGCTGGTGGACTTTCTTTACTGTCAATATGACACCTAAAGCATTTATTTTCACTGGCTTGTCTTAAAAGTAGAATGGCTGCAGTATTAATGCATTGCCCACTTCTGAGAATATTACAGCAGTAAAAGCCTTTTATTTGTAGCTGTATTGGACATTTTCACCATCATTTATTGTGGTCTCTCTATGAAGATGAGTGATATCTTTCTTCATGATAAAGGTATTAGGAATATTAGAACAAATATTTAGGATTAGAGTTTGACCAGTTGTATTTAATTAGATTTTTAATTACAATGTTTTTTTAAGCATGTAAATTACCCATTGGTGTTTAAATCAATTGAATCTCTGATTTTTCAAACATTATAAGCATCTTATTCAGCACAATAAAAGACAGACATACTGAAAGAGCCAGTCTAATTTTCTAGGAACTGCCCCCTGCAGTATCTGACTTCCTTTGAAGATGTAAATCAGAGTCCATTTGTGGCGTTGCAGTCAGAAGAGCTTTTGGTACTTAATGCTTTTCAATCTCTCTCTCTCTTTGAAGCGGAGTCTCTGGGTGTAACATCCTCGCCCAGAGGGGAGGTGACCCTTCAAGTTGGTTCCCCTCTCATCCTGACCTGTGAGGTGTTGGGTCTGGCATCTGAAGTGAACTCAGGTCTGTTGGTGCAGTGGATGAAAAGGGGATCTGTCAGTGGAGATATAGCTGGAACCGGAGGAGTAGAGGTACTGCCATTGTGTGATAAAATAATAAAGATAATTTACTATTTGTAGTGTATTTTCTGTTATATAGAGAATGTCTTTGCCTATCTATAGAATGTCAAATTTAGGTCTGAATAATATTGTTTTGATCCATTCTTTAAAATGACATGATATGTGAGAGTAATTGAGAACTTGCTGCCATTTAAGGTTGAAGTTGCTCGAATGAGCCCGGATGGTGTCGTAAGCTGGGGAGATGACCTCAGCAGAGCCAGTGGTGGCTCCATGGAGAAAGTATCAGAGGGGAAGTACTCTTTGAAGCTCTTCTCAGTCCGACCTGCAGACTCTGGGGTGTACCGCTGTGTGGTCAGTGTGTATGCTGGCAGGAAAAACCCCAGCCCTTCTACGCCTGCAACACTCACCCAAAGATCAGATGGAGTCACAGTCAACCTGAAGATCAAAGGTGAGCCTCATATAAAAAAAAAAAATTGTATATATCTTTATTAAAGGAGTTTTTAGCAGAGCCAAACTAATATATAAACTAGTTTTATTTTGCCCACTAACATATTGATTGAATTGATCTTTCCTCTGTCGTTGTTTGACACATTATCAAATATAGGCAGTGGTGTCTCACAAAGGTCGCCTAACCTGCATGTTTTTGATGTTTTACTGCTTTAAAAGACCTGAATTAAAAACAGAATGAGTTACTAGCAGGCTCCTATGGAACCTGATGATCAATTCAGGTGTTTAAAGAAAGTTTCTTGGAGCAAAAACGCATCTAAAACACACTGGATATGTCCATTGGTAACTGGTGTCAAACACCACCTGTCTCCGCTAATATGTGGCTCTTTTTCACAGAAAACTTTAGAACTGACTGAGTCTCATTGGTTGTACTCCTCCCAATATTTCTGATCATTTAAGTCGGGGGTTTCTAAACCATTCTTGTGGCAATAGAGGGTGACTGAGGAGTACAATGTCTACAAATGGAATATAATGAATAGGCTTAGCATATATTGGCTGGGCAATATAAGTGTGTGTAACTTTTCAAATCACAAAGGTCTGCCTAAAGTGCAACAGTTTTGGGCTAATGCATTCCAATTATTATGAACTTGCATTCTACTTGCTAATACAATGTTTAGCCTGATGTACAGTCACACATCAGCAGATGCTGAAACAGACACAAATTACATTATCTAAATGCTAAAGGTCATGGAAGGTTTCAATAATGAGAAAGAGAGGAAAGACGGTTTTGTAATATTGAGTCACCCTATCTGTTTGCAAATACTCTAACTAAAGATCCATTATGCAGATATGTAAGGGGGATTTCCTGTCTCTTTTTTTTTGTTTATTTGTTTAACTATGAAAGCCAATAAGAGTTTAGCAGTTTTTTTGGATACAATCAGCTGTGTTCAAACCTAGATGTAAACTTGGATTTTTATTTATTAATTTATGATGTTGAGCTTTAGCCAAATCCTCCTAATATAAGATGGTTTCGGTTTGTGCTTTTCACATTATTTCTATTTCTCTGCTTTTTAACATAGTTTATTTTTTACCATTCATAAATCTCCCTTTTTCCACACAGAAGTTTTGGTTTCAGCTGTGGCTCAGCTCCCCCGTGGCCCCCTGCTGAAAAGAGGCAGTACCGTCACCCTAATCTGCAACACCACTGTGACGACCACAGGTCCAGTGCAGGTTCAGGTGCAGTGGCTGCGTTGGCCGATGCCTAAACCAGTCAACCCCAGGAAACCTGGGGGAGTTCAGTTGGACTCTGGAGCTGTAACACCACCCATGCTCATTGCTGCTCTAATGTATGACGGTGTAGCAAATATCTACGTCAACGACAGTGAGATCAGCATTGACCGGCTGTCTGCCATCAGCTACAGACTGAGAATCCACATGGTAACGGTGGAGGACCAGGGCTTGTATGGGTGTCGTGCTGAAGTGTGGGGGCAGGACCAGCATGGAGGCTGGTACAGCACTGGAGCCAAAGCAGAGTCAAACGCAGTGAATGTTTACCTGTATGCCAGAGGTAAGAGCCTCACTCTTCCAAACACTCCTCTTCTCATTTATTTGCACACATGTGTCCCCTGATGGGTACAACATAACTAATTCACTGCTCCAAAAAGATTGTGAGGGGTTACAGCTAAGTCAATGTGTCCAAGATTTTGAGAATAAACCTGGTGAAACAAAAATAAAGTCAAAATGGCTAATGTGGAAAAACAACATTGCACATTTAATGCATTTACTTTTAGTGGCTAAAAAAGAAAAACAAATGTTCTGCAGTGGCCTATTAAGATTTTGGAGCAACTGAGGCACAGCAGCTCAGTTGTTTTTAAACATTCCACTCATGCTTGAAAATCCTCCTATGTGGCTGCATGAAAGCAATTCTGCGAATAGGAGGGACCCAAAATCCCTTCATCACGATTTATCAAAGCACATTGTTAGAAATCCTAAAGGCATGAGGGCAGATTATAGTGGCATTTATGTTAAAGGCGTAGTTACGTTTTCACATGGCACAAGGATGGCTTGGATGGTAAATGACATCATGACCTGAAAAGGACATTCGTAACTTCTCTGGTTTTCTTTGTCTGATGTACAAACTAGTTTGGGGATCTTAAACATCCAAATTTGACAAAACAGAGTAAATTTGTATGCACTACATTTATAGCTGAAGTTCTGTAAAATGTAGTGAAAAGAGCCAACAGTCTTAAGCTAGTTCCTTAAGATCCAAAATTTTTAATTTATATGATCCAAACTATAATTCTAGCAAATGAAAAGCTATGTAGCTAAAGCATGCATATTTCTTTTCTCCGATCAGTTTACAAAGAAATTTAATTTTGTTTTTTTCCCCTTGTTTCTCCAGCTGCAGACCTCCTCCTCATCCCGCTGGTGGTAGGAATCTCATCAGCCTTGTTTGTCGGCATCCTCATTATTGCAACGGTAACCTGCTGCTTTATGAAGCGACTAGCAAGACAGAGAGCTCCTAAATAAGGGTCAAAGTGGGCAGCAGCTTTTTAGTGACTGCTCTTTGTTTACTGGGAGCTACTGTCGAGATTACAGCGGTGGAAAACGGCCACCCCACTCCAAACTGACTTGAAAACTAAATTAAAGACTTTGGCGTCTTTTATCTCAGTGTTCTGTGTTTGGACGTTTTTGTTTTGCAATCCATGCCAAAACATTTATTTTTTTACATTCGCTCAATGTTTAGTACTATGTTGTGCACCAATAGCAGGTTAGAACCGTAGATTTTTCTGCCTCACTTTGCAAGTGGATTTGATAGCTGTTTTCATGTTATCCATAACCACATTTTTAGTGCTATTCTTGTTTTTTTTTTTTTTTTTTTGCAAAATAAATAAGGGGTTGTAAAGATAATTGAAATCAATGCAGGTTTTAGTGAAGTTATTCTTTCTGTAGAAGATTGTCAGATGTTAAGTAGCCATGCTGCTCAACTCATCAGATTATTTTTATATAATGCTGGATATGTAGGTCATTATATGTTCACCATTGGTGCAGCGTTTTTTGTGGATAAAAGCAGTTATGTTTTCAGGTTGCTTTTCATTCAAGCTACACGTTTTGTTTTGAATACAAGACTCCACAATGTACAAAAGGTATGTGCATGGCTTTAGGTGCTAACTGGCAGTCAGGTGAATGCTGATTGAAGCTGTTTTGCCAGTTTCTTATCTTTAGCCCAGAGCAGGTCTGCAAGTAAACAAAGCCTATGCTGGTGAGTTACTGTCCTATGGAAACCAGTCCAGTTGATGGTTGCTTTCTGTTGTCAATTTTGTAAAACAGAACTGATGTGTTTAAAATGTTATATTTTATCAATTTGAATGCGATAAATGAAAATGCCCTCGACACTGAGCTAAAATATGTTCAAATGTGGCTGAAATTCCATATTAATTGACTTAATGTAAGACTTTGCTGCAGCACAATATTTCTATGTAAAGCACCATTGATTAGCATGCTGCAGCAGTCTGCTCCTTTTAAGCACTTGGATGAAAATGAGTCTGGGACCAAAGCCCATTGGTATCCTTTACTCTGTAATCTTCCAGCCAAAAAGCCATTCATGTGCTTTTTTTTTTTTTTTTTTACTTGTTTTGGGGGTTATGGCTTCTGACAAAAACGAACGTGTTACGTCTTTTCTCTTTTGTATCACGTGATTGCTGGTTAATAAATACTGTGGTTTTCTGTGGCGCCCAGTCATATGATCTGATAGTTTGGTGAAATATCTCCATCATCCCCTTCCCCTTCCTGATGTTGTCTGGGGCTCTTAAGGAGGCTTTTTATGACCATGGCTCCCCACAGCTAGCCCACAAAAATGTATTGGAGAGATTCAGTATGCGTGCATGTTTAATCCATCCTCCTCTTCCTGTTGAAAGTAACTCCTAAAGAAAGTGTGGTCATGTAAAATTACATGCATTGACTTTGAATCTCTCTCTGCAGGAGGTTTTGTTGAATCTCAGTGCTTTCTTTTACTTATGTTTCCTAAACCCTCATTATAAATGTTCAAAGAGGGTTTGGAGTAAAATCACAGCTCTGTTTGCTTGCTGAGCCACTTAGTTCCAGACTCAAAGCTGATTTGTTCCCTACAGCGCTTTATTTTACACCAACGTGGATAGTCATCGACACAGCTGCAGCAGAGGCAGGGCACTGCTGTGTGGATGTATTTTCAGAGTATCTGAGAGTTCATCTCTAATCCCCATTTATGGCAGCAGCGGATCTTACCGCCCTTCCCCCACGCTGTGTGGCTCACATTCAATTTGTTTTCAACCACTTTTCTCTGTGAATCATTCCCCTCTGTGAAGAGATTTTTGCACAGAATGTGAAAAATACTAAACTGTTGTCTAATGTGTGCTTTTGTGTAAAGTTTTCTCATGAAGAAATTTTGTTTGAATTGTTTAATGATGCTAAACTTCACTGTTCCTAAATGCATCCATATAATCATAAAAGCAGGTTATTTCTCACCTTTGTTTCTTATGGTGCTTTGGCAAAACCCGCCAATTGATTAAAAAATTAAACACTCTGTATTTTCATCAGTACTTTGTGTATTTTGCTGTTTTTTTTTAGTAAATTTGAACATGCATATCAGATAAAATTAAAAATATTTGATTTCTGTAAATTCTGCTGGATAAAGCACTCACAGTCTAGAATGCTACATTTTCCATTGGTAAATATAAATTATTCTTGTGGTTGCTGTAATTTACATGTTATAAAAATGTCAATTAGCCATATCTCAAATGCTGTATGGCGCCTTTAGTAGTGCAATCATATTTACAAAAAAAAACAACAAAAATTATATAATTTCATTTTTGTAATTTACAATCAAAAAATAATAAATTAAATAATTATTACTGAGAAAATATTTAGGTATATTTAAAAACAATAATGTTTGCTGATAATCTAAGCTTCATCATGTGTGCTTTTTATTATTTTTAAGCATAACAATTTGTTTACATGCAGATGTAATATAAAATGTATAAAGTAGAATTTCATGACAAAGTACATTAATTTCAGGAATTTATTCAGAATAAAAAGGTTTATAACATAGATTGATATAAGTTGAGAATATTTTTGTGCATGTGTGTAATATAGCTGAAAGATATGAGATGACAGCTTTCCGAAAAAAGGACTACAAATTCAAATCCGTTTATAGAGCGCCAAAACACAACACGTCATCTTAAGGTACTTTACAGGACCAATTGGTTCAAAGATTTCCATTTTAGAAAAAAACAGCTGAATGCATCGACTTATTGACTTGAAAGCAATCCCTCATACCAAGCGTGCTTGAAGTGACAGTGGAGAGGAAGAACTGCCTTTTACAGCAACAGGAAGAAACCTCCAGCAGAATCAGGCTGTGTGTGAGTTGCCAACTGGGGTTTCAAGGAGATAGAAGCAGACATAAGAAATGAACATAGCAGGACGGATCTATAACTAGTTTCTATGTTAGAAAAGCTAATAGTAAACTAGCTATACAGGGGGCTGTGTCTGGGAAAGGAACAGCTGAGCCAGTTTTCATGTCAAAACAGAAGTTACACGTATGTAATGGATGGCTATGGCTCTGCATTGTCAAACCTAAGAAATTTAAAGGTGAGGACTTTAACTCATGAAGAGATCATGTATTCTTGTTAAACTTTGAAGCAGGCTGTGCTGATATATCCTGTCACACTAAGGATCATCCACGTAGCTCCTATGCAGCAGACAGAGGACTACAGTAGGCATAAGCCCTGGGTGTGTAAAGAAAGAAAATCCCCTTGAAAAGTATCAATTTATAAGTAACACTAGTTCCACCTTTTTCATGAATTTCTACAACTTTTTAATGATTTTCTGATTCACTGGGAAGCAGCTGAACACAAAGATTTTATTTCGAAACATCAATTCACACAGCAAAAAAACAAAGAAAACAAATTTGCAGTTAGACATTTTATATCTGCACTTGTTACATCTGCAGAACCTCAAAGGTCTTATATATCTGACAACCGTCAAATCTCAGATCAAGCTCATCTGTTCTGGCCACCAGAGCTTATACAGGAAATATAAAATAATTTTCCTGTGAATTCATTGTATTGAATTGCATCTTTGATGGAAACCTAATGAGCAAAAACCTTTTGATGAAGCAAACAAAAGTAACATGACTAACATGATGATAAGAAAATCTTAAAAATCATAGACCCACACGATCTCAATTCTCCTCTCCCCTCAAAGCTGCCTTGTATTTCCCTCTGAGCTCTTTTATTGTGCTCAATCAGCTTACTGAGCATTACATAACTAATGCTAACAGTACCAAAGTTAATCCTCTTCTTCCTGTATGATGCTACAGCAGGCAGTCAGAGGCTTTGTGACATGGTGCTGAGACACCACAGAGTGTGGTTGGTTGGCTGGTTTACATGGCCACTCCATCAACCAATCCCTGCAAGCCTAATGTCAAACATGTCAGAACTGAAGTTGTGATGCTCTCTGCAGGCCAGACGCTCTAACAGGTTCAGGATCTCTTTAAAGATGCTCTATAGCCAAAAAGATGTCATTGTTGTTATTATCACAAATAAGGAAATGAAAATCATACAAAGATCAAATAATGTTTTTAATATAAAAACAGTTTGAGCAATGCATTTATGAGACCAGTTAAGTTAGATATTTTTCCTACCAAGCTAATAACAAGAATTGAAGATTAAAAGTACAATATTGGAATTTAGAATGCCTGTGCTGTCTTTTAAATGCTTATTTTGGTCTGTAAATTATTGTTTAGTTGACCAGTCTAGCATTAGATGAAGTAATATAATTATATAGTCTGGTCCAAAACAGAAACATCTAATTTTAATTATCAGTAGTCACTAACTCTCTGAAATAGTGTTGTGTTCTGTCTCTCTGTGGTCAGAGAAAACTTCTCACAACAGAAATTCACAAGTAACAAAATATTTTCAAGCTATCAGTGCAAAAAGAAAGTATATGGTGATGCTCTTAATGTGTCTGCTGATGTCTATTTCAATGTCGTTTAAGTTGTCTTCTTTCTTGCTCTCTCTTCTTTTCAGTGTATTGCTAATGTTTCCGGGTCCGTTCTTCAGTTGCTCCGGATGACAGCGAAAAATGGCTTCATGTCTGATAGCTACAGGACCATGATCGAGGCATCGCCAGTTCCCAGAAACTATCCTGTTGTAGAGAATAAAAGAACAAATCAACTATCACATACACAGTCATATTTTTCTGAGTTGCATAAGGAAGGGCATCCAGTGTAAACACTCTGCCAAGTCAATGCACAGGGTTTAATGACCAGCTGTGAATCCTGTGTAAGGGAGCAGTTGACAGGACTTTGTATGATTATTGGTTGTAACCCTGTAACTTTCTCATTGTTTGTAGACACTATGTCATTCAAAGCCACCCAGTGGTTCATGGTTGAGTTTTAAGTCCATCTGACCCCATCTATCATGCCAGTCCTTGCTGACTAACATAAAAAAGGGCCAAAAAAGTAAAAAAAAAAAACAATCCACTGGACTTGGTTTCCAAATTTGAAGACGTTTAGCTTCCCATCCATAAAGCTTTTTCTAATCAAAATGTCAGAATTAGCTTTGAGTTGTACTTACAAAACTTGTTTTGGCTTTGAAAACATGCAAATCCACACCTTAGGAATGGGGAGTCGTTTTGGGTTCTTTGTTAACCTGCAATACCCAATACTTGGCTATGTCTCTGAAAGGGGAGTCGTTAGGGGCAAATGTTGGCTTGGCTGTCCAGGCAAGATATATTTTTCCCCTGCAGGGGGGGTGGGGGGGTTGAAATGATAGCAGGAAGGAATCAACTCTATAGCTGCATTGTAGGTTTTTGAGAGCTGAGACCAGAGTCCAATCGCTCTGTTTAAGGTTAGTTTTTTTTCTTTCTGGATGACTGAAAATCTTCACCAGCATATTAAAAAGGGCTTTGCGTTCTAAAAGTTAAATCCCCATGAATTGTTCCCATCTGCTACTATTCCTTTGGCGTTTGTGTTCACTCTGAAAGGCTTTCTCTTTGGTGAACACAGATGCAGAAGATGGTCATGAACTGAGAGGAACCATGTTGATATGCTCAGACCCACAGTAGGCAAGTACGACAAAAACATGTCAGATTGTTTTATCCTGGGTCAGGTTTAACCCAATATGAGGTTTCTCTGTTTGTGTCATATAAGTCTTTGACACGTCCACTACAGACAGCTTGATTAAGTCAGGCTTAATGACTGATTTCTCAAGCACAGGATAGTCCACGTTAGCAAACTGACTGTCATTCAGCTACATTTTTTACATATTCGTGAATAGAAAAGAAACATTCAGAAAATGAATAGATTAAATAAATACCTCTGTTAAATCTTTAAAGGTATAGTGGAGGATGTTCTTTTTCCATGTGGATCATCAAAATAAGTGGTCCCCCTAATTGTCAATCATTTTGATGATATGTTTACGTAAGGACGTCCTACGTGCGTGCCCCAATTTTCACTTACTGGTGGTGAGTCTGACATAGTGGAAAAATTGAAAATTTTGTTTTTGAAAGTAAGCTTGTATTGGCAATGCAAACAGCAACTTTTAAATGGAGCGTGCATGAGGAGAAATGGGCTCGTGCACGTTCTCACACGCATTCACTGAGCGTTCCCTCTCGGGAGTGGGTATAGGGTTGTGCATGTGCATTTTTTTTTAAGTGTAGAGGGTGGGTCTTTTAAAAAATTTGCAAAAATCCTCAACTATACCTTTACATTCTATTTAATAGCAGGCAAGTCTATTGTAAGAGAAATTTAACAAAACCTAAAGGAAAAACTTTTAATGAAAAATAAAGTGTTGCATTCTGTTTGTTTAAGCTTTAGTACTTCAACTTTCAAAAAGAGTCCAAACAACAATATCTTTTTTCTTCTGGGTCTCAAGGGGACAGGGTCTAATGAAAAAAAGGTGATGAAATTGATTTTTCCCTTAGCAATTTTGCTCTAATAAGGTATATCTAAACTTAACTGTGAGTCTCACCGCTAGATTCCCATTTATTGGAGCCCCTTTATTAAGAATGGTGAAAAGTCTTAAAATAATTCATGTTATGTGGCACAGCACTGTAAACCCACACTAAGCACACTGATTCAGTGGGGGAAATTATACCATGTTGACAAATAACCCATTGCTTACTGACCAACAGCTTTATTCATTTATAACCCCAAGAATCTTCATATTCATTAAGTAAGGCAGATTTGAGTAGATTGTAAATGGCTATTAAAATAGCACCTGTCTACAGTACCCAAATTAAATATTAACATATTACCCCAATTAAATGTAAAAATACTGTAATGATATCAAGGTAAATAAAATGTTGCAACTCCTTGTTAAAAAAAGAAGCAAGTTTATCTTGAAAGAAAGTGCAGTTAGTTATTTCATGCTTCATCTAATCTGTTTTGTTTCATAGAAATAAACCATTTTCTTTCCTATTACTGATGAAACATTTGCTAACTGATTTTTAATGGAACTGTGTGATAAAAAAAATAAATATTAACCTTTCAGATATAAACATGCCAGGTGGACCTAGGGTGAAACTAAATGTAAATATAGCCCTGGGAAAACTTATTTATGAGGATTGCTTCATTTATATATCTGAAATACCAGGTCAGCAACAAAAAAAACAAATTGCCTATGAAAGACAACTGACACAAATATAAAAGCAACATGTAGATCCTGTAGAAAATCAGTGCAGATTTTCTACAGGATCTTTCTATGCTCCAGACTTAGTAGTAGTGTTAAACTAAAAAAAGTTGTTCATACAAAGTATTTGCATTGGGTGTCTGTTTACTGTTACATACAATTTTATAAAAAATGTAAATTTCTTTATATAAGGTCCTTTTTATCCTTATGCAATAAATGTTTTAGATTAAGTTCTAGATTTTTCTAAACTGGATGATCATGCAATAAAGGTATTTTATTATGTTATTAAACACATCTATTTCAGGGTTTGCAGCGTAATGTATAATATGGCCACATTTGCTTTCGTTTTCATGCTGTATCTTCAATTGTAGATTTTTTAGTCACTTTGATCCAGTGTTAATATTGTCTGTATGCAGAGTTTATTGACCTACTTTTTATTTATCTAAAGTTGAGGTCAAAGTTCTAGTTTGATGATTTATGTTTAGATAAATAGCCTCCTTTGGTGTAAAACTCCCGTCCAACATTTTCAAGTGTTTATCAGTTTAATAGGATATGTTTTATCTCATATAAGGCCACTTATACTTTTAAGGAATTAAAAAACCTTTTTATTAAAAGTAAAACTTGAACATATACAATTTTATTGTCTTTAGAAATCTTTCAATTGGATTTAGTATTGTATTATCTGACACGTTCTTAACTCTATCACATGATTTATTTCCTGAACTTATCTGAGAGAAAACTTTAACACTGATTAATCTAATATGATGCTGCAATCGTAGATCATAATGTTGAAATTGCTCAGTCATTTATTGTGCTGAAACTTATGAGAGGCCGTGTTACTTTTATAAAATACACCTTTTTTTCTTTCTTCTTTGAATATTCTGAGGCAACACTCTAATACTGTAATATATGCAATGATAATTAGAATAAAAATAAAACACGTTGATATCAGTGAACTTTAAGTTTGAGTACGTACCCCTCTGGGTGGGCAGTGGATCTGGGCGTACCACTCCTGGCAGTACAGACACACCTGAACCCCCTGACCGAGGAAAAGACACGCCCACATGATGATGTTGAACACCGGGCTCTGTCTCTTATCAGTCATCGTAAAGTTGAAAGCCACTAAAAGAAACAAACATGGTGGATGTTAAGGACTTCAATTAATCAGTAATGCTTTGTTTGAGTATTAGCTGAGGGAAAACAGGAGAACTGAGGCACAAAGACAAGCAGGTGAAAGCTGAATTCTAATCCCAAGAAACCTACTGTTTGTTTTAAGGAAAAATATACAGTTTTCTAAAAATGTTAAATAAGGTTCGTCGGAAAGCAAAAAACTTTTTTTTATATTATTGCAGTTAGTGTAGTTTATAGTTACTTGTTTATTATTTTTCAAATTTTTATTTTTATTTTATTCAGCTCACTTTATGCTTCATTTATCTTTTCATGCCAGTCAGCTATCAGTCAGTCCTATGAGATGCTTTGGTTGTGGTTACATGTTGATGTGAAAGCATGAAAGCTGCTTGTGACATAGTTTAAGTAGTTCTAACATAGTTTTAACTCAGTCCCTGACTTAGCTCTAAATCATCCTTCTTTATCTAAAAATACAGCAGCCCAAATAAAGGATTTATATCCTATTTTTTTTTTATATATTATATTATCCATCCCTTTTCTGCCACCCTTTATCCCAACTGGGGTCGCAAAGGGTGCTGGTGCCTATCTCCCACTGTCAATAAGCAAGAGGCAGGGTACACCCTGGACAGGTCGCCAGTCCATTGCAGGGCAACATAGAGACAAACAGAAAAAACAACAATTCATTCACACACCTAAGGAGAAATTAGAGATGCCAGTTAACCTAGCAGTCATGTTTTTGGACTGTGGGAGGAAAGTGGAGTACCCGGAGAGAACCCACAGATGCTCAGGGAGAACATGCAAACTCCTTGCAAAAGACCCCGGGCTGGGAATCGAACCCGGAAACGTTTTGCTGCATTATATTATATCTTAAGACTAATATAATTATCAGGAGTTACAATTCTAAACACCATTAAAAAGGAAATATTTACAATAAATGAACATGTATTTTTGAAAGCTAGAAGTCCTCAGATTGCTTCTGAATGTGTTGGAATAATTAGTGAAAAATACATTTATTTTGCAATAGGTCAAGAAATACACATTGGAGAGCAAAAGATTTTTCTAATTCTACATTTTGATTTTATTACTACATGTTAAGCACACAATTAGGTAAATCTCCTTACCTCCAAAAACTGCAAAGAGGCAGAACATGACAGGATAGAAGAAACCGAAGCAAAGGGCCAAAGCATATTCATGGACAACTGCAGAAACGATGAACACGGACAGCATGGCTGCTGCTCTGAATCTTCTGTTGGAGAGCTGTGGAAAGAGAGAAAAAGAGGCAGGAAGAGAGAAAGAGATGCCAAATAGCTTTTTATTATGGGACCTCCTGCTTTGCATTAGTTGTACTCCTTTATATTGGCAATCTGCTCACCCAGAGGAAGTCTCTGTACCCGTAGTAGTACAACCAGTCATGAACCACAACATTCCAGGTGCGATAATAGTTTGCAAAGGATGTCGAGTTCCACCAGTCCTGTTAAACCGAAAATAATTTAGCAGAAGTAAACCAAATAAACTTTTAATTTAGTTGTTTTTGAAACCTCATTAAAACATGAAAGGGCAGCAATTAATCACCAACAAGGATATGAAGGATTTCATATACAGTAGATGGAGGTTTTGTATGCAGAGAGGCAAAACACTTTGAATGTGTGTGAACATTTCAAATCAATCATAGCTATAAAATGGCTCAATACATTAAAGGTCATGCTTGGAGCTGAAATATATATTTTTGTAATTACCTGCAATAACCTCAATATCCAGAGCATTAGTTTTAAAGAAACTTTGAATAGTTAATTAAATGCCTTTTACAGCGAAATTTATTTTGAAAGTCATGCTATGCCATCTATTACAACTTCACATTAGAGTCATGTGCAAAATGAAAACTTATTTTATTACTTTCACAAGCCTGATAATCAGGAAAAAAACATCTATCTGCAACCACATAATGCTGGTTCCTCTGTTTTAAAGAGACATTTTCCATAACAGAAACCAAATCACTTGCTATCTTTGGCTGAGGTTAAGAAAACCAGCTCAGCTGTGGCCTTTAAAGTAGATGCTGGGACAGGAAATGGAAAATTTATCTGTCAGATCTCTTATGGACTGGAGTACATTTCAACTCTTAGTACATGATACAAATGTTGAACGACATCGTTTATACGATTTTTGTTCTGAGTTATCACTGTACATCAAAGAGTTTTAATAGCTTGTGCTGCCTACTGGAAGCATGTCATCAAGTAATGCTTAGCCTACTCCTCAGGTGAGATCTGTGGCATATTATAACACATACCTCTTTCATCCAATGCTTTTTTTGCATCTTTTTTTGATTTTCTTGCTGAAAATTAATTATTCACCCTTTCGTCCTCTAACAGTTTTCTTTTCTTGGAGGACTACCCTGTATTAAACCCAAATAAACCCTCCATTAACTGTGACCAGCTTCCTTCCCAGAGCAGAAAAGGGCATTCCAACTTCACGACACTGCCACACGTACTGAACTGCAGTTGATGTATTAGTTTTCAACCACATGAAGGGATTTGCGTATGCCATACACTTTCCATTTTCAGTTCAGGTTAAAGCCCTGCTTAGTGCTTTTAAACCCAACCCTGTTTAAATGTATTCACACCTTTATAGTGGGGTCTTCTTTTTTCATGACGCAGCCGATAAACCGTTCACTAATGTTCTTTATCAAACCACCACAGAAAAGCTGGATTTATGTTAAGAATAAATCTCAGACAGAAAAATTTTATTTACAAATAGGGTATTTGTAACAGCAATTGTTTTCAATGCATTTCATATAGGAGTATCATAGTAATGATGCTAGAATACTGTATGCACATAACAATTTCAAGAATTTATTTGTAAAATTTTTCAAATCTATGCAACACAATCTTGCCCTACTGTATGTTTGGCATCTCACATCAAATCCAAATGGAGCTAAAGGAATTTATAGTTTTTTACCCGAATGTCACCTCAAATAAGTGAAGTATAAGGATGGCATAGCAAAGCCAAGGAACTCAAGGAATTTTCTAAAGTGCACTATATCAAAACCAATTTTTTTCTGCAGCTTGTTAAAATTTTTGGCTATTGTTATTGATTGTTGTTTTTCTTGTTTCCACATAATATATGGTACCAACACCAAATATAATTATCTGCCTCAGTGTCATTATTTACTTTTTTTCAACACCTCCTTAACCGAAACCTTGTCTTCTGATACCATACGTAAATGTGACATTTACTCTGAGTCAGAGTATGTTTAGCATGTTCTTAATTGGATTTTGCTTTTAAAATATGGCTCTTTAAGTTTAAAAGCAAAACTTACGAGGATCTATATTGTGTAAATAAATTTAAAGATTAGTTAATTAGGTTAGGCAACTTTTAATTGAATATTTATACTAAGCAACTTTTGCTCGTTTACATGCATGAATTCTTCTCTTATGCCTCATGTGTTACCTCATTCACATTTATCTGCATGAATAAAGCTGTTAATATGCTGAAAATTTCTGAAGCAGAGTTTGCAATATCCCTTTTTTAATCAATTTGATTGTTCCCACAAGGAAAATGAAACTGATTTGCCAATACTGCTACCCCAGGAGAAGGGATGTGACAAGAAATCAAGTCTCACACACCTTGTAGAACATCCTGTCAGCAAAACGCAACAGCTCCCCAAAGAGGTTGAGCCAGCAGTGCAAGAAGGCAAAGAAACACAGCAGGAGAAGCATTATTCCTGAAACACAAAAAAGAGAAGACCAAGAAATAGGCCCTGCTCTCAGGCAACATAAAAAGGAATTGTAACTTAATACCTATCTTTTAACATCAGCACTCTAAAAGCTTTTTAATTTTACGGTTGTAATAAACCAGCCAACCTTTAATTACTTGTATCTGCTTTTTGATAGCATCTTTAATCTTAACACTGACTTAAACACACTTGAGAGTGCATTTAATGGGACGTAATCTATTGTTCACTACAAACTCACTGGAGATACTGGATGCTAGAAACAAGAACATTTAAGTTCTGAGATTAATTGCATATTCATTATGTTCCTTCAGCACAATATTCAAGTTTTTTTTTCATGTGTAAATGTTATGCAATAAAATACCTGGTAATATGGAGTGAAATACAGCCAGAACCATTGTTCTTTTGCTAAAAGGTTGGTTGGTCTCTGGTCTGAAGACGGGTATACAAAGACGGACCAGAACGAAGTATCCATAAAACAGGCATGCAAAAATCTATAATGATTTCAAACGAAAATACAGTTAGACACAAATTCTTGTAAATGAGTCCAAATGATAGAAAATACAAGGTTGCACCAAAGCTTACAAATGTGACTGAAAGACTGTTGGTTTAATCTAATTGATATAATATCAAACTATACAAACACAAGATTTTTACTTGTCTATAAAGTACGACCTCAAACTGACCACCTAAATTTATTACATTTTCTTATCTATCATTCATTAAATGTTCAAACTGTCATCTTCTTACCTTGCCAATAGTGACAGCAACATATTCCCAACGTATTCGTTTATTTCTGCAGTTAAAAGACAGGCTATTAGAAATGCAAAATTATCTATCTATCTATCTATCTATCTGTCTGTCTGTCTGTCTGTCTGTCTGTCTGTCTGTCTGTCTGTCTGTCATAAAAATGCTATTTTATAAAATGCTTGCTTTTCTTCTTACCGAGGGTAGAATTCCCTATAGATCAGTGTTGGGCAGAAAAGAAAATACAGGTAGCTGGAAAATGTTGGAAACCTGGGTTTTTCTCCTGAAAGAGAAAATGCAATACAGTTAATGTCACTAAAATTGGCAGACTTAAAGTTCAGCAATATCAGCTAATTAGATATATCTTTTGAAAAAACCAAAAACCTTGGTTGTTGGCAATAATGCACAAATATTACGCCCCTCTCATTGGAACAGAACTGTTAATGAGAACATCTTTAAGTCATAAAAGCAAACTTAAGATGTAATGCCTATGTCAGATAATGGATGGATGCATGGATGGATGTGTGTCAGATAATGGATCGATGCTTATCTTTTTAGTTTATTCATCAAGTTATTCTGGGATTTCAGAGCTAATCTCATTACCGGATCATGTTATTAACCTTGTTTTTTTCTCCATTATGTACCGGTACTGCCTTTGGAGGATTTTTTTTTTGCTAAAATTGTAATTTAAAAATGATACTACTACTACCAACACTACTACTTCTACTAATAATAATAATAATAATAATAATAATTATTATTATTATTATTATTAAAAGCTCTTTGTATGGGAATGTGTTAAATGGCTATTTGGCGTCTTGTTGGCAACAAAAACATATACTATGGTGAGCATTTAGCTATAAACATCCTATGTCCCTAAAATGTTGGTGATGTTTATTATTATTACAGAACATGGCTTTAAATCCCTCTGTAGGATGTCTTATTCAAAGTTTTCCAAACTACTGCACTAAGACAAAATTTCTACAGACTATTTCCACATCAATCACTAAATTCCATTCATGGTTGGACATTTTTCTTTGGTGATGTTAGGGTCCCTTTAAGCCTTTATAATGCTCCTTATTATGGATTTTGCGACACGCCTGTAAACTGGGTTGTTCTTTTCTATCCCCAGTAACAACAACATGATTAACAAATTTCTTGAAAAGCAAGAAAATATAGAAAGGAATGTATTTATTTGATTGCGTGTATGCAAGTTAATTTGAGTTATCGGACTTCTTTTCATCTGTCTTTGATAGCTGTGGGATTTTCTTTATACTCTTAGATATATCTATATGTTTATATATCTATGAAAAAAAAAAAAAAAAAAAAAAAAAAAAAAAAATATATATATATATATATATATATATATATATATATATATATATATATATATATATATATATATATATATATATATATTATTATATATTTATTCTACTGTTGCAGTTGTTTTACTTATAATAATTAGCGTTTTGAACAGTGCATGGAGCAGCATCAGCAGCAGCAGCACTAATGTATATGTACTGCTGTTTTCATTATAAGTTTGAAACGTTGGTTGCAGCTATTTTCTCAGTAACCTTCTGTTCTGTTTCAGTCATTTTTCTTCTGCTTCTTCGAGTGTCACTGTGAATAATTGTACAGCCTCTGGATAAATACACCTGACACTGAAACAGTACGGTACATTACCTTCCTTTGGTGTGTTCTTCAGGATAACGGGGGCCGTTTCTCTAATGAACGAATAGGCTTTCATCAGGAATCGAATCTGGGGAAATTTAATGACATTACAAATAGAGGCATGTTTACATTTTCAAACAAGATAGCAGCATTACCTGGAAACATTGATAAAGTGCTTGTTTGAGTTTACTTAATTACTCTTTGTAATGAATTAATGCTCAAAACCTTCACACACTTACCTGCTCTAGTATCACGATGAAGCGAGATGCTGGAGGCAGCTGGTGATGCACAACCGTGTAGATTGGGAATAGTCCAAGAACACAGGTCTGTATGGCAGTAAGAATCAGCCCTGCACCAAGAGTGAGCCCCAACTTGGAGGGGAATTTGTGGTACAGAGAACCCCAAAACTCCAGGATGTAGTACGGGACAAAGAGGGTGTAAACAAACATAGCGAGCCAGGCCCAGGTGACCGTCCCCAGTTTCCCAAAGGCGTAGAACAACATGTCAAACTCCAGAACCAACCTGAAAGTGGGCCAAAAAAAATAACAAAAAGACAGCAAAGATCATAAAGATTAAGTCAGACAAGAAGAATATAACCTGTTCATTTAAGTTTAAAGAGAAAAAGTCTAACAAGCATAGTTTCTGCTTTAGATTTATTTATTATTGAAATTATCTTGATTAAGAAAATCTGGAAAGTACAAGAAGAGCTAAAGAGTTTAAGTATATTTCTCTAATTTGTGGAAACGTAAGTACAAAATACTTATAAAAAAATAACTTTTATTCCAGCATCCCAGTTTTTTGGTCAAAATGAGCACAATTACATTGGAGAACCATCTCTTTTTCATTTTATTTTGCCAGTATATCCACATTAAAATCAAAAGTAAACATTTTATGTGCTTGTTTGGAGGGAAAACAAAGATATATAGCTGAAAATAACAAATAAAATGATTAGTGAGCGGCCAAAAGCATTAGGAGGAATACTTGGAAGGACTGATTATCCATTCCAGATGAACATAGGGAGTGACGAAGGAAGCCACGAGAGACACAATGAGGGAAAACAAAGAAACAAGTGGATTAGGACGTTTTCAGGGAATAAATGAGTTCCACCGGAATTGTTACAGGGTTATAGAGTTTAAGACGTTACAGCGCAACGACCATAAACCTCTATATCCATAGAAAAGCTTAGATGTGTGAAATAAAAGGAAAAACTGAATTCATTTCCTGGTAAAGAGATGAGGCTCTCTGATGCTGTCGAGGCAATTTTCGTGGAATAAATCTGAAGCACTACATACTTCAGAGAGATCAATGATAATTTCTCAAAACAAAAGGAGCATTAAAATGATTTTTTTCTCTAAGCAGGAGTGAGCTCACTATAAAAAATGGCAATACAATATACAATGGGTATCATATTTCTGCCTTTTGTCAAGATGATTTTTACTATAGAAACATTAAGTGGACATGTGCACATTAGACAGTCGGAGAAAAGGTCAAAGAAGCTGTTGTTTGTATATTGCTGTATACACACATGAAAATTGTAAGCTGGAAGGAAGGGAAGCAGTGGATGAAAAAGATGAACAGTGCTAAGTCTGTTGGAAGGATTGAAAAGCAAAGCCCATTTATAGTTCAGGAATAAACTGAGATTAGACTCAGTACTTGAAGAGGTGCCACACTCGGATGTATTCAGTACAGATATATAAGCTACAACTTCCAGCCACACCAAAACTATACATGACATCAGAAGATCTTATATGGGCTAAATAGAGTAAGGATTTTTCCATTGGTCATATATAACACTGCTGTCATCTTTAAGATCAAATCAATGCATTATACTATATATAACGAATAAGGTTAATTTCACAATTGAGTCCCTGAAATATTTTCACTTTTAGGATTTTCTTTTTCATTGGGAACTATAGTTAAATAAGCTATAGTTTAATAATTTCCATCAAGGGATTAATAAAGTAACTCTGATTCTGATAGTTAAACTATTCTAATGTACTGTTTATGAATATCCCCCCTGGCTTTATGGCGCTTTTAAGCTATTATCCAGGTTATTGAAATTTAATTGGTATTTTATATTTTCCTATTACCGGTATGTTCCCCCTAAGATAGATAACTCATATAACTATGAATTGCTCTGGCATTAAAAGACGCTTAATGTTATTGCAGGTACAACTTAAAAAAACATTTACAAAACTAATGTTGATTTACAGGTAACATTAAGATTACAAAGTTTAACATAGTTAGATAGATACATTTGCTTCTTTTGCACTAATAAGGTAATTATCTTTTAATATCTTTAAATTAAAACTTAATCTACAACAGATGATTGAATGATGGAGGATGCAGTTAATGCTGCAAATTCCATGTCAGGCCTTTGCTTGATATTTGCTGAATAAATGTTTCATTACAAAATTACATTACAGGGCTGACATTTTTCAATGATCTCTAAAACTGATTTTGTTGTTTCTTTGTTGCTTCTTAGAAACAGAGTACAAGTAAAATTGAAATGGATAAAGCCTTCTGACAGTACCAACTTACAGATCACTAAATGGTTTCAAGGAAAGGAAAGTAATATGAATGGTATGTTCACCACAGCAGGAGAAATAAGTTGCAGAGTTGATTTTGAAACAAGGTTGCTTTCCCATTGTTTTTTCAAATCATTGTTATTTACCAACTCTGGCTGGAGAAAAAAAAAGTTTAGATGTTTTATGCCTCTATTTAAACCCCTCAGTATTGCAGCAGTCTGATAATATTTTCATTAATTTATCCCTTGCTTGTACAATGAATGTTACCACATACCTGCCCTGGTCAATGTAGTCAACAGCCAAGGTGCTCATACAGAAGATGAGGAGCACAGCAATAAACATGTGGTAGATGGTCCTAATGTGGCTGATTTCAAACAGTTCACTGAGAAAGAGAAGAAAACACACAAAAAAAGATCTAAAAATATCAACACAATGCTTATCAATCTATATTAAATGCAAAATACCATCAGGAACTTTTGGCAAACTTTAGGTTAAAGTGTCTCATCCACATCGCATAAGGAAGCCGGAATTAAATCCAAAACGCTGAGACTTACTACAACTAAACAACTACTGTTGAGTGAGAGTTTTTTGCATAAAAAAGGAAAAAGGTTCATATTTTTTATTGTAAATCTATAACAAACACATATATATATCAATGGACATATATCTGTATGAGTTGCTTTTGTAAGATGGTCTTGACACAGATCTGTTTCTGCTGTGTTGTAACTCACTCCAACAGTGACGCTCTCTCCATGAACACTTTGCCATCATCCATCCTTTGAGATCTGAGACAAACCACAGACATTATCTAATTAAATCCATTGCACTTGAGCAAGTTAGTAATCGCAGCATCTCTATTCCAGATCCATGTGTTACAGCGGTGTGTACATCCATTGCACCTGTGCGAATCTTTCTTTGTTGTTTTCCCAGTCAGTGCAGCTTGAATGTGGGCGGGAGGCTCGATGGACTCAGTCAGAGCTTTGTCAAGAATGTCTCTGAGCTGATCCTGGACCTGCTCTAAAACTTTCATCTTTAGTTTCTACAAACAGAAAAAATAAAAGATTTTACTTTTTTCCCCCACAGTTTATGAAGTGCAGTTGAAATATTATATCTGGAACACAACTCCATTTCCTTATTTCCTTATTAGGCTTTTTGTTATAAACCCCCCAAATGGAATTATAGCATCTAGTCAAAATATTAATTTCTGTTTAAATTGAACAACATATACTACCAAGTTACCTTTGTGTATTTTTCCCACTCGATAAGGTCGTCCTTCACATTTTCATGACTCTCAGCTGAAAGAAAGAAATAGCGCTGCTCAGATTTTTTACTTTGCCTAACAATACACAGTGTGTCCTATTAATAAAACTGGAAGAGGTAATAGAAGGTTGTGTATTCAGCACTTCAGCAATTGGACATGCCACCATTTAGGAAAGTGAATGCATCAGGATTTACTGGCATGGAAACCACTGAAGAATCTATACAAATTATATTTCCTTCATTACTGAATCAAAATGCCAAATAAGTTCATAGATGTCACATTTTCAGCATACCTTGATTGGATTTGGCACCTTGCCGCTGAGTGTTGGTTTTCCGATGCCACATTCCGTTAGGGGGCTCAGCAGAGGTCATAATGAAGACAATATTAGGGCCGACAGCAAAGATCGATCTCTGCTTATAATGGATTAAAACAATACAAATGAATTACATCATGCAGAGTGCTGGGATATTACTGCAAAGCTGAGCTCTACATCTAGACATTATGCACAATACAAATGCATCTGAATTGCATCTTTTATTTTTACTCTTGAACATTTGATAAGTTTTAAACTATAGTTACCTTCTAACCAGATATCTATAGTTAAAACAAAACAATGCAAACAGCCGATAACACTACATATCACCACAGAAAGTAAACATTCTCTAGATATGGTCCACAGGAGACCCAGAGAGAGACAGATTTTCACAGAGAGGTAAATGACATTTAGTGACCTCATTTACTAATCCATGCAGTTAGATCAGTCCTCATGAGAAAAGCATATTAAGCAAATAATCATTACACACTCAGATTATGCTGCAGATGATGTAGTGGTAGAAAGTAACAGAAAAAATAGCAGTAACTCATTGCATTATCTCCTTCTGCACAGGTTTCTGCACAGCTATTTCCACAAAATCACTTATCAATGGATGACATAAGGGTTAAACTGATGTATTGCAGCCAGCTGCAATAAAACATAAAATATATCAATTGTATTTAGCTGTTAAAAAAAAAAAAAACATAGAATATTTTTTTGTTTTTGAAATTTCCATCTATGCACGAAGCATACAAGTAGATCTGATTAAACTACCGGTATCACTATTGGCAACATTGTTGGTCTGATTCTGAAACGATGGAAACAGAGAACCTTTGAACCCATCAGTTACATTAGCATGTCTAATTGAGTGTTATATACTGTATGATATGTAGCTGAGAATGTTTCATAGGCTGTGTGGGATTTTACTAGTGATAAACTGTAGTTCTGCACAAAATTATCACATAGCTTATTCTTCTATCACTTGTCTATTGTCTTATAATGTTTCCTTTAAGCTTAAATCAAGCTTTTACTTTTCATAGATCTATATTTTGTGAAAAGAATACATCAAAGCTTTTTGCTTCATCTTAGACAAAAAGAAAAAGGGTCAGAAATGTATAAATGACTGTTGAGTGTACACATTTGATGAGGCACAGCAGCTGAAATGACTGAGCATTCTCCTGCAATCTGGTTACAACTAAACCTTCAACTAATAAACTCAGCTCTAATAATAAGTCTTTAAACTGACACATGTGGAGTGTCAGGCTGGTTCTTACTCACAATCCTCTGGCAAACGGCTCAAGCTACTCCAAACGATGACTCCCACTGAGGCAGTGTTCCCAGCCGATGTTTAAATATGTCTAGCCAGCTGTTGCGATTCCTCTTCTGCTCTCCCCTGATTTCTTGAACTTTGGCCCTTTGGAACCAAGCCATGAACAGGCCAGGTCCTCTGCTACTCCCAACACAGCTGCTGCTCCTCTTTGGATGCTTGGAGTCATGCAGAACATTTGAATTGATTCTGATACCTCAGGTAAATAGTAAAGTTTTGTTGCTTTAACAGTAAAATTCCTGTATTCACCTCAGTTCTTTGCCGCTGAAGCAGTGTGCAGTGTCTCATTGTAAAGTTTTCTGGTTTTCCCAGAAAAAAAGTGTGTATTTTTTTTGCACTTCTGCAATAAATGCTTATATTGCTTTTTATTTGGGGGATGTGGGTTAGACTTATTTCTTTAAAAATCTGTTGTTCTTTTAACGTAAACATTGTGCAGGTACCCCTCCAGTTTCTTAACAAAGAGATAACTTGATGTATGGATAAGTTTAAAGATGCTGGTTATTTGCCAGCCATATTTTTTTCTTTAAGAACAACCTCATATCATGATTAATCCAGTAATTGGGGAAAGCTTACATTCCATTACCAACATTACGTTTATTTCATAAAAAAAACATTGAGGAAGGCAAATTATTTAATTAACACCACTTTTATATCTATACTGTTATTGCTTTTAGCTCCATCCATCCCATCTCATCCTTTATTCTGGTATTTCATCATGAGATATAGGTTGGTTTTCTATTACTCTGAAAGGGAAACAAAAACAAAAGTATTGTTTTTGCTAAAGTAGGCAACATAACAAGCTATCTGCTCAGCTGCCAGTGTCTTTTAATGCATTATATAAATTAAAATAATTGAAGCAGAGAATGGGTTTATGGCCACAGGATCATATTTATTGAAATGATAACAAATATGTTTCTCTGCAGCTACACAAAGTACTCCATGCAATAAACTACAAACAAACCAAGCATCACACAACTGTACAAACAGACAATTTCTCCCTCCAGGGTTTTAATCCCTCCTGTCCTTACTGTTACCTTTGAGGATACAGGCTAACACAAGGTTTATCTTGTCCGATTAGTTCTGTCTGGTAAAAGAGGACATATGTTTCACAGTCTGAAGGTAAGTTGACAGCTAGTAGTCAATACATGTTTTTCTGTCGGTTATTCAAACACACTTAACTCTAAGTTCACTGATATGTTTGACCCCTGGGTAACAGCCAGACTAAACAAGTGCTATATAAAATATAAAAGGTGATGAAGAGGTTAGAGAGAAAATAAATTTTGGTTTTACTACAGCTATTTAAAGAGTGGATCAGTAGCAGTTTTAATTTACAAAATATGAAATTGTTTTTTAAAACTACTTTTTATTTTGTGATGTAACAAATGCAAAGTATAAGACCACAAATAGATAATCCATAAACATACACACACACATATATATATATATATATATATACATATACATATATATATATATACATATACATATATATATATATACATATACATATATATATATATACATATACATATACATATATACATATATATATATATATATACATATATATATATACATATATATATATATATATACATATATATATATATATATATATATATACATATATATATATATATATATATATATATATATATATATATATATGTTTACAGTTCTTGAAAATGTTATTCAATCTAATTGGACCAAGAGAATCAGTAAAATACAGAATACAGAGCCATGTGAGCAACACCCCTGTCCCTCATAAGATCATAACGGTGGTCCAACAAACACCAAAATCTTTTAGCAGCCAAGTGACAGAAACAATTGATGAAGCTGTTAGTTTTCCTCGAGGATGCAACTAAACTTTCAAGAGAAGAATATGCTTCTCATCTATTCTACTAATCGTGCTTTTAGCAATTTTTCTACTGTTAAAACCCTGTTAACACTGAACCAGTGCTTAAAAGAGTGTTTAAAGACTTAACATGGTAAAAATTAAAGAAGACACCAAAGTTTACCTCAGTCTCTCTTTTCATTACGTCTGACCATCTTTCTGTTCATTTATCATTCCCACAGAATGATGACACCTCCACCTTGTTCCAGAGTGCGTGGAGGTGTTCAGAGGGATCCAAAATGTTACAGCAACACGTGTGCTGCGTTCCCTTGATGGTTTTTAGGTAACTTTGATGGAGACGATTTATGGCAGAATTAAAGGGCAGATTTTTTTTATCAAAAAAACAAAAATAAAACTTAGATCAAATGTATGATTGCTTTTCCAAGGGGCTGTATACGCTTTATGTTTGCTGATACTGTTTGTCCTATAAATTTGATGGTTTTCCTGTGTGAATAGTTGTGGATCTATATTTAAGGGATTACATGAACAAAGTTCCAAAATGTGTAAATAGAGATCAAACATACATGCTCAGGCACTTCAACAGTACAGGACCGGACCATCACCCTGGACTCTCTGATCCTGACTGTCTGATCAGGACGCTGCCAGAGAAAGAATGACAGGGTGGACTGTTTGCAATGGCTATTTGTCAGTGTGTTCAATTATTGCTTTATTTGCTCAGATATCTCGGACTGCACCCACTACAGATCTGAAAACTTATCTGCATTCTCAAAGGTCAGAAAAGAGATGAGATGTTGTATCTTGCAATAAGTATCAGTGACTAAGACAGGACTCTGTCATCTCCTGATAACCTATAGTAACCCTTCTTTCATATGTTCACCTCATCCTACATAGGACATATGTTAGATCCCCTTTAAAAGATAAACAAGATCACACCTTTGGTTTGGGTCTGAGGCAGTTAAACAGGATTAGTCATCACCTTTTATAAGAACATGTCACAATTACAATTGCATTCATGCATTCAATAACTGGTGAAAATAGGTTTTCTCATCATTACAGTGAATGAAACTCATGGAAAAATACATTTACAAATAAAAAATAAATAAATATTTCACATTCAGAACCCATACAAATAAATAATAAACAATAAGCAAATCAATAACATTACAAATATAGCAAATAATAGATACTCTATGTTTGTAACTAATTCTTTAAGTATAAAAATAGTTGCTACATTTTTTTCCACTTTGCCATGCTCTGATGAAACTATATCTTAAATTTGCAAGCAGTGTTTTTTAGGATATATATACACAATGTAAATATGTAACAACTAAATCGAATCATTGAAAACAATCAGTTTATTTCTTTACTTCCCTTTGTCTAATTTTAGTGCAGCAAATGATGTAAGCCTACCTTTGGACATGCAATGGCAACAAATGTTCACCACAGGATATCTGATTACCTTAATTTAAAATGATTCTTAGACTGTCCTCTTCTGTTTCAGCTCTACACTTCCGCTCTTACTTCATGAGAAAGTGCCAGTATGGAAAAGAGGAAAACCATGAAGAGTCTTAAAAAATATTATATTGTAGTGCCTTGAGAAATTATTCATACCCTTGATCTTATTCACATGTGTCATAACTAGAGGCCAAAAATGATACTTCTGACATATTTTTTTAAAATGGCTTAATAATAAAAATCTAAAAAGGGTGTTATGCTTTTGTACTGTATGTGGTGCAAGACAACTGCTTTAAGTGAAAAGCTTTAGTCTCATGAGACTAAATCATCTTTTTCTGCGTGTCTGCTCCATTACTTGGCAGAGCATAGAATAAGTATAAAACTTACATTTTTAAATGGCCTAAAATGAGCTCTGAGATGCATTCCAAAATTGGGATAGAATTAAAATAATTGAACTCTGCTGTAAAATTCTCTAAAACTGTATCCACGGATGGTCTCTTGGTTGGTTTCCATGATAATGTTGTGTTTTTTCCCCCAGAGGTTTAGATCCATTATTTATAGCAAGTGTTCTCAGATTAAATTACACAGAGGTGGACAATTGACTAGTTTTAAATGCAACTGGCTGCACTAGGCGGTATGTTTGGTTATCAGATGGGGTTATACAAAAATACGTCCCACACTTTTCAGATCTTAGCCCTGTTTTTCTTTAGCTAAATTTTTGAAACTCATGTAAAATTTTCCTTTCGTTCCAGATACAAACCTATTGGTGTTGCTCTATCAGAATATCCAAGTGAAATACATTAAAGTTTGTGGTTGTACTATGAAAAAAATGTGAACAGTTTCTAAGGTTACAAATATTTTCGCAAGCTACTGTGCTGTGGTGTTACTTATACTGATGTAAAAATAAATTTTTCTGTAAAAAGATAGGATACGAAGAATCTTTGTCAAGCGCTACTGAGCTTTGCCAGTTTAGTTTTGTTTTATCAACCTTGATGTAATCCAAACTGCAATAGTTGCATAAATCTGTAGCATACTGAAACTAAACTGAGACTTTGTGGATGGAATCAAAACACCCAGAAATAGGGTGTTAGGATCTACCGTATGTTAAAAGGGATTTGTGTTCTTGTAACAAGATGTTTTCTTTGTCACAGCATTCGTTCAAAAAATGAGGTAAACATGTATGAACGCAATAAGTTAATAGTTCAAACTTCCCTTAGCTCTAAAAATGAGGTCTAAATATTTTTTTGCCTTTAATTTTCTTTTCTCTTTTTGTTGCAGGTCCACATTATTCATTTTTAAAGATGCATATTTTGCATCTTAAAGAATAAAAGAGAATCCAATATCTAACCTTCCAGAAGTCAGCAGGATTTAGACAACCAAAAGCTTTTTATTTCTTCTTTCTCTCTTTATCAGGTTTTAAAAATTCCAAATGTTATGAACAATAGAATAAATCAGAATGCAACTCTTTACCCTGATAGCTTTTTATATTAAATCAGTTGGTGACACTGAGGATAGTCAAACATCAGCTGCCAGGAGGCTTTAAATAAAAGATAAGCTAAACTCTACTTGAAATGTGGAATAAAATAAGAGATCTGTTTAAAGTAAAAATAGAAATATGTCATTGTCACATGTTTTCTTGTCTTCAAAAAATCAACTATGAAAGAATGGGAGCACCAATGTTCCTAATTCCTAATAAATTAATGATCCCACTAATTCAAAGAAAGAAAATTAATCGCTTCTAATTGACAAATACAGAGCTGGTCATTCCACTATAAAACATTGTAGAATACTTTTAGCTTCAGGGTTTTTTCTGTTAACCATTTATAGATTTCATCACAAAGTCCCTGCGCTCTTATGAAACTAATATTTCAACATAATACTGTCAAGCAAGATCTTTTTCATCCAAAAATAAACATGCAGAAAAAAGAATAAATACTAACAAAGTGAGCACAGGGTTAGGACTGTTTTCACATCACATTTTACATTTCATATCCTCAAGAGTTGAGTTTTTATGTGTCCATAAACCTACTATAGATGATAATAAGAACGGGGGTTTAAAATGTATTTATTTTTTCTTCTGATTTGCCCCTACATCTAATGAGCACACTCTGGTGGTAAGACGTTGCACTGCAGCTTTTCACTCCCCTCCTCTATTTTTGTCCCATTCTATTTCAAGTTATGGGGACAGGGTGCAGCTGCAGGTGTAGGCTGGTAGGTTTCTGAGATGCGGTGCTGGCTGTTCAGCTACCCAGACACAGAAAGATGAAGGAGCCAGAAAAAAATAGACTGAGGCTAGGAAACGGACACAAAGAGGACTGTTTACAGCAGGTGGGAAAAGGGCCTGAAGAGGAGTCTGGGACAAAAGTGATCATCTCCATGCAGATTTACAATGGAGGCCTCAGAAACATTTGCCTGCCTGCAGAAAGAGAACCAAATGTAAGAGTGAAAGTCAAATACTTTACACATATAACATACCAAGATATAAACATTGTGGAAAAGAAGAGACAGTTGGCTGTGAGTCATGCCAACATCACCAGAAGGAGAGTGTCAGTTTATATCTTCTCTGGGAGGCGATGCTTGGAAACTGAAAAAGCTTAAGTCTATGGACAAATTTAGCCTTTACTGTAAAACTCTGCATATATATATATATATTCTTTTAAGCTAGATTCACAGAGCTTTAAGAGTTTGGGTAGCTCAAACTTATTATAATAAACTTATTTAATTAAAACTATGAACCTTGAAACTGAATTATAAAAAGCAGCTCACCATCTAAATCTGATCATTTTTAATGGGGTAAACTCTAGAAGTTTGTGAAAATCAAACAGGTGTCAAGCTCAAGGCTTTGGAACATATGTTCTGCTACTTTAAGATGCAGCCTGCTTCAACAAAACTAAAACAATTATGTCGATAGCATGACTAAATAGCATACGGTAATAACCTATATGGTATATAAATGGTCTTGCAACAACATAAAACAATTTATGAACTGTTATTTGCAGATGCCACCTGCCTTTCAGCTTCCAATAGAGTTTTGGAAAATATAATAAAGAAATACACAAAGAAATACAAAAAAAATACACATCTCATGATGGTTTCAAACTATTAATCTACCATCAAACATTTAGTAATCTAACTTCCTTTTATTTATTGGTAACAAAAAATTGAAAAAGAAAGAGATACATGTAAGTATTGACAACGACAAACTGAACAAAGTGTCATCAACTTGTTTTTTTTAGTAGTTTCATTAATAAAACAAATGATATTGGAAGGAACAGTGTTGTTTGCAAAATACTTTGAAAAATCACTCAGTGTTTTCAGAAAACTAAGGAAATTAAATGCATAAATGTTTTTCATTTATGTACTATAGTCTCATTTATTCGTATATAACATGTTGCAAGATTGTTTTGGGTAATAAATTTCCATCTTATCTTAATAAATCCGGCTGCTTCATAAGCAGTTTTTTAAATTAGTAATTACTCTGGAACAGAAGCAACTTGTACTCCCTTATTTTCCGAGCTGAAGTTGCTGAATGCATTTTATACCATTATATTAACTTGTACTTTTGCTTATAAAGTGAGACATATGATGGTGGGGTTATGACATGATAAGCAATTCTTTATTTCACAATTGCTCACCAAGACAAGCTAAGAATCTTCTACTGTTTGTATGCCACATAAGAATAACTTCTTCTCATGAGGTAGTTTTTATATCTGCAGAAGCCTCTGAATATATATTTAAAAAATGTGTAGAAATAAGTGTGCTTACTATATTGTAGGGTTTTGGAAATATTCTGTATATGTTCTATTGTTTATTTTAGTTGGCCCAACTTGATTACATGATCAATATCTACTTTGTGCTAACGTGTTAATAGCCTTTGTAGGTATATACTTGCAGTGTTATTGATATGGTAAATAAACCAGCACTGTTTTTTTAGATGGCATTACATCCAGTTGTTACTTTTATTGTTTTAGAATTTTTTTCTCTTTTTTATTATGAGTTTTTTAAAACAACTAATAAACTAAAGTGAACTGAATTAACTTATGATAGACCAGGTCTGTATTGGCCAGTGTTTATTAAGCATAACAGGAAATGGGGCCCAAACTACAATTCTTGTCTTGACCCCATAAAATCTTGGACTGCTCTGGCTTTAAAATATAGAAAACATTTCCCGCTCTGTATTGAGACTAAAAACTCTGGACAAGAGATAACGCAATTGTAACTAATTTAACTCTCCCTTGTAATACTTATGAGTAAGTTGATGGTGATTAAAAACAGTTTAAAAATAGACATTTTTAAAATATGTTTGGCAAAATAATATTAAGAATCCCTCAGATAGATCCCTCAAAGGCAACTAACTATATTGTTTATTAAACAGGGACATTTACTAACCAATAAATAATTTCTGGAGCCCAATTTATATCTGCATTATTAAATGCAATAGGAGCTGACATAAATAAAGATGAGAGGAAATTCAGGCCTATAGTTCCAGCCTGCATTCTTTAGGGGGTGCTTAATTATTGGCAAACAAATTGAATCACTTCCCAAGAGCCTGTTTTCCCATGCAGGCTACATTTTGCAGGGGTAAGTTTAGCGAAGAAACCTTCCATGATTTAAAAAAATATGCCACAGAGTACTACAAGTAAAATCCATATGAAAGTCCTGCAGACAACTTTAATGAAGTTTTAGTTTTCAAACACGGGATAAACAAGATTTGATATTAAATATTGAAAAGCTTGTGCTGAACATTTGATATACTCCTAATTAAATTTTAATCTATAATATGTGCCCAAACACTGTTCTGATAACACGTTTACTATATGCTTACCTTAGCAGGCTGGAGCCTCATTTTGCCGCTTATAGAGTTTGGCTGTGTCCTGATTATTGCAGACATCAGTTCTGGACACAGAATTCACATTCAGACACATGCTAACAGCAACATACATAAAAAGATGCACACACACCAGAATCAGAGGAATAGCAGCAGCAGTAGCAGTGTCCGCAGCAAGGGGGCAGCAATGAAGCAGGGAGACAGAGCAGTGAAGAAGGTAAATTGAGGATTACATTGTACCGTATATTCTTCAAGAACAAGTGCAATCAGAGCATGGGGGCAACTGGGTCTGTTATAGCCTTACCTGTTGTCATTGATATCTGTGGTGTTTCCTGTGAACAGAAACAGTGTGTAAGGACACAAACAGGTGCACAGGGAAGTGGTTAGGGTGTTATGACTTTGTGGAAGTGAGGATACAAAAGACATGTGGGATTACATATTATATCTGAAGATAAGCTCCTGAAGATAAAGCTGCATGGAGCATTTTAGCAATCTGGCAACCTCATTGACATAGCAGTGGAATCTGTAGCAAGACCTTTTTTTGGTTTACACAATTAGACAATAAAGCTAAAGTTTAAAGAGAATGTTTTTTTTAGTAAGAAATTTAAATAATTTAGAAACCTAACCCTAACCCAGTATTTTCATAATTTCTTAAAGTTCATAATTAAACATAGGTGGAGACAATATATTCCTCCTTAGGACCGATGGTTCTAGCATTAAGTGAGCAACCAGACCACCAAAGCAACCACTAGGGTTCTTTTTGAGCTTAACATCTTCCATGCTTTTTTTCAGCTGTTAAATGTCTGAAGGGCAAAATAAATAGTTTACTCTGAAAATATTTATTTCCATCTACATTGCTATAGTACAATTGCATGATGGAGTATTAAAGCCAGGCTAGGTTTATTTTTTTTTTAAATACGAGAATAAAGTCATGATATTATGAGAATAAAGTTGAAATATTATGAGAATAAAGTCATTAAAATTATGAGAATAAAGTCATCATAGCATAACCGGTTTCAGAAAAAAAGCTTTCAGCTCTGACCAGCACATAACGGCCGACCAGCACCACCAAACAGCAGCCTGCGTCAATTTTGACATACTGCCTAATTTAATACTGGTGTGCTAAAATATTTCCTTATATGTCAAATCGATGCCAAATATAACTTTACATGATGCTCAACATTCCTCGTATTAGAGAAGAAAGTGCTTCTTGTAAGAGTTGTCATAAAATACAACTCTAATCTCATAATATTATGACATTATTCTCGTAATACTATGACTTTATTCTTGTAATATTATGACTTTATTCTCGTAATACTGACTTTATTCTCAGAATGTTACGACTTCATTCTCGAATTGAAAAAAAAAATTTCTAGCCTGGCCCTAATACTCTGTCGTACAATTGAAGTCCTATGAGGAAACACCATAGCGATCAAGCTGATAAAATTCAGAGTTACCATATCACTGCATAACTTACAAATATAAAGTGATCTGGTGAGAATTATAAAAAAAAATAGGAGAGGTAATTATTGTGCTCATGGTGGTCTGAACCAGAGCAGTGTGTTTCCCTCTACTGTTGAATGGTGTGAAGCTTAAAGGATTTTTGTAAATAAGTTGTTTTATTTTTTGGGGGGGACCTTAGAAAAGCTAATTAACATCTCAAAAAGTGAAATAATATAGTGAATGCAGAGCAAAGGCAAGGACAGGAGAGTGAAGGAGGAAATTCAAGCCATCTCTTCCATTGTTTCAAAGCAATGTGAATCTTTTGGGAAAAGGATAAAGATCTCAAAGCCCTACACCGCAAAAACATTCTAGAAATCAGTAAAAAAAATTCTTGGATTAAGTGTATTTACCCTTAATTTGAGTAGGTAAATAAGATGATCTGCCAATGGAATGAGAATGTTTACTCTTAAAGTAAGATTATTAGATAATATGGACTTGAAATAAGACAATGAAATTGTTCTTTTCTTATTTTAAATGTAAATTGTCTTGTTCCATTGGCAGATTATGTGTTTTCGCATCCACCTCAAAAATATGTAGTTGCGCCCCTGCACTTAGCTGCAGGATCATATCCCCAACTCCAGTGTCTGTCTGCCAGGCTCTCTGAATATAGCGGACAGGGATTTAAAGAAGGCTTGAAAAAGCAAAGGAGGTGGGTTGGGAGTGTTTGTGAACAACATATAGTATCATCCAGGACATGTTACTGTGAAACATAAAGTCTGTGGCCCAGATTTTAAACTGTTCTTGGCCATATTATTTGCCCAGAGTTTGCCAGTAGTATTTTTGCGAATGTATACATTCCACTACCTGCTGTTTCCAGCTCTACATGTGATGTAATAAATTTAGTTGTTGCTAAGATATAGACACAATACACTAATGCATCTGTGACAATATATAGTGATTTTAAACACGCCTCAATCTCTGCAATCGTTGGAGGAATGGACAGAGCAGACTGCCATTCTTGAGGAAGCTTAAGTCATCCAGTGTCAGCAGCGAAATGAGGAATATTTTCAGTCTTTTGTAAAGTGTGGTCTCTTCTGTCATCTGTTGGGCTAGCAGATTCAGATTGATTAATAAAGAAGTGTGGCTCTGTTCTTGAAACAAAGAAGAGTCCTTCATAAAATGAACATTATTGACAGCCCTAAGGATCTTCTTCAAAAGAGTGTTAAAAAACATCAGTGTACCGTCAGTAAAAGGCTTCTCATGATCCACTGCAAGACAGACCTCTACCAGAATATCTTGTTTGTCTACAGCTATTAACCTTAACAACTCATTGAAAAACTGTATGAGTTACAACATCTTGTCAAGTTGTGTGGAGGTTTCCAGACAAAAAAATAGAGCATGACCAAAAAAACAGGAGACATTAGGGAAAACAAACATGAGGAGAAAGGCACGACGAGAAACCAGCAAACAGCAACTGAAGAGGAGGGGTATATATGCCAAACACAACAAAGACTGGGGGTATTCAACCGATTAGGAGCAGGTGTGGACAGAAGCATCTAGAAGGGAGCTAGGGAAAGGAGACTGACACAAGAGGGCAACAGAGGGTAAACAACAACTACATAAGAACTCAAATAAAACGAGAAAGCAACAGAAAATAGAAATGAAACCAATGAAAATTAAAAAAGAAAACTTACACAGAACCAAAAAGAGCAAAATCCTGACACATCTAATGTCGCTTAAGGTTTATTTGAGTATGTTTTTTTTTTACTTAATTGATTTTCTACCTTTCTCCTTCACACATTGTAAACTGAGAGATATTTCTTCATGATTTGAATGAAAAATCCTAAAAGACACTTTTCTGTCATTAGTTTTTTCTTTTGTGGATATCATTTCTTTTTATGTACCGATGATATAGTTTAAAGTTTCAAACTTAACATTTTCTTTTTGTTCCTCAGCTGTTTCTGCCTGCTTTCTGTTTCTGCCTCAGTTTGCTTATTTTTAAGTTCTGATAAAATAAGTATACCAGTATACCAAAACTGCTGAAACGAGAAAATTGAAAGGATCAATATGTACCTTTTGAGGTTGGTAAAAGATTATAGTTGTACTCAAAATAAATAACTAATACATTTCATCTATCAGTTTTGTAACTTGTTCTAAGACAATTTATGTGGGGTTCATAAAATAACACATAAACATTTTAAACCCAAATTATCCTCATCAAAAAGTAATGAACAAAGTACGAATAACAAACTTTGTATGCTGCACAATTTAAATATTCTGTCATCAGGGTTAGGCAAATTATACAAAGGATTAGAGTGAAAATTCAGAACAGAGACTTTGAATATAAATGAAAATGGAATCCCTTTTCTGCACAAAAAGCCTCAAAATTGACTCAGCTGCAAAACAGACCCCATGTAATGTGGTTCTAACCAAGAAATTAATATACCGTAAGCTGGAGTACAGAACAAAAAAAGGTTGTTTAGGTTGTTTATTCATACATGATTTTCTTCAGAACTGCCTGAATAAGAAGAGAATCACTGCTGCCAATATATCTGCTCATACAGCAAATACCATATAGCTTTGAAAAACTCCCATGTGCATAGCGTAATTTCATTAAAATGTTCATTAAAAAGCACATCCTTCTTAAAAGCTGCCATTACTGGTAGACAATCAGTGCAGCAGAGCAACGCTTAACATAGAAAATGGGGCTTTCTTTCCTCGATCATATTCACTCCCTGTGCTGTCTGCTGAGCTGAATCCATTTTCCAGGTGCCTCCCCCTAACAGCTGGTAATACAAAAATTCTTAGAGGCATATTCTCCCACTGTGACTTCCTGACAAGAACTGATTTTATAAAACTTTCAATTGTTGTTTAACACAGCATATTGACTACTGAGCCCAGCAAAGAATTTTGACTGTTGCCCAGGATTTTGAAAAACACCCTGTCTTCCCCTGTTATTTTCAAAGGGAAATTAATTTAATCAGAGAGCAGTTTGGGCAAACCTCATGCTTCAATGGATTTATGTATAGTGAGAAAATACAAAACAGGAGAATTTTTAACGTCTACAAAAATATTCTGCTGTCAGAGCAAAGCAATTGTTAAGACTTCACATAAGAGACTTAAAAGAAAAGCAGCAGAAAGAATTGGAGCATGGACCTCTTGGATTCATATGGACACATTTTTCTACTTTATCATAATGAAGTAAAAGAGTGGAAATTATTAGAGAGTAATGAGTGATTGCAGCCTTGGAGGTTTGACCTGGTTAACAAATCAAACAGAATACAAACGACTTTGATAATTGAAAAATAATAATAACAATAATAATAAAGTTGCAAACATCACTGCTGCTTCGAATCTAAATTCAGGCTGATTAGATCCTTAGAGTTCTCAGCAGAACAGCTGTCAGGTCAGATATTTAATGACCAGCATAAGCACTTGCAGCGTGTTGACGAATTGATCCTAACGCTATTTGTGATTATTATTGATATTCCCGGTGTATCAAAGTGCTGAAATGTGGTTGCACAACTCAAACTACTGTCATCACTAGGTCAGAGGCTGAATTGGACCTCTAGCTTGTCTGTCGGCTCCTCTGAGTAATGACACTGCATGCCTAATCTGTCTCCTCCAGAGTCTGACGCTGATAACGCAGACACAAAATACAGAGATGAAGATGGACAAAATCTTAAGGCAGCAGGAGAATCTCACAGTTGGCTGCACATTCTCTGGGCAAATCTTCAATCAAAATAATAAATAAATGCATATATATATATATATATATATATATATATATATATATATATACAAAAATCCCAAAACCCCAGCAGCAGGACAGTTGCTGGTGACTTTAACAGCCTGCACTTTGTAAGTGTTCATAAAACAACATCTGAACTTAATGACTAGTATAAGGGCGTAATGGTTGTCAGGAAATTACACTCATAAATTTAAGTGAATTTAGTCCCTGCTGATCCAAGTTATAGTATTACCAATTATTTTGACCAGAAATTACTGAGAGGAGGCTCACCATTTTCTGAATCAAGCATTTCTGAAGACTTCTCTGCTTTGCTTACTGCTTCAGCTGGAGGCCTGGAGGTATAAATAAAAAAGGAAATTATTTAGGATATGTTTAATGAAATGTTGTTGTTTATCTTGTAAATCTACAAAGTGTACAACATTATGAAAAAAAGATTATCACTCAATATCAACTATTACAGGAATAGTTTGTCAACACCTTATAAGCAGCAACTGTGAACGACCTCTACATTAAAAATTGGGTTAAGTTAATAGGTCTTGGTTACAAGGTGTTTGCCGTCACAGAAAATAGCAACTTTTACAGTAATCTTACACTTTCACATTTATAAAATGAGTCCTGCCAAACTTAATTGACATATATTTTACTGTCATTTTTTTGTCGGTTTAGTCTCTGCACTGGGTTCATGATGTAAATATGCCATCAATTCCAGCAGCTATGGGAGGAAAAATACTTTTATCACACCAGATCACAGCTGTCCTCTGTTCAACCACAAACACAGGAGACGCAGATATAAAAGTGATAGAGAGAAGAAAGGTTTTTCTCTTTCCAACCACTTCATTTTTTTTAAGAACCCAAAACAAAGAGCTAATAACATCAAGATAGACTCACATTCAGAGCGGTGTCTGAATAAATAAGTGTTGAGTCTTTTATAATACCACTATAACATACAATAGATACATTCTAAAAGGTAAAGACCAAACTTAAGATATATCGAATTGTAAAAATATATAATGGTAATAGTCTTTACTAAAATGTGCTGTGCTGATATGTGATATATCATCAGATTAAATATTCTCGGTATAACAAGACACTCAGGGATACATTATTTGTTGGGAGCTGGAGAAAATACCACTTTTCTCCAGCAGAGTCCGCCGTGGATCCTCTGAGGGAGCCTCCTGCACAGGTGCAGCTCATCAAGACCATCAGAGGATCCACTACTTAAGCTGCCTTCAGACCTTACCTCAACGCCGCAGTGTTGTTCCAGTTGGTCAGCGCTAAAGCCTTGATCTCAGTGATTTTTCCATGTCCTTAATCCCGAGTCGGATTCTAACGTTTGTCTCTGTGCCTCTAGGTGACTCGTGCTTCCTCCGTGAAAGCTCTGGAAGAGCTAACCTGCCGAGCCGACCCTCCGAGCCAAACCCTGAAGATTCTCAGTAAACCACTAAGCAGCTCTGGGCAAGAGCTAGGAAACCCAAGCCAAGGTCTGTCCAAATAAGACGTGAGACGCTGAAGCAGCTAACGGACTCTGCTAACACATCCTTCTCCAGAACCAACAGTGACTCTCCCAAGGAGAACCTCAAGAACCCTCAAGGTACTATCAGAGCACCATTGGAAACCAAACCCCGTCAACAGTCCTTAACTGTGTTGTCTCTCACGCAGACTCCGGTGAAACCAGATTCCAGGCCCAAACCAGTCATCTGCATATTACGTGCTTGTGCCAATAAACTTGTTAAACTTTTCATCCTGTGTCCGTCAGTGGTGTTCTGCATCTTTGGGTCTCACTTAGAGAACCGATCATGACAGAACACTGCGGCCAAACTCAAGGCCCAGCAGATCACCATCTCCGTCGGCTAGACGAACAGGCTGCTCAAATCCAAGGATTCAGCCAGGCCTTACGTGAGTTGAATGCACATATCGAAAGACAGAACCAAGCTATTCAAGGCTTCGTTAACTACTTCAATGGCGCTAATGCTACATCAGCACAGCAACCATTTCCGGGTCCAGTACCTCCCCCGAGGTCACAACCTGTGACGTCATCAGAGTTCCGTCCTAGTCTCCCAGAAAAGTTCTCTGGTAACATGAAAGATTGTAAGGGTTTTTTATTCCAGTGCCGACTGATTTTTCTGAACTCTCCTAGTTGTTTTTCTTCAGACCACAAAAAGATATCGTTCATCCTCTCTCAGTTAACAGGAAGAGCTTTAGATTGGGCTCAGGCAAGATTTGCCATCGACGACGGTGTTAATTGCCGTTTTTCTGACTTCATTGCTGAATTTTCTCAGGTATTTAACCAGGAGACGGACCAAACGATCGATTCCAGAGCTCTTTTCAACCTTAAACAAGGTAATTCTTCTGTGGCTGATTTCTCAATTAACTTCCGGGTTAAAGCGGCAGCTTCCGGATGGAACCAGAGCGCTCTAAAGGGGGCATTTTTCATGGCTCTAAATGAACAAATCAAGGATGAACTTGCTACCCTCGATGAACCAGCTTCCCTTGATGATTTTATTCGTCTCGCCATCAGATTAGATAACAGAATCCGAGCCAGAAACAGCACCAAGAAGCAAAGTAATTTTTCCTCTGCCACTCATAACATGGCTGTTCTCTCTCCCTCTACAGAGCAGATGACCACACAGAGATCTAAGCCACAGACTCTATCGTTGCCTGTTCAGGCCTCTCATTCAGGTGAAAGGGATAATGAGCCTATGCAGGTGGGACACACTAGGCTTTCTCCTGAGGAGAGACAAAGGCGTTTTCTTGCAAAACTTTGCATATACTGTGGTGAGAGTGGTCACTTTATCGCCTCCTGCCCGGCTAAATCAAAAGCCGGGGCCCGCCAGAGGATATGAGGAGTCTGGCGGGCCATATAAATTCAAGTAAATCTCCTCGACTTTTGCTGCCAGCTACCTTGTTCTGTAATAACCAGAGTCTCTCTTTCTCCGCCTTCATCGACTCAGGCTGTGAGCGCAATCTAATCGACTCTGAGCTCGTCCAGCAACTTCAGATTAAAACCATTCCCCTGTCTCAGCCTCTCAGTGTGTCTGCCATAGACGGAAAGAGACTCCATCGTGTAACCCACCAAACCCAGCCCCTCGAGCTACTTCTGTCAGGTAACCACCGAGAAACTATCACCTTTTTTGTGTTTCCTTCTGCATGTTCCCCCTTGGTCCTCGGATTCGAGTGGTTGGAGAAGCATAACCCTCACATAAATTGGACCAAACGTCTCCTGGAATCATGGTCTACTACGTGCCACGAAACATGCCTTCGTTCTGCTGCCCCGATGGCGGGGCCTCCTAGAGGTGGGGGGGAGATGGACTCTCCTGACCTTTATTCAGTTCCCTCTGAGTATCACGACTTAGCCCCCGTCTTCAGTAAGGTCAGTGCGACGTCCCTACCTCCACATAGACCCTACGATTGTGCCATAGAACTTTTACCCGGTGCTCCTCTTCCAAGCAGCAGACTGTATAATATTTCCAAACCAGAAAGAGAGACTATGGAGAAATACATCAACGAATCATTGGCCGCTGGAATAATCCGTCCTTCATCCTCCCCTCTGGGCGCCGGTTTCTTCTTCGTGGGCAAGAAGGATGGTTCCCTGAGGCCCTGCATTGACTATCGAGGTTTGAACCAAATAACTATTAAAAACAAATACCCACTGCCTCTTCTCGCCTCAGCTTTTGAACCAGTGCAGGGTGCAACTGTCTTTACTAAGCTGGATTTAAGAAATGCTTATCACCTCCTCAGAATTCGAGAGGGTGATGAATGGAAGACAGCCTTTAAGACACCCTTGGGCCAGTTTGAGTACCTGGTGATGCCCTTTGGTTTGACTAACGCCCCAGCCTGTTTCCAAGCCCTTGTGAATGATGTTCTCAGAGATTTCCTCAACGTTTTTGTGTTTGTTTACATTGACGACATTCACATTTATTCCAAGGATCTCCATGAACACAAGAGACACGTCCGTCTCGTTCTACAGAGACTACTGGAGAATAAGTTGTTCGTGAAAGCCGAGAAATGTGAATTTCATCAGTCTTCAGTCACCTTTCTGGGGTTTGTGCTCGAGGGCGGCCAGGTAAAACCTTCTGAGGACAAGATCAAGGCAGTCCTTGATTGGCCAGTACCTGAGAATCGAAAGCAATTACAGAGGTTTTTGGGGTTTGCTAACTTCTATCGCCGCTTCATCAGGAACTATAGCCAAACCGCCCTGCCATTAACCTCACTAACTTCTTCCAAACGAGTTTTTCAGTGGTCTCCCGAGGCCCAAGCTGCATTCGAGAAATTGAAATCCATGTTTTCCAGAGCACCCGTGCTAATTCAACCTGATCCTTCGAGACAATTCATCCTAGAGGTGGACGCTTCAGATTCCGGTGTTGGAGCTGTTCTCTCCCAAAAGGACGACTCAGATCAAAGAATACACCCTTGTGCCTATTTTTCCCGTAAGCTCACCCCTGCTGAACAAAATTACGATGTGGGTGATCGTGAGCTCCTGGCAATCAAACTGGCGCTGGAGGAATGGAGGCATTGGCTGGAAGGAGCTGAGCATCCGGTCCTTGTGTGGACTGATCACAAAAATCTGGCTCATATCCAGTCAATCAAACAATCTAACCCTCGCCAATCCAGGTGGTCCATCTTTTTCTCCAGATTCAACCTCATTATCACCTACAGACCCGGATCCAAGAACGTGAAGCCCGATTCTCTCTCTCGTCTCTACTCTGCCGATCATCCAGAGACACCTGAACCTGTCCTCCCAGCCTCATGCACCGTTGGAGTGGTCAACTGGGAAATAACGGACCTAATCAACTCAGCCCTAGCCACAGAACCAGATCCAGGTACCGGTCCGTCTAACCGCACATATGTTCCTTCTTCCGTCAGGTCCCGTCTGATCCAGTGGATGCACGCCGCAAAATTCTCCGCCCATCCAGGAGTGAGTAGGACTGTCGCTCTAATCTCCAGGCGCTTCTGGTGGCCCACGCTCCATCGTGATGTTAGAGAGTATGTGTTGGCCTGTCCCACATGTGCTCGCAACAAGGCTTCGCATCAACCTCCTTCTGGTCTCCTTCAACCTCTACCTGTTCCCTCGCGTCCATGGTCCCACATAGCCATTGATTTCGTCACCGGTCTCCCTGTCTCCCGAGGTATGTCCACCATACTAACCATTGTCGACCGTTTCTCTAAGTCTTGCCATCTAGTCCCCCTGAGAAAACTTCCCACGGCCTTCCAGACAGCCCAGCTTCTTATCAAACATGTGTTCCGGCTTCATGGCATCCCCCAGGAGATTCTATCTGACAGAGGTCCCCAATTCATATCCCAGGTATGGAAAGCCTTTTGTTCTGCGCTCGGCTGCAAACAATCTCTCACCTCAGGTTACCATCCCCAAACTAATGGCCAGACCGAGCGTATGAACCAGCATCTGGAATCCACTCTCCGCTGTCTAACATCCAATAACCCGGTGGATTGGAGCCTATACCTTCCCTGGATAGAGTATGCCCACAACTCTCTCCGTTCTGCATCCACTGGACAGTCGCCCTTCCAGGTCAGTCTTGGATATCAACCACCTCTTTTCCCCGCTGATGAGAGAGAGATATCGGTGCGGTCCGTTAATCATCACATCCGTCGCTGTCGAAGAATTTGGAGGGAGACCATTGCCACACTCAACCAGTCAGCTGAATCTACCAAGCGTTTCGCTGACGCCAAGAGACGCCCCGCCCCTGAGTATTCTGTGGGCCAGGAAGTGTGGCTTTCCACTCTAACCCTAACCCTAACCCTATGCCCCTCAAGGGTATGTCTCGAAAACTTTCCCCGAGATTCATAGGCCCATTCAAAATCTCCCGTGTGATCAACCCATCAGCTGTCCGTCTCCAACTTCCTCCTTCCCTCCGAATCCATCCGACCTTCCATGTCTCCCAGATCAAGCCTGTTTCCATCGAGCCCCTTGTGCCCGCCATCCGACTCCCCACCACCCGCCCTGGAAGTCGAGGGCCATCCAGCCTTCACGGTCCGCCGTATAGTAGACTCCCGTCGACGAGGTCGCGGTTGGCAGTACCTCGTCGACTGGGAGGGCTACGGACCTGAAGATCGTCAGTGGGTCCCAGGCTCGTACATCCTCGATCCTGCCCTGATCGAGGAGTACGAGCGTTCCCGTCCTTCCACTTCCTCCGGACCGCCAAGGGGCGGTCGTTGAGGGGGGGGTACTGTTGGGAGCTGGAGAAAATACCACTTTTCTCCAGCAGAGTCCGCCGTGGATCCTCTGAGGGAGCCTCCTGCACAGGTGCAGCTCATCAAGACCATCAGAGGATCCACTACTTAAGCTGCCTTCAGACCTTACCTCAACGCCGCAGTGTTGTTCCAGTTGATCAGCGCTAAAGCCTTGATCTCAGTGAATTTTTCCATGTCCTTAATCCCGAGTCGGATTCTAACGTTTGTCTCTGTGCCTCTAGGTGACTCGTGCTTCCTCCGTGAAAGCTCTGGAAGAGCTAACCTGCCGAGCTGACCCTCCGAGCCAAACCCTGAAGATTCTCAGTAAACCACTAAGCAGCTCTGGGCAAGAGCTAGGAAACCCAAGCCAAGGTCTGTCCAAATAAGACGTGAGACGCTGAAGCAGCTAACGGACTCTGCTAACACATCCTTCTCCAGAACCAACAGTGACTCTCCCAAGGAGAACCTCAAGAACCCTCAAGGTACTATCAGAGCACCATTGGAAACCAAACCCTGTCAACAGTCCTTAACTGTGTTGTCTCTCACGCAGACTCCGGTGAAACCAGATTCCAGGCCCAAACCAGTCATCTGCATATTACGTGCTTGTGCCAATAAACTTGTTAAACTTTTCATCCTGTGTCCGTCAGTGGTGTTCTGCATCTTTGGGTCTCACTTAGAGAACCGATCATGACATTATTTAATCTTTGTTTGCTAAACATTGTATGCTAAAATATTCCACAGTCTTTTAGAATTCAATTTAAATGTAAAAAGTTAGGAATTTGTTTTTATCACAATCATTTGCTAAAAAATAAAGTAAAAATAAGGGAAAACGGTCAATTGCACTGCAGGGCTGCAGCAGGTCAGTCTTTTTATCTCCAAAATCAAAACTACAAATCATTTTCAGAGACGCTTTTCTTAGAGATCTACTTGGTGCAAAAAAATCTAATAAAACAAATTAGTTTTCTCTAGCTGTAATTTATCTAAGTTACTCAAATTTAACTGATTGACTTAATCCTAAATCATCATCATACCTTAGTAAAATGTGGGTAAATTACAGCATCACAGAGATATTGCCACACAATCACTTTGAAACATTGTTGGTTTTAATACTTTAAAAAAAGTTTATTCTTTAGATTACTTCTATAAGATTTTTTTTAGCTCAGTGTTCACCCTTTGTGTTTTGCCATAACCTTGAAACATGAATTTATCACTGAATGTTGTCATAGCAGCTTTGCTGGGATCAGGATGTAAACTTTACAAAGTTATATGAATAGAAGTCCTTTGTTAAAACAATATCCAGAAGCCTCAGTGTCAGTGTTAAATAAAGTGATTAAGAATAGAACTACCTTGTAAAACAGGTTTCTGTTTAAGTACATTTTATAAATAAAATAAAATCATGATATGGGCCTTGATTTCTGAGCTTTAAACCCCAAATGAATGAAATATGAAAGAGTTTACTCACATGATGTTCTGAGCATCACTGTCGTCATCACTTAGTGATTCTAGATGTTCTACGGGGCTGTTCTGGTTGCAGTCATCTTCAGGTAATCTGGCCTTGTCGTCATGTGCTGGGAGAGCTTCAATGGAAGCTGATGCTTCGTTTTTATTCTGGAATCCCGCATTGCAGAAGGCAACAGGGCTTTCACTGTAGCCTCGGAAAAAAAAGTGGTTGACGAGTGGGTAGTGACCAGGGCGCACAGGCTTGGCTGCAAGCAGTAACAGAAGACTTATGTAAAGACTGAAATATTCATCCAGAAAACCAACGATCAATGTATATTTCCTAAAAGTTTTTAAGCATTTGGAAAGCGGTAATTTAAAACTTTTCAGACGTTCTTAATTGCTTTGGAATAATCCAGTAATGAAAACCATTATTTTGAGACCTCTCATATAAATCAATATCTTGTTTTCTCATAGCAGAGGCATATGTGTTGCTTGTTATTTCACTGCAATTATCTTCAGTTGAAGCAATTATGTGGGGAGCTGCTGATTAAAATAAAGCAGAGTGCTTTTCTAAGCTTTTGTTTTCCTTTTAAATGCATACAGTGCAAATTCTGCCATGGGGGAGTATTCTAGTGCTAAACCTATTCAAGCCTAAATGTTTTCTGTATTTCACTTATTGCTACATCTCACATATTGCAACCTATAAAGCTTAAACAGTACAGCCTTGTTGTTCAGTTTTAAAAACAGCTGCATCTCGTAATCTATCTCCTCTGCAGAATATTGAGGCAATAGTGCTGAGGTGCCTTTGGTTTTTTTATTTACTAAAAATGAGGTCGGTTTTAGGGCCAGCTTCAGCAAACATTGCTGCATCACACCGAGAAAAAAAACGAAAAAAGATTATCTAGTAGAGGGGTGAAAGAGATGACAAATGAGTGAGGCTAAAACATAGTGGGAATACTGCTTGTGAGGAAGGTACAGCCGGCACATAAAAGAAATGGTTGCAGCAAGGTTACTGATTCCTCTCACAGTGCCATTGAAATGCATGGGAGTTTCATAGGGGATGAAGATATAATGTTAAGGAAAAAAGGAAAACAAGTGCTAGAAAATAACATTAAAGATATATATACTGTACATGTTGGGAGGGTTTAAAATGTTTTTTAGTTTTATTTATATAGTGTTTAATTCAGTAAGATGAACGGACATGGAATATTTATACAAAGCATGGGTAGATTCCAATTGTTTGATGATCTGACATCATTCACATATAGATGTGAGACAGCTAACAGAAGGAAGACATCTGACTGGAAATGGAGCATTTAAAAATTTCAAAGTTGAGCCTCTGCCAGTGTATAAAATTCATTTTAAAAAACAAACATCAGATGAAGTATAAAAATTAAGGGCCAAACATTCTTTTCACATCCAAAGAGCTTTTGTTAAAAAAGAATATCTATTTTTTATATATAGATAAGTTTCCCATTTTTGTTGGCAGCCCCTGCAATGTAATGTTTTGCAGGCTGAGCTGTGGCTGAAGACAGCTTAATAAAAGAGCCACATGAATTGTCTCCTACCCCACGTAAAACTCAGTGAAAATAGTGGGACCAGCTTCATACAGGCGCCATACTGGAGTCTTCCCTGCAGAAGCAGGTTGTTACAGGCTGAAGAAAATTAACCAGATCAGGCTCCTCACCAATTAGTTTAAAAGGTAAACTGTGCTTGTGATGAGCTTAATCAGCTTTGTTGGCTGACCTCCCAAATACAAGGAAATCAAACCATAGATGTCCAGAAATTAAGTCATATGTAATAACGTGGAATGGCACAGAGAATAAGTAATCCACTCAGTCGCCATGGCCTGTATGCATGCTCACCACGCTGAGGAAAAAGCATGTTGAACCTCTTATAAAGTTTGTTGCACAACATTGAGCAAATGTGAAATACTGGCAGAATATAGTCTGGTCAGATCAGAGACCAAAATTTAACTCTTTGGAAGCCATAATACACACCATGTTTTGAGGTCAAATGGCACTGTACATCAACCCAAAACCACTATACCAACAGTAAAGTTTGGAGGTGGGAACATCATGGCGTGGGCTGCTTTTCAGCATACATTATGGTACTGACAAACTTTAAATAATTGAAGGATGGATGAGTGCAAAAATGTACAGAGACATTCTTGACATTTCAGCAAGACAGTGACTTCAAATACATAGCCAAGGAAATTTTAAATTGATTTCAGAAAAACAAAATAAAGTTGCTAGAATGGCCCAGCCAATCACCTGACTGGAATCCATTTGGAAATTTGATGGAAATAACTAAAGATCAGAGGAGGCCAATGAAATCTTCAAGATCTGAAGACTGTTTGTGAGTAAGAATGGGCCAAAATCACACCTAAGCAATGCGTTCAACTAATTTCTCCATACAGGAGGCATCTTGAAGCTGTCATTGCCAACAAAGGCTTTTGTAAAAAGTATTAAATACATTTCAATACATGTGTTCAATACTTTTTCCCTGTGTCATTTCATTTTATTACACATAACTTCATTTCTGGACATCTGTGGTTTGATTTCTTCTGACATCTGGTGAAAATGTCATGTCAATAGCACCTCTAGAAATATATGGTGGGGTGTTCAATACTTATTTCACCCACTGTAAATTAAAATGTACCCGTTTTAGAGCCGTCACCATCTATTTCCAGTTCATGTAAGACTTTGGTTCAATAGAGAGTATTAATATGATTTGTTAATGTACAACATATTTATTAAACGGTTATTAAAGGTCAAAATAATTTTCACAAATATTAATGTTTTGTTCATATATATTTTTGCACTAGAATAATTCCTAAAGGGAATAAATACAGCTATAGAATATCAATATTAAGCATAGTTTTCCTCACAGTTACTGAGATAAAGCAGACCAAATAAACAACATTTGGTTCATTTCATGCATTTAAGTGAGGTTTTCATGTTACCTATCTGTGCAGCATGGGGCCGGCGGAAAGGAGTGCGCCTCATCACATCCTTGATTCGCTCCACTTCCTGCTGGTAGCGTTGACGGTCTTTCATGGCACTCTCCTTGGCCTCCTTCAGCGCTCCCTCCAGTGCCTTAACTCTATCAGCTGTAGAGCGAAGACGTTTCTCCAGTTTTGGAAGCTCACAGCGAAGATCTGCATTGTCTCGTACCAGCTGTAACCCAATTAAACAGATAATGTCAACATTGATACTCTTGGGTGGATGTTTTTTCTGGCAGGTAGTGTTTACAATGTAGTGGACTTGAATTTTAAACAGATAAAAGCATCCAAATATTTACCTTTAGATTAAAACAGCAATGAGAGAAATATGTGAAACTAAACCATGAGGCACACCCTGCATTAATGACAAAATGTTCCTGTGTGTTGTTCCTGTTTAACCATTTTCAATCAAAAAGTTTAACCAGTATTTTAATTATTTAAACTCAATATTTCGAAACTAAATGGTATTTTTAGTATTGTAAATAGGTATTACTAACAAAACATGAATGGTAATATGAAGGAAAGTAAGGCTGAAATGCATGTGCTAAAGGTCTGGCAATAGGATCAGCTTTGATTTCAGCAGCACAATCTGACATTGACATTTTAACTATATCTAACCTTTAAATTGGCTCCTTTTATTAAGAGGAAAAGTTTCCATGGGAGGAAAAAACTTATTTTAGCCATATCACCAGTGCAAGATTTACAGCCATCCTTTGAGATTTGTTAAGTTTTTACAATCAATTTATACTTGCTTTTTAACTTGCCCAGCTACATTCTACAGGGTTTGCTTTTGTTTTTACAGTAATAAGGTCTGGGATAGAATTAAAAGAAAACAAGATTTTCTCTCACTTTGATTTTACCATATATTTGCTATATTATAATAAATCTTAGGGTCTGATCTTTATGCCTGTGTGGCTTTGAAAAAGTGCAACCGTGTGCATATGTGCAAGGCAGATCTTCAAAAAAGGTGCAGTGATTTGCATTTGCAATTAAGTAGACAGTGCGTGCAAACCTTTCTTGTCTGTTTGCCTTCATGAATATGCAGATCAATTTCTAATACCAAACTGATTTTCAAATCTGAAATCAAATCTAACTTTTTTTTTCTAGCACTTTTTCCTAGGAGACTAAAATTACAAAATGTCTGTAGCTAATATGGCCACAAAGAAGACATTGGTACAATAATGTCTGGTCTGGTCTGATCTGGTGCAATTGGTTCGGCTTGATTCAGTTCAGTTCAGTTCTATTCAACTCAACTCAATTCAATTTATTTATATAGTACCAATTCACAATACATGACATCTCAATAAATTGTAAAGAGACACATTTTTGCACATTTAGACCATTAGAAATAAGAGTATTATAATATTTATAAAGATAAAATGCCTACACAGGCCAGCAAAAATTAATGCGGTGGGATGGGAGACATTCATTATACATATAAGCCAAAAATATTGTAGCATGTTTATGAATTTTTTTTTTCATATTTATCATAACAAGACAGTAAGATGGTATAATTTTAAAAATTTATCATATAACAGTAGAATGAACAAGACGGCAGCAAATAATATTAAACTGACAATTTTTAATGAATGGAACCTCATGAAGTAAAATCTAAATGGAAATTGTGTTGCATTTAAGCATATTCCCTAAGGGAAGGATAATGACTGAACCCTTTAAACAGTGACATTCTGCCAGAACGTGATCATGCAACCTAATCTACGTCATGCAGACATTCTAAACTGAGGATTTACAAGCAGGCAAATTTACCCAACAGGCATAAAAGCCCTGAAGTCAGCTGACTGACCTTAGGTGCAGGAGTTTATTGTTTGGGTGTGAATAATTCTGAAAGAATACAATAGAAGAACAGAGCAGAGACTCCCCAAGGAAGGAAGAAAAATCAGCTACACACACACAGATTGATGATTAAATCTACCACTGTCCCACACTCTCTTTGAAAGTCTCATCAGGTTCGTAGGGAAGCTGGCTGATATACGACCAGAGTTACTTTTTTTTTCAATCTGCATCGTACCAGCAGGTAGTGGATGGGATTGAGACCCCCAACTGCATCTTCAGGATTGGTTTTCAGCTTGACAAACTGCTGCAGTGCAGCTCATACTCAGTCTGCAAAACGTTTAGCACATCATTACTTAGTGTTCTGCAACAGTCCATTTAGGAATATTACAGAAAATATACAGTGTGTGGCTGTGTATGCAGCCATATATTTATTAGCTAATGGGGAGCATTTCCCAGGAATATGCAACCCTGTGGGGTCTTACAAGTACTTATGGGGACCAACTCTTCCCATGAGAAGAAGTTACTTTTTTGGGTTAGGAGTGAACTAAGGTGTCATTAAGCTGTCATTTCAATCTTATCTTACAGAAAAAACATTAATCATTGCTCGTGAAACACAAAAAACTTTTGAAATAACTGCTCCCAAACATCAATTAACGTTTAAGGCACTAAGGGTGGTTTTCAGACCTTTTCAGATGTAGATCAGGCCACATGAAAAGATCAGTTTCACATCTAAATGTCCATCAATCATCGATCTCCCAAAATTAAGAAAATTGAGGTAAATCGATCGACCGGCCGATCAGTCGGTGCATGCCTCAATATTGTTTTTTCTTTTACCTATTCACTTTACTTACCCTATTTTAAATGTATGACAAATTTCCCAATCACCAGAAATTATTGCTGTTTATTTTTATTCTTTCGGTTTGATCTTTCTTTCAAACTGTGTTTTAAATTATCATCCAAATAGGGAGACTTTATAGATCTAACCAATGATCTTCTTATTGGAGAGTGTACAGGTGCTGGTCATAAAATTAGAATATCATGAAAAAGTAGATTGATTTCAGTAATTCCATTTAAAAAGTGAAACTTGTATATTATATTCATACATTACATACAAACTCATATATTTCAGATGTTTATTTTGTTTAATTTTGATGATTACAAATGACAACAAATGAAAATCTCAAATTCATCATATCAGAAAATTAGAATATTGTGAAAAGGTTCAAAATTGATGGCCCCTGGTGCCACACTCTAATCAGCTAATTAACTCAAACCACCTGCAAAAGCCTTTAAATGGTCTTTCAGTCTAGTTCTATAGGCTACACAATCATGGGGAAGACTGCTGACTTGACAGTTGTCCAAAAGACGACCATCGACACCTTGCACAAGGAGGGCAAGACACAAAAGGTCATCGCTAAAGAGGCTGGCTGTTCACAGAGCTCAGTGTCCAAGCACATTAATAGAGAGGCGAAGGGAAGGAAAAGATGCGGTCGAAAAAAGTGTACAAGCAAGAGAGATAACCGCACCCTGGAGAGGATTGTGAAACAAAACCCATTCAAAAATGTGGGGGAGATTCACAAAGAGTGGACTGCAGCTGGAGTGAGTGCTTCAAGAACCACCACACACAGACGTATGAAAGACATGGGTTTCTGCTGTCGCATTCCTTGTGTCAAGCCACTCTTGAACCACAGACAGCGTCAGAAGCGTCTTGCCTGGGCTAAAGAGAAACAGGACTGGACTGCTGGTGAGTGGTCCAAAGTCATGTTCTCTGATGAAAGTAAATTTTGCATTTCCTTTGGAAATCAAGGTCCCAGAGTCTGGAGGAAAAGAAGAGAGGCACTTCATCCACGTTGCTTGAAGTCCAGTGTAAAGTTTCCACAGTCAGTGATGGTTTGGGGTGCCATGTCATCTGCTGGTGTTGGTCCATTGTGTTTTCTGAGGTCCAGGGTCAACGCAGCCACATACCAGGAAGTTTTAGAGCACTTCATGCTTCCTGCAGCTGACCAACTTTTTGGAGATGCAGATTTCATTTTCCAACAGGACTTGGCACCTGCACACAGTGCCAAAGCTACCAGTACCTGGTTGAAGGACCATGGTATCCCTGTTCTTAATTGGCCAGCAAACTCTCCTGACCTTAACCCCATAGAAAATCTATGGGGTATTGTGAAGAAGAAGATGCAATACACCAGACCCAACAATTCAGAAGAGCTAAAAGCCACTATTAGAGCAACCTGGGCTATCATAACACCTGAGCAGTGCCACAGACTGATCGACTCCATGCCACGCCGCATTGCTGCAGTAATACAGGCCAAAGGAGGCCCAACTAAATACTGAGTGCTGTACATGCTCATACTTTTCATGTTCATACTTTTCAGTTGGCCAACATTTCTATAAATCCTTTGTTTTTATTGGTCTTCAGTAATATTCTAATTTTCTGATATGATGAATTTGAGATTTTCATTTGTTGTCATTTGTAATCATCAAAATTAGACAAAATAAACATCTGAAATATATGAGTTTGTATGTAATGTATGAATATAATATACAAGTTTCACTTTTTAAATGGAATTACTGAAATCAATCTACTTTTTCATGATATTCTAATTTTATGACCAGCACCTGTATATCTCACACACAGCTAAGAATATTTAAAGAGATTTATTTAAAGTTATCTCTGTGAACATAATCTGTATCCTCCTGTATACTTTAGGCCCAGTCTTTGGGGCTTTTTTTTATTTACAGGCAAAGCAATGCCTGTAGGGGGTGGTGGTCTAATGGTTAAGGCATTGCCATTGAATTCCAGAGGCTCTGCCCCACTCCCACAGACAGCCACTCTGGATCCCTTAGCAAGACCCTTAACCCCACACTGCTCCCCAGGCGCCACACAATGGCAGGCCACTGCTACCCAAGGGGATGGGTTAAATGCAGAGAGTTCATTTCGTTGCTTTGTACTTGTGACAATGTAATGTCAATAAAGTTGAATCCTATTCTTCTATTCAATGATGTTATGATCACTAAAGCCTATTCTACCAGCGTGGTAGCGTGGCTTATTCTGGTAGCAGAAGTTATTAACTGAGAGAATACACAGTAGCTGTATCACTAAGTGCTTCCTTCAAGTGACAGTTATTAGAAATCCAATATATGGTCATATCTACCAGAATAAATATTTCATGGTTTGTGTCAGTCGCTTTTTGGATCATTGTACAAATAAAATTTAGATATTCCATATTTGAATTTGGTGACCTGTCGCAGTAAAACTCTAATATTGGTTTACAATGAGTAATGTGAACCTGAAGCCACAAAGCTTCAGCAAAACTCAAACAAAGATCCTTCCTGATCTGAGCAGGAATAGGGTTTTTAATATAAAATGCAATGCCACCAGAATAAATATATTACAGCCATTACATGAAAATTAGTCTCCAGTAACACAGAACTTTCTGCTTTATATTTTAAACTACAAATGCTAAGAAGGCCAATTCTTAATCCCTTAATAGATTATCCTATTAAAAGATAGGTAATCATATCATTCACCTAATACATCTTAAGCCTATGTTCAAAATTACCAGTACATACTTCAACTTTTATGTCTTTTTCTGAACTCATAAAATCAGCTGTTTTATTGATTCATCCGGAGAGCCTTTTTTACCATGAATCCAAGCATTACCATTTCATGCGCAAGTTTCTCTGACATTTTTGCTTCAACATCTGTGCATAAGTTGGTAATGGTTAAGGTTAGGGAAATGGTCTGGGTCAGTTCATATGATCGGTGCAAAATTAATGAAAGTCAATGCATGGTCAGGGTAAAGATAGCAGGACAGGATAGGTGTGTGTGTGCGTGTTCAGTCTATTTTTAGCAGTAAGTGTTCACCTCTTTGGGAACAAAGGGTTTTCTGCATTTTAAGGCAGACTGAAATGTACAATGGGGAAGACCTTATGTTGTTTCCAAGAAGAAATTAATTTAGAGGTATGCTCACCAAATTAATGGTGCTAAAGTTGCTTTTACAAAAAAGAAAGCAGAATTCAAAAACTAACCTTTCTCTCTTAAACTAAAATGATAATAGAGTAATAATCGTGAATTCAAAAGGAAACCATAGAGTAAAGTATTACTGCTGTTTAATTTGCCTAATCATCATACAACATCATACACCAACTCAACTGTATTAACGTTTGATATTAAGAGGCAGTCATGATTGATTAAGGTGTTGCTATGGGGGTGGTGCTATGGCATGGAGGTAGACTGCATGACCAATATACCGGCAGTCGTAAGTTCGAGTCCTGGCCCTGCAGACTTTTGCCAAATGTCTCTCCAATTTCTTCTGACCCTTTTTCCTTTCTCCGTGTTTTCGAAAATAAAATTTAAATTAATGCCACTGGAGCCTAAAAATAATATTTAAAAAGTGTTGATAAAAGTTTCCAGATTCTTAGTCAGATTTTGTTTCAAACTTTCTTGCCTAAATATTCAGCATTTAACCTTTCTCTTGCAATGCTAACTTAGTATTGAGTGTAATTAATCATACTAACTCTGACCAGCTTTTCTGTCCCTGAATATAAACATCAACAGCATCATGCTACCACCACCATGCTTCATAGTAGGAGTAGTGTGTTAGAATAATGTGCAGACAGTTTTTCTCCACACAGAGAATCGATGCAGGCCGGAACATAACATTTTCCCCTCATCTTACCAAAATGGTTGAAGTCCTTTGTTGCACAAATGAGACTTCTTAAGGGGGTTTTAGTTTTTAAGACCTCAGATCTGTGGAGCAATCTGGAACATTTGAGGACTACTAAATAAGGAATGACTTTAAAAACTTTTCAGCTTAGGGCTTTCAATAGGGTTCTGCTTTGTGGTTCTGCTCTGTGAGGGGTTCAAAGTTGATTTCCCGAAACTCCTTGAAGCTTTTATGGGAGAGCTGTATTTTTAAAGATTAAAATACCGATGGATGCACTTTATTAACTTATTACATGACTTTTAAGGGTAATTGATTGCCATTATAAGAAGCATCTTAGGAAAATGGGTTAAAATACCAGCGATTTTCTTGTGTGATTAATGAATAAAGCTTTGTGGTTGCAATATAAACAAATGTGACAAGATCCTTTAAAGAAGAAGCTTTGAATGCAGAAGAAATGCTTAGTGTTTTCCCATACCTCTTGCTTTTTTTACCTGTTTGTGAACTTTACTAAGCTGCTCCAAGTTGTTTTCAAGAAAAGATATCTTTTGTTTTTGAGTGATAAATCCCCCAGAATCGCCAGGTTCAATATCTGTACTCTGGCAAAATAAAATAAGGAGATCTGTCAGAACTGTGTTACAGAAATTGCTGCGTTTGAAAATGCTTGAGTGTCAGAACTCTCAGTGTTGTTTGTCTTACTTTTCTAACTCGAGTCGTGAGGTCTTGAACAAAGAGCTTACGGAGGTTGTGCAGGGTGTAGAGTTCACGGGCCTACGGAGGGAGGAAATGAGGAAATTAGCAGTTTAGTTGATTATTTGTTGGAACAGCAGCTACTGGGGGAATTAATTAAGTTGTGAAAGTAAATAATGACTTACAACAGTCTCCTCCAACCCTTTGAGGTCCTGCTTTGACTGCTCGTGCCGTTCACACAGAAATCTATAGACATAAAGGAAGATGGCCAGATAGAACATTTGAAAACTGAACTTGTCTCTATCCAAATGATTACCTCATTCTGATCAGAATAATTCATGACAAGAGAACAAAGGGAGCGTGGACCAGCTGCTACACATGGGGGTGTTGCCCATCTGCAATCTGATGCAATGTGCTGCAAAGGTCAGTGTAGAAATGGGCCCTTAACAACCAGCTGCTACCTTATTAACCAAAACACTAATGGAGAGGCAAAATGGGCTGGACAGGCAGACAGATGAAATGAAAGAACATGATGAAAAAAGGGTAAAAGATAGAGAATCATGTACGGTAGTATAAAAAACACTGACATCTGCAGAGTAAAGGGATGATAAATATAGTAAATGCAAGACATGAAAGAAAGGAGAAAACAGGAAGATGGGAAACTAAAGAGGCAACTTGCCTCCAGGACACCATATGGTGAGGTGTTTGAAAGATGGCCAGGACTGTTAAGACGAGACTCACGTCAGTTCCTCCAGCTGGCAGCTCTTGTGATGCTCCCGACTTCTGAGACGTTCAAAGTCGCAGTGCAGGTGCTCCAACTCCAGATGCTGCTTCTGGTTGCAGCTGGAAAAATGCAAACCGATCCAGTCAGGGAGGTGTTATAGTACAAGGAAATAGACATTTTGCATATTTTAGACAAACTGATGGTTTGTCTTTCAGCAGCATTTTCAGAATAGAAATCAGATTATAGTCTGTATTACAACCCACACCGGAGAATTATTCCCCCTCTACTTTACTCCATTTGACCTTGTTTTTCTTTGGGCAAGTAATTCCCATATTTGAATGTTTTCCTATAGTTCTGTTACCCCTCCCATTTTATTTGATCATTTTATGTTATCTTATTTTTATCTATATTTTGAATGATGATCGTAGTTACTAACCAACTTGGCCAAGTTTAATAAAGCACTGGCCTCTTTTTTGAAATAGCAAATTTATTAAGATTATTCAGTACTGAATTTTATTTAAAATACCCCTCCCACGCCCATGATGGATCACTACTTAACATGGAGAGTCAAATATTAATTAAAGAAACTACAAAGTATTGTGTTGCTATGAAGCATTAAAGCTGTTGTTTTCTTCCAACCACAAAGAAAGACAAAGCAAAGCCGCCTCTCCTGCGTGGGAGCCACTAATTTTATGAAGTCTCCGTATCATATTCACCATTGGCAATTCAGCTTATCTTTGGGAGTGCTAAACAAAGTCAGCCCATTAGGTACTAAAAGAGCCTCTTTGTCTCAACCTCAAACCAGGATCTTTGCGCTCTGCCTCATATCACCTCTGGCTCATTGGAGAAAGTAGCCATTCATTTATGCAGAAGCAGTAAGGTTAAGTTAGGGATGTCCTTCTTGGGGTGGGTAAAGACAGCTCTATATAGAAACTTCTTGGTTCCCTCAATTTCCTTGACCCTACCATTCTTTTACCTTATTCAAAATGGTTATGTTACCCTAAGCTATTTTCTCTGTTTATGCTGCTATATGTTTAGGCTGATGGAGGACATACACTTTTCTTCCTTCTGCTTCATCCTGTCTCTCTTCTGCAGTATTTGTTAACTTCCACTTAAAACTTTATCTTCTCTCTGCCTTTTCCTGTAATAGCTTCATCTGGTCTGTTCCTGTTTGTCTGTGATTCTGTCTTGGATTGAAATATCAGCTGTGCTGCTGCCATTGACATCTCTGTTTATAGATGCTGGAGCGTGGCTGTGTTTCAGTGTATAGTCCCGTTTTTTTTTACTTTGACTAACTGTAGGTGCTATCTTATCCTCTAATATGGGAGCTGGCTCGGAGCTTGTCTGCCTTGCTGTGTCTTTCCGGGAAGGGGCTGCCTGTGGAGCTAGTTTACCGTTACCTTTTGTATATTAACTTCTTTTTGTATGTCTGCTACTGTCTCCTTGAAACCCAGTCGGCCTCGGCAGATGGCCGCTCACTCTGAGCAAAGTTTCTTCCTGTTAAAAAGGGAGTTTTCCTCTTCACTGTCGCTACATGCATGCTCTGTGTGATTGCTGAGGAGTCAACAGCAAAATGCAAGTGAAAATCTTCACCGCAAGCTCATCCAGGGGGAGCATCTCCTGTAAGTCAATGACTGGATCCAATCAACTGGTTTTCCTTGACAGAAACTTTTAACCAGTCTGGCTGTATCATCTATGTAAAGTGCCTTGAGAAGACAAGTGTTCAGACTGGCACTATGTAAATAACTGCATTGATTTGAATTATTCCAGGACACGAAGTGGTTTACTGCTCAGAGAGCAGAATTCATAACAATTACTCATACCAGTGTAAGTGAAGAAAGATTACAGCTTTGTGCATGATTTAAAAGAAGAAATAGCATTATAACATACTTCAAAGCTCAATTTCAGTTAATTTTGGATCTTATAGGCCCTTTACAATTGGCAGAGCTGTATACCCAAATTTAAAGAAAAATAGCTGGAAATGATCTCAAGGACATCAGCAAGTCCTTCTGAAAAAGGCTAATTTAAACAAAGGGATTAGACCACCTCTAAACAAGGGTTTAGAGGTGGTCTAATCAAACACTGCACTCATATTTTTTTTTAGATGCTGTATAATAAAAAGCCCTACAGTGCAAATGAATGTAAACAATCCTGCAAAACAAAAAGGGAAAAAAATCTCTTCACAGCAATGTAAGAGAGTCTGCCAATCATAGCAGTTGTTCACCCTGGTTTCCACCCAGACTTGCACTACATGCTACAACGTTTTTTTTTTTATGTGGGTAATAGTAGGCTTATTACATAATGACTACTTTGGTTCCTTTGATAAATTGAAGGTTTACCCCATATATGCTTTTTTTTTCAAAACAGTTTATATTTGTCTGACATTAAAATTACATGCTCCAAACGTTTAAAAGAGACAAAAAAAAAATTCTAAAAAGGTTACTTCACAACAGTGTATTTATTTCCATATTTTACTTGCCCCTTTAAAGTTAAAACATCTTTTGCCTGGCCTTGTCACATGTGCTTGCATCAGATGAGAAAATAAATGCTCTGTCCATGGTCTGAGGCATTTCTGGGCTTAGCTCAGTGGTGTGCAGCAAGGAATTAAGAAGAAGCAGCAGAGGTTTTTTTGGGGGGGGGGTTTAAATTCACATGAGAGCTTCTTGGCTTTTAGACTGGCATTTTGGCACCAAACAGGAGCTGATTGATTTGTCTCTGGATGAAATAAGGTCAAAACTAAACCACTGAAGTTCCCTTCTCAGTGTTAAGGAATATCTACTAATAAATACTTCTGCACTCTGCTTTTTTTCATTCCCATAAATTTAGCAGGTTTCCCCTAATTCTTTCATCTTTTTCAGAATAACCCACAAAAGAAGATGTCTGCAGTGACTTGCTCGTTTGAATAAAAAATCTCTTTTTCTGTTTCACATCCGTTCAGCCTCAATGACACCCATCAATCCATTCCAAGCTGCTTAAACAGATTCAGACTGTGAAAGCAGGATAAGAAGGTCTGCTCACAAGAAAATTCTCCACATCTCTTCGTTTGGTTGCTACTCTGAGGCCAGCTGGGAAATGTTTTCAGTTCTATGATGGGATCTGCAGCCCGGCCAGCGGCCTCCTCTCTGACAGTCATGCTCAGTATAGAACATAGTCAGTTTCAGGCACCTAAAGGGACAGCGCTTTTCACATTTAGGCTGAGTCAGACCAGAAGCTCTTGATATGGAGGCTCAGTAGAAGATGTAATGTCCTCCTACTCCACAGCTTTCTTAGTATGTTAGCCACCCACATGTGTCTATCTCAGCTCTCTTGCAGTGATGGCTTAGACCTTTTAAGAATTCAGCTTACACCCTTTAATGTATCTCCAGTTTAAATGCTTGCATGCTAGTCAATAAAGCCTTGATTTGGAAGCAAGAGAAGATAGATATAAATGCAAATGAAAACACAATTTAAAACTTTTCTAAATCTCCAATCTCTAATATAGTAGAGAGTAGAGAGTATAGATATTGATTGGGAACTGATGTGAAACACAAGTCAACCATTAAAATGTTTTAAAAACAAGCTAATTGCTGATTGATGTTTTCATTGAATAGGGTAGCTGGAGTAAAATATGCTATTTTAGCAGGTTGATTTATCAAATAGGGGTCCACATATGATTTATGGTCCAGGATAAGGTTTATGACTACGACAACTGGGCAGCAGGAGTTCAGGGGACTGGAAATACCTTTAGGGGTACCTGTTTTTTGTATCCCTAAAGCTGTCTTTGAGAGCTGCTTTGTGTTTAGATGCACCTCTGCTTCACAGTACATGAAGAAAACGGCAAATTTTCCTCATCAGCATGACATTCAGGTTCTGAAACAACCCATATATTTGATTCAGATGGTTATAGCCGTGATTCATCTAAAAGCTTCAGGATAATGGCTCTTAAAGACTGGGCTTAGGCATCCCTGACCTAAGGCAGCAAGACAGATTTGCAGTGTTGGTAACTGAAAAAAAGGTTTTGCTTTATCATTTTATGTATAATTTATAATGAAAGTTTTGTTTTCAAATACCATATTTTAGGATATGTTTTTAACCTACCTTTCTTAAAAAAACATTCTTTTAATAGAGTCAATAAATGTTCTAATATTCCTGTTCATCTAAGAATATTATTGTCTGGTTATGGATGAAATAAACTTGAAAGTTGAATGAGCATAAAAGTAAAGTCATACACTGACTCTGTTAATTCACCAATGGTCTTCTGCTTGTCATTGATCTCATCTCGGAGGCGGCCGAGCTGCTTGCTTTGGGCTTCACGGTGTGACTGCATCTGCTCCTCTAGAGCTTTCTGAGAAGTCGAAAAGAAGACCAATAAAGGGAGAGCAAATAGAGAAAGGAGGGTTGCGTGATGTGGAAAGAAAGGGAGAACAAATGATTAAACACCATGGGAAAAGATATTACACACATCCGGCAGATGTGAACTTGAATGGCCACATCGGTATTGAGCACAGCACAACTTGTGTCAATAAATTGCTACAGAAACTGGGTTTAGACTCAGATAATGAAACTTGAGCTGTAAATCACAAACACTTACATGCATACAAAGAGATGGATGGATGGATGGATGGATGGATGGATGGATGGATGGATGGATGGATGGATGGATGGATGGATGGATGGATGGATGGATGGATGGATGGATGGATGGATGGATGGATGCAACATTTAAAAAATGGCACATGGATTCTGCTAATACATTTTTTCACACTTCATAAGCTTTTCCAGCCCTAAAGGAGCTGCAAAGTACTTTGATTCCAATTTTAAATCTTTACTAAACATTACCCAACTGCGTAGGAACCCAAACATTTCAACTGTACTGTTTTAGAAATAAACCTTATTTTATAATTTTCTTAGTTGTAATTCTGGAGTGCACTAAAACACAGCATGATCTGTAGATCCACAGCAAGTAAAAAACTTTGCCAACACCTGCGTTTAACTAGGTGCTGAAGCAGTGTAATAAAATCACAGTAATGAAACCACTCTAATTGTAATAATAGTTACCTTAATATCAGACTGGAGAGATGTGCTGTTTTCCCCACTGGTCACCCATGACATGCTTTCTGAAAACAAATATTTTCAGAAAAAAAGAGTAAGAGGAATGTGAGATGGTTTGAACAAAAGAACTGAGCAGACAGGGTGTTACTATGAGTCACCCAACAGTTTTATTACTGCTTTGACCCGATAATCCACCATTAAAAGTTGATCATGTAGACATCAGTCATGATTGTAGTGAGAAAGAATGTGGTAGTAAATTAAATCTTTGGGTCACCCTAACCTGATATTGACTCACTGCTGTCTAAAAGTGAAACCACTGAGCTCTGCACCTTGCTCCAGGCACTGCAATCACTACGGACTTTGTATTTAACAACTGCTTCAAGGTCCGCCTGCCTGGCTTATTGAGTATGACCAAAATTAATTTACAAGTTCTAAAACCTGTTGGTTATTTAATTCTCCTCTCTGGGAAACAACAGTTAGAATGACTTACATTCCCTCTGGCCTGATTTGTGAATTGTGTCAGTGCACTGGGAGCACCTGCAGTTAGCTGCACTGTGCACAGATTTCAAATCCACTATTAATCTTTTTTTCTGCTGGTCCTGAAAAATGTTTATTTAGCTTTGTTTTGTCCGTCCTCAGCGACATAAAAAACAGTGACAGAATAAAATGCTCCACTGAAGCAAGAAACACTTTTTAACAGGAACTCAATTTCTTCACCTCGCTTAGTCTGAAACAAAGATTGTTTGGCGGTTTCCTTGCCATTAATTTTGCTAAGACGTGATTACATTTGCCTGCTACAGAATGCTGACCTTAACATTTGACTTTGCCAACCGTCTGCAATTTATCATGATCTGCAAACTGGAGCAGTCCTTCGTCCTTCACAGGTGAACGATGGAATGTCAAACAACATCAAGGATTATCAATTAACATTCCCACCATACAAGGCACAATTCTCCTCCTTCAACATAAAATAGAGATTGTTTGTTGGCACCAGTATACCCAGATGTTTATTTAAAGTTTTTAGAACTCATGAGTACATCTTCTCCTTGAACAGGTTAAGTGTTAGGCCTCTTCACATCTTGTAAAATACAGTTTTTTGTTTTTTTTGGTTGTTTCTTAATAAAACTGTTCAAGATTCATAGAACATAGAACCACATCCTCGGATTGCACTTATTTCAGTGCAGGGAAAAAGTCACCCAGTAGCTGTACTTAAAAAAACAGTATGGGAAATGTTTAAGTGGAGTACAGTAAACGTTGCAGTGTTAAAGCAACACTTTGAGAGTAAATTTGGTCCCACACTAATTCATAGTGGGACCAAATGTACTCTTGAGTGTTACTTTAACTCTGCAACATTTACTGTAGACAGGGAGGCCAATTGGAGTCTGATGAGTAGGGGCATAACTGGCCACTTTATTAGGTACGCAGGTTCAATTGCTTTTTAACACAAATAGGCAATCAGCAAATCACTTGACAGCAACATTTGGCATCTAGATGTAATAGCTACAGACCCAAAGGACTTCACTGGATTTTGCTCGTATTAGCTGAAATAAAAAAAAGGTTGGATAAAATTGCATTAGGCTTGTGTTACATTTTAGTGGGGTAACTTTAGGATTTTTTCATTGTAAATGTCATATAACTAATTACTTTTCATATATAGGTATTGACATTACATGACTTGGACACAGCTGGAAGAGATTTTTACTGAGGACAGGGCAGGGATGAGCAGGGAGCTGAGGTACACATACTTGACACTGATTAACTTAGGAGCTGAAATGCAGACATGTGTTAAGTATACCATGAACAGACTAAGGGAAGAGGCGACGGTACAGTGCCACTGATTCAATAAGAAACAAAAAAGGCTCGCTGAAGTCAAAGGATGGATATTGTGGTTAGAACCAGTGGTGGACAAAGTACTCAGCAGTAGTACCTGAGTAAAAGTATTTATACTCATAGTCAAATCTTACCTAACTACATGTAAAAGTTACTTAGGGAAACATCTACTCAAGTTAAAGTTTTTAAGTACTCACATTTGAAAATACTTAAGTATCCAAATATACATGCATTTTGAAGTAATATTCAAAAATACAAATAATATTTTCTAATATCAGTACATTTCTGTACAGTTTTCAGAGTAATTCTAAAGAACCTTGTAACCTTCAGCAATCATCTGATGAAATTATGATAGAATAGAATTAGCTTATACATCTGCTGCACAAATAGTTTAATTTAAAAAAAAGTAAGAATCACTGATGTGACTCCATTTTTTTTTTTTTTAAGTCAGACTTAGACTTAGACTTAGACTTCTTTATTTGTCATTTTGTATGCACAGGGTGCATACAGAACGAAATTGCGTTACATACAGCTTATGAACGTTGCATTGATATTTCACAATGGCACGAGTTATAGAAAAATACAAAAAGTGCAGCAGTGGTCAAAGTGTGAACAGTGCAGAGGATAAGAGACAGTGTGCAAGTTGCAGTGGTTCAGTGCAAAATGGCATTTGTGCAAAAAATGCGTTATTGAAAAATACAATGAGATGAACAATTTAAAGGGCTAAAAGTTAAAAGTTCAGCAGCATTTGATGCCCGATAATGTGCAATAGGTGCAGAGTTCGGATTGTGGATCAAAGGTTCAACAGTCTGATGGCAGTGGGGAAGAAGCTGTTGCACAACCTGGTGGATCTGCAGCGGATGCTGCGGAACCTCTTTCCAGAGGGCAGCAGGGAGAACAGTCCATGGTGGGGGTGTGAGGGGTCTTTGATGATATTACGGGCTCGGGACACACAGCGCTGTGATGAAATGTCCTTAATGGAGGGAAGAGGAGCCCCAATGATTCCTTCCGCTGTCCTCACCACCCTCCTCACATTCTTCCAGTCAGAAGCTCTGCAGCCTCCACACCACAGAGAGAGACAGCTGGTCAGAACGCTCTCTATGGTGCTTCTGTAGAAGGTTGTGAGGATGGGCGGGGGCAGGCGGGCTCTCCTCATCCTCCGCAGAAAGTACAAGCGCTTCTGTGCCCTCTTCACTAGAGATGAAGTGTTTACAGTCCAGGTGAGGTTGTCCGTGATGTGCACCCCCAGGAACTTTGTGCTAGCATTACAGACCTAACTAGTTAGAAATATAGCATCTACATATAGCTGAAAGGCTGTGTTGGTTAACAGTAGGACTTTCACAGGGCTGCAGGGAGTGTCTGCAGTTTTAGCTTTATGCTTGTTTTTATTTTAGACCACAGGGATTCAGGTATTACTCAGCTGTACCTTGAGCTCTGAGCTTGGCCAGCTCCTCAGTCAGGGAATCGTAGCTCTCCTCCAGTTGTCGCTTCTTTAAGTCCATATTCTGCATGTACTCCACCAAAGACTGGATCTTTGCCTCATGCTGAAAGTCACAATGTTAATCTCAGATGCAGAAAGCTTAAAGATAAGAAAAAAAATAATAATAAAACTTTACCCATGAGAACCCTCCACTAAAGATGAAGAACTCTCCTGCTAAGCTGAATGAATCTGCTCACATCAAATATTTATGAGGCTCAGTCATTAGGGAATTTAGTTTAAACACCAAAGATAGTAAAATTTACCTCCAGATAACTGCAGACAACCTAGGTCGCAGACAGAATATAAAACACTCCACACTTTAAGAATCAGAATTGGATGCATAAATAAGGACTGACGGAAAAGAATTGAACATCTCCACAAACAAAGGACAGAAACTTCAAAGCATTAATTACTTTTCATCAAAGTAATCTAAATCACACAAAGGCCCACTAGACGGCAATAAAACAGATAAAGGAGTGTGCTTGAAAGATAATGGAGATGATAATCCGTTATGGAGTATTTGAGGCTCTGATGTCTGTTCTCCTTATTTTTGTCACAATAACACCAGTATTTCCATGCAGGGAAACAGATTGACAATTTTATTTTCTCATCCTGATCATCTTTGTTTCCTTGGTAATAAACAAGGACTAACTGATCAGTTTAGATCTGCACCTGCGAGACAAGAAGATGGCATGACGACAGCTCTCGGCTTGTTTCCTCCATCTTTTTGTTGCACTCCGTTTGGAGGTTCTCCAGGTGTCGGCAGCGTTTCACCATGGACTTCACCTCAGACTTTATCTTGCTGATGTAGAGCCGGGCCACTGTGAACTCCTCCTCGACTGCACCACTGATCTCAACGGGCTGGAGATAAATAACACACACAGCAGGAGAAGCTGCTGAAACCCTAGCAGAGCTGATGCTTATCAAGATTGAGTGGCAACGATTGAAAGATGGCTGGGAAATGAAACAGAGAGGAAGGAGAGAGGCAAAGACTTTGTGGATCTTTTGAACTTAAACATTTGATTAACAGCATTGTTTAGCAGATGCTGTGACTAAGCTGGTTTTCAATGGTCTGTGGAGAATTAAAGAAATAAACACATCAATCTCAATGTCGCATATTCTACTGATTCTACAACATAGGTCCATTAAGTCTTATTCATTGTTACTGCAGTATTTGTTACAGTGGTATTAAAAATAGTAGATCGTGAACATGTTTGCATTTTTTCATACCACCAATTTTTCATACCAATAAAACCACATTTTATTTGTTTAGTGGTGGCCCAGCATGAATTAAAGTGAAAGGATTTTTTAAAAATACTTTTCAAATATTAATCTGAAAGTCTTTGAGTGTAAATTCAGAGCAGCCTTTTTCATTACAGTGTAAAAATTGCAAATCTTCTTTTGGAAAGTAAGCTTGTATGAGCGATGCAAACAGAAACATTTAAACAAAGCGTGCACAAGGACATATGGGCTCCTGCATGCTCTCACACGCGTTTAATACGTGTTCCCTCTTGAGACGTGGTACAGCGTTGTGCATGTGCATTGTTTTTTTAAGTGGAAAGGGTGGGTCTTTTCAAAAATTCATGAAAATCCTCCACTATACCTTTAAGTTGGAGCAGCATTTTCTTTAAGAGCATAGTCCAAAAACATTCGAGACCAGTTGAGGAACAAAGCTAATGACATTAGTCAATCTATAAGGGCAGCTAAAACAATCACTTAAACCACAAATACATTTTTTTTTTTCACTCACCAGCTTGATTTCCCTGTTTCCAACTATAGTGCTGAACTCACGCAGGTCTCTCATGAGGCCATTGAGAACCTCAGCAATGCGTTTTCTTTGGTGGCTGCTCACCTCCTGGATACGGCACAGCTCTGCCTCTAAAGCCCTAAGGTGAGCCTGTTGGAGGAGACAAGGAAGTTGAGATGTGTTTAAGGAAAGGATGTCAAACAAGCAGAAAATAAAAATTAGAGAAGGACTTTAATTTTAATCTTTTAATGCATTTGTTTGTTGTTTTTCAAATGACTTAAACTGAACTGAAATACAGATTTGCATTATATTATCTTGAGGTCACATGATTCTGAAGAATCAAAGCACATTCTTAGAACACTAAATGGTATATAGAATGTACCTAGTGCCTTTTTAAGTCAGAGAACTCCAATGCACTTTACACTACATTTAGTTATTCACCTGTTCACCCACACATTCACACACTGATGGTGACAAGCTACATTGTAGCCACAGCTGCCCTGGGGCAGACTAACAGAAACATGGCAGACTTTCACAGGCGCCACCAGGAGACACTTAGAGATTTACATCCTTATACAACCAGCACTTATTTTTAAACTATTAACTGACTACACTGATATGGTTTGAGTAAACGGGTTGTTACTGTTAGGATTTTAAACATTGTCCCAAAATAAATTGGTTTTTTTTTCTGTTCATTAATTATCTTTGAAACTCATATTTCTTTTCTTTCATTCCTGCTGTTTTGTCTCTTTGGTAGACATTCGGTAAACTTTTTTGTACACTGAAGTCAGAAACTCTACTCCTTCTTACTCGAATGCGTGATCAGAGTGAATAAAACTTCAAATGTGAATAAAATTGGTTTTATTCATAAGAGGCCAGGTAAAAAAGAATCTAACTACAGGTGTTTGTCAAACTCGTGGACTTCGCTTTAAAAGGCCCTACTTTCAAGGTCTTTTAAAAAAGAAAATACACAGCAAGATGCTTTTCATTTTCCTTTCAGTATTTGGTCAATCGTGTTTCTACTGATCTACTTAAAATGAGATTTGCATGGTTAAAGCCAGGTTTTTCTTAGAGTTAAAAAAAAACGAAGCAGGTCAAGCTGAGAAGAAACATCACAGTCTCAATTTTCTTAAAATCATTCTACTCTGCGGATTAACAACTCAACAATATCAATACTTTTCTCCTTAACCTCACTGCATTAAAAACAAGACAATCCCCCCACCCACCCACCACCACATTTTATTATGCGAAACACCACCTATCTACCACTGGATGCCAACATTTATCAGTCTGGTGTGCGCTCTCTTTCTTTCTCTCCATCTGTTGAGGTGCAGAAATATCCCAATGCCAAGCACAAACAGCTAAATATACCAGACAGAGTTAAGCAGGTGCTTGATTCCTAAAATAAAGGGGGAAAAAAGGAATATTGGAAACATTGTGTCTGCAAACATAATGTGTTATTTTTACATTATTTATGTGGGGGTAAATAATAATTGTGAAAAAAACATGCTCTGCATTTTGCAATCTGCTTAATTACTGGTGATCTTTGGATGTTCTCTCCTGTGCATCCATAGGTTCTCTTCAACAACATAATGATTATTTGATTTCTCTAAATTGTACTTAAGTGTGTATGTCTGTTGCTGTTTATTTTATTATTATTTTTATCTTGTGGCTACAGTGGCTCAGTGTGAAGCATAGTTGCCTAGCAATCAGGATATTAAAGGTTTGATTCCAGCTTCATCTTGACACATATGTAATCCCCCCATAGGCATGAGAGAATATGGCTATAATGTAAAACACTGTCAGTGGTACAAAAAATGCTAAATGTATTCCATTTATATCTGTCAGTCTCAGACTTTTGAAGGATAAACTCAAATTAAATCGAATGAAATCTGCTGCATTTCTGTGTTAATCATATTCCGTTTAAGCTGGCATATAGTCAGGAAGAAAAAAAAACGCATCAAACAATGAAAAACTTAAATTTATAGTGAGGTTGGGTGTGATTAAAAAAGGCTTCCTCTTGATTCTTGCTTGAAGTAAGTTGATAAAGTCAACATGTCTAAACAACTGATCTGTGCTTATTCTATTACATACAGCATTTATATTAGTAAAATCAATCTATATATTTGTAAATCATATTTCTTATATATATATATGTATAAGGCTTCAGAGTGGATTACAATACTATAAAAAATCTCCAGACTCATTGCACACTGTGATGTATTTTAACTGTTAATTTCAATAAATAGGACAATTTTTTTAGCAAAAAGGAAAAAAAGCTATATTTTGCAACTTTTTTATTATACAGGGTAATAAAAAAGCAATAAAAAAAATGTCAGCCTACTGAAAAGTAGGTTTTTACGCTGTGTAGAACACACAAACCTGCCTAGGTCTATTTCATATAAATGCAATTATGTAATTGCCCTGTCATTTTCTAAGTGTCAGTAAAGCCCAGGTTACTAGTGGCCTTCAGGTCATCTGGTTTATCTTATCTTGCTCTTTACAATAATCCATAAATTATCTCTGGGAAAAGTTCAAGCCAGTTTGTTGACTAATCAGAGTTTGACTCGTTATCAGGGATATGAAAGCAGCTTTGCTATCTTGTGGACATGTGTGGCCGAGTTCCAAATCCTTATGGTAAATGTAATCAGGCTCTTCATACAGCTTTAAAACGCCCTAGATGATGGCTGCCTTGTCTTTAGCCTTGATGGAAGTTAGTAGACATACACTCTGTCCTCACTGACTTTGGAAACCTGTACTCTTCATATTCTTCATTTGAAACATGCTTTTTGGAAAGGGAGAGCTTTGACAAAAATAATGCAAAATTTTTGTATTCATCTTTGCGTGGTGTCTCTTTAAGCTCTGAGGCCAGACCTTGTTAATCTTCCCACAGAGGCTTGAATTCACTTTGCTTTGCAATCCTCTTAAAGCTGTTCGTAAAGCTGTTGTTATCCTTGTTGTTTTTTAACCTTTCTCTACCACACCTGTTTCTTCCACCAAACTTTCAATTAGCATTTCTTGATACAGCGGTCTGTGAAAAGCCAGTTTGTCTGGCAATGACCTTTTGCAGCTAATCTTTTTTCTGGGGAATAACAATGACAGTCTGAGGGACAAATGTCTGCTCAACATTATTCCCTGTTACTGTGGCAGCCACAGCAGAACTTTTTTTTGTGTTAAATGTGATATTTTGTATTGTGGTTTGTTATGATTCATTTTTTTTTTTTTTTGACATAATTCTCAGTTTTCTTAGGCTTTGAGCCATAATCATCTATACTGACAGAAAAAGAACAATGCAATGAATCTATATACTTATTGGATTCCTTTATAGAAAATGTTAACTTTTTGATTATATTCAAATCACTCTAACTAAGATACATGTTGTGGTCAGGTGTCAAAACAGAATCACGTTTATACTGGTAAAACAAAAAGTGCAGTTTCTATTCACTTTATTTATATAGTTCCAATTTACACACATGTCATGTCAAGGCATATTACAGTTCAACCAGATCATACAGTGAAATTTATTCACAGTTTTCTTTCCAAGGAAAACCAGTTTTTCCAAAAAACTTAAAAAACAATCCAGTGGACCAGTGGAAAACAATTTGTGGACTTAGAAAACATGTTTTCTAAACAAAAACAAGGCTTCTGTCCAGTTGATTATTTTTTAACTTTTTTGGAATGACGATGACCTGGATGATTGAGACTCTTCACCAGTATAGCAAACCAGTTGAATGCATCATCTCATTGACTTGAATGCAATCCCTCAAAAAGTTCAAAAAGTTCTCCTCTTGAATATGATGTATAAGATCTATTTCACTTTGCACCATTTTTTTCTTACAGAGAGAAAGAACTTGTCAACCATCTGACATACAATTACTATTAGCAGGCTTGCTCTTTTTCTGCCAGCTAGGATGTCAATAAAGTAGGAGGAGTTTGTTTGCATTTATGTTTGCAGCATATATGAAAAAGAACAATACATAAATTGACTCTTTTTAACCAACTTGCACAGTAATTAGCATAAAAACAGCCCATTAAATTTGGGTCAACTGTGTCCAGGTGGGTGCTTGCAACTCTTGTTTTTTTTTTTACTAAAAGAAAGCATGCTGCATTCATATTAGCTGATGTGGTTTCAAAATCTACAATGTCAGCTGTATATTCTTCATGTCTTTCATTAACGTAATGCTCTGTTATACTTTACAGGTCACCTCTCCAGTCAAACTTCTACTTCTGAGTAAGCGGCAGTCAATCACTAACCCAAAGATAATTCAATCATGAATAAATAGAAAGAACAAAGAGAGTAAGTTAATACAACTATTCAGTTTATCCACAGAGAGATTTATGAAAATATATTCAAGAGAAGACTCTTGAAGTGATGAATAGTGTAATTGAAATTGATAGAAATGAACTTAAGTAGCTAGATAAATGGAAGAAGGTGCACTGAGAGGCAGAAGAATGGCAATGACACTGAGCGATGGCCTCAAAGGAAAGAGAAATCTTAACTAGAATGGAGGATGAGGAAAACCAAAGAGGCGGTCAAATGATGAATGATCTCTGCTGAAGATACGCAGAAATAAAAATCAGTCCTAAAGATGCAGGATGATGCTGAGAAAAAGCTCTGTCACAGCAAAGTAATGTCTAACGTATTGCCGGTCAGCATGTTAGAAGACGTTCCTGTGAAGGATCCCTGTCAGCTGAGAGGTATCGACAAAACGCGATGAAAAGGAGAAGTTGTGCTAAGTGAAATGATCAGGGACAAATTACAGTGCCAGCAGAGTTTGAACTAAATTGCACACAGAATCGTTATGTTGTCAGCTCCTTTCATCAGGTCTTGGTTGGTTTCTCAGAAAGACAAAGATGAAAGCAATGGTCGTCTGACAGGCTGTAAAATGGCACATGAAATATTGAGTAGGCTCTAATAGGGTGAAGAAAGGTTTGCTCGGTTCACAGAATAGGTCACAATAACTGAATTATGGTTTTACCACATTTGCAGAATTCTATAAGGATCAGGAGATAAGAGATACATTTACTTTAATAGAGTAGATTAAAAAATTACAGATTGCATTCCAAAAAGCCTGGTTCAATAATCAAAGTAATGTACTTTTAAGCTTTTTTCTCATTAAGTTAAGGAAAAAGTTAATGAAACTAGGTAAAACAGCCCCTGTACAATAAGAATCCAATCATAACCAGGGTTTTGCAAATCTATTGGTAAGAGGAACTTGTTTCACCAATAATTATAATTGTTAATGCCAAAAAAAACTTTTTATATACAATTAGATTAAGTAAAGCGTCAAATACTATTATTTAAAGGAGAAGTTCACTTTTTTAACACTTTAAGCCCATTTTCTGTAGTGTCCAGGATGAAATCGAATGATCGACACCAACATTTTGACAATTGGTCCTGTCTCTGCTTTTTGGCTCATTTAGAATCCCCCCCTGGCTGCTTCAGAATGGCTTCCATTGTGCATGTCCGATAATGTCCTTAACACAAACTTAAACGTTCTTTTTTAAAATATGCTACTCACCGGGTCGTCAGCGCTGTTCAATGACGTTCCAAAAAAAGTTTCGTAAAGAAAAAACGTTCCTGTAGTGTTTTATTTAGCATTTTGTAAATCCCATTGAGTTCTGTTGGAATAGTCAATATTCCCCTGCCACCGGAAACGGAAATGGGGCCTGTTTACACAGTTGTAGTCTTTTCGCTTCACTCTGTGTACTCCGACGTCGCGGTGCTAACGTCTCTGTTAAACACTTTAAAAAACTCTGAAAATGGAATACGAAAGGTGGATTCTTGATTCTCGACGTCATGCACTATGGAAGCCGTTCTGAAGCAGCCAGGGGGTGATTCTAAATGAGCCAAAAAGCAGAGACAGGACCAATTGTCAAAATTTTGGTGTCAATCATTCGATTTCATCCTGGACACTACAGAAAATGGGCTTAAAGTGTTAAAAAGTGAACTTCTCCTTTAATTATTATGAAGCATTTATACTCTAGTCAGAAAGTAAAACATAATCTCACTTGAGGCATCTGAAAAAAGTAAAGGGTTTTGACGACTGATACAAAGAACACAAGCTGAATCTTTCAAGGAGTAAAACTGGAAACAGATTCCAGCCTAAAATATATTGTCCTAACATGTCAAGTATTAACTTTATTGTATTTTAGAACAATACATGCGGGTAACTGTTTTTTTTTTTGTGTGTGTCCTGTTTTGTCAATAAGGCTCTGGGAATAGATGTCCCAGAGTTAGCCGGTAGCCCAGCAGCTGTGCTTTCACAAGGAGACAATCATGACAGTTGCCATAAAGTTCCACTTGATACTTGTTTATGAAACTTTATTTAACATTATTTATGGAGTAAAATCCTATACAACGGACACGGGGAGGGAGGTGAGAAAGCACAAGGGCATAAGAACTAAGAGGAGAGAGAAACAGAGATAGAGACAGGAAAGAGTGTATGAAAAAAAACTAAACTGCAAAAATGGACAAAGCAGAAGATACACCGTAATTCCTAGAAGTCTGCTTCCATACCTGTATGATAGGAGAGGAACAGATGTCCCCAATGTGGCTCTTATCTTTCCACAGAGATAAAAGGCAGCGTCCTAAAGGAACCGACTCACGGCAGGGCCCCCTGGCAACTGAAAGAATGCGCCTAACGGCAGAGTTCTTTGGCACGCATGGCCTCTGCCAATCCTTCCCATGTCCAGCCCTCTCCCCCATGTTTGTGATGTATTTGATGAACGGTTTGTACTGAAACTGAAATCTCTGTAACTCAAAATGTATTTTACAATAAAAATTGATTGATTGATTGAATGAGAAAACAGGGAACATAACATAGCAACAGCAAAAAGAAGGCAACAGACAACCAAAGTAAAAAAAATAAATAAAAAATAAAAAGCTTCCAGAGCAGTGGGTATCCCTTAGATATCCATGTGTGTGAAAGGTAAAACCTATGGTAATTACACAATATTGGTATATATCTGTAGTTTGACTCCAAGAGTTTCTGCAGCCTGACTCCAGAGGGGCAAAACCCCAAAAGGGCACAGTCCCTGAGGGGCCCAACTCCAGAGGCCATAGGGCCGAGGTCCCTGAGGGCCACAGCAGTGAGCTGATGGACTGCAAGTTGGACCTGGATGAGAGCCAACGGGGCTGAGTTCTGGGAGCGCCCTAGTGGGGACCCCACAGGACCAGAGGGCCCAGGCCTGGTCTTCTGTCAGATCAGCATAACCCGTCAGAGCAGCACACCCATAGTCAATATGCAAGCGCAAGACAGGCCCTGCTCATTATTACGTCCTAGGATGTTCAGTAGGTAGGGGGCAGAAAAACACCCAACCTTACAAGTAGACAAAAGCAACTTCACATTCATCCAGGCACATTCACACAATCCTACCCTTACAACCATACAAACATAAACAAGAACTTAACAGAGACACACACAGAGGCAGACATTAAACTCATTCTTACTATTCTCATACATACACTATCCTCCCGGGTCTGGGGGCCCAATCCCCCTGGAAAGAACAGGCCCACCGGCCCAGGAGGAGATCTTTAAGTATTAAAGCACCCCTAATCTGATACACATGGAATATACAAAATAGGGCACATTATACAGTGAGAGATACTCATACTGCATAAACATGAAAACCTGCATAATTTTCATTAAATGTGCTCCAGTTTTTTTTTACTTTTGATCAAAAAACAAAGAGTTTTCAAAATACACAAACTTGTGTAACAAGTTTAAAAATGCATTATAAAAGACAACAATATTCAACACAAGCCATTAGATTGGTTTATTGTACTATCCTTAAATTTAAGTGCTCTATAAGGTTACATTTTTCAGTGTTTGATATTCACAGTGGATGTCACCTCTCAAAGTGCCTTTTTGTTTTTTCATAAATCTCTTCATGGCTGCCGCTGTCTAATTTCCTCAGTGTCTGTTTAATTGCATTCAGAAGCAGCCCTCTGGTGAAATATATCCAATAGTGACTTGAAGAGATAAGCAAGCATATTTCCTTTCTCACACTTTCTAAATTTCTAGCCATAGTATTCGTTTTTTTTCTTCCGTTTTTTTGTTGCAAAATGAAGCATTTGCAACAAAGTGACACTCAGACTCACCATCTTCTTCTCAAGTTCTTCAGCTAGGAGTTTGTTCTGCATGCTTTTCTCCTCGACCTCCAGGCTTTTTTTGGTCGTAGTTTACAGCCAGCTCCTCCAGTGCCTGAAGCACCTCCTTCACCTCAGTCTTAGAGGATTCATTTTCTGCCTGCAGCCTGCCCAGCTCTGAATGCACCCTCTCACTGTCTCCTCTGGATGAAGCTAAAAGCTGAAAGGCAAAAAGGTTCTGTTATATATAAGTTGCATTAAAAATAAAATAATATATAAAAATAGGAATAAACTACTGCAAAGGAGGACTGCCTTTAATACTAGAAGACTATTTTACATGCTTAAGAAAGAGATAGATGTCTTTAAAAGACTGCAGTGCAATGCAGCTGTACAAATGACGGTCATTTAAAATGCACACATTACATTGTCACTACAAAGAAAGAGGTGATTCTATTTTTCCTCTAGTCTTTGCTCTTCTGCTGCAGCCCTCTGAGAGTCATAACCCTGAATAAGCTGTCACTTAGTGTAGATGCAGCTCCTACTGGGTTTGCAGTGTATTTACAAAAGCACAAAGCCTTTGCTTTAACAAATGAGTTGCACTGCAACATATCTGGTGTTGTAGTTATGATTATGTCAACTCAGCCACAGCAGGCTCGTTATGGGGCATGAATGAAATGATGGTTCCTTCTTTCATGTAATGCAATATTCATTAAACCATACTTTAAATGCATTGTTTCAGTTGTGTATGAATATTTTCATTGTTATTGTTAGTATTCAATACAGCATTGACACCTTAAACAATTAACTTATGGCCAAGAACTGTTCCTTTTTAAATAAGGCTGTTAGTGAAATTATTTCTTGGTGTTAATTAAGTTTCTACAGGTAATTCAAAAGGCTTGTAATGTGGAGACCAAAAAAATATGCAGTCTGAATCTCTGGCAAAAGCAACTGCTTCATGATGTTGAAATAGAAACTGTATCATAATTGTCACCTAGGTAACATGCCGCAAGCCTACGTACATTTATGCAGTGTCACTGTTAGTTTAGTTTATTATTTATTTATTACTTATTATTTATTATTAGTTTATCTAACATCGACAATGTACATAAAAAAAAACATTAAAAGAGATGATTTGCACCACATTTAGCTAAAGCTAAAACACCTAATATGAGTTTTAACCCGTATATAAATGCCTAAATTCTGTACAAAAGAATTTTCGCTGCTTCTCCTCCTTTTTTTTCATGTTTTATGTATTGAACTTGATGTTTTCATATATTATGCTGTAGCCAGAATATTGTGGGATATTAAAAAAATCAGGACATATTAATTCCTTTTATTTAAAATGTGACAAGCAACAATTTGTTGTAAATACATACGTTTTTAACCGTTTAAGGAATTTACTTCTGTAAATGTTTGGCCAGAAAATTTCTAAAAGGCTATACAATATTTTAGAAATTATTTCCAGTGTTTTACTTGGCAGTAAAAAGTTCTATTGGCGGAAAAGCATTTAAGTCAAGCACATTTTGTATCTAAACGAAGAAAGAGCTCTGGGGAGTTTATAACAAGCGTTGGTGTTTTATTTGTGTTTGCACTAATTGAACAACGCTCTGCTTTATACTTCATTTAGCATAAATACACTTACTGATCAGCTCCCGCTGTCTAATTAACTCAAACTCCTTTTTGGCAGCGGAAATATGTTTTATTTCCAGCTTGCTCATCTCAAGGGCAGAACGGTAAACCCTTTCACAGCTGATTTCTGTTTTAACTGTGATTCATGTTGGCACTTTTGCAGGAGCTTTGCCCTACTGTGAGCTGTTTAACCAAAATCATGAAAGGATGTAAATACCAAGATCTTTTACCTCCTCCTGGTCAAGCATCTGCTCCTTTAGCTTCTCCACCATCTGGCTCTGGTGGTTGATCTCGTCATCCTTCAGTGGAATTGAAACAGTTAATAATGTATTTATGACTGTATACCAGCATTATCTAAGTTCTGTCTGTGATCACAAACTTTCCTTTACGACCTACTTAAAATGACTCTTTAGACCATGCAATCAATTATAAAAATCAGATTTAAAAAACAGTTGTTTCTGTCTCAACATTTATTCAAAAATGTAAAGACAAATCCCACACACACACACACACACACACACACACACACACACACACACACACACACTAACACAGAATCATTTCATTTCAGGAAAAAGTTGGGGTTATTTTTTTGCACATAATACAATTCATGGTAGAATACAGTTGTTACAAAGAAACGAAACTTTTTCGCCATCTTTAGGGTGAATTTAAGCGTTACTACTGCAGATTTTTTCAAGGTCTCAAGTTTTCCTTGCAACTTAAGCTGCTTTGTTCAAGTCCTGTTCTTGGACATTGCATCAAATGGGACAATGTGGGCAGAGTAAGAAAAGAGAAAACAACCTACAGTAGAAGGTATCTAAAGCAGTACATTTTTTTTATCAATTTGAAAAAGGCCACACAAAAACAACATTCAAAAGAAACCTGACTCAGAAACTTTGATTTATCTTTTAGCGAATCATCAACTGTATTCGACATTTTCTGCAGATAGTGTTTTGAGAATCTCCTTGTAGGTGCCACATAAGAATGGTTTATCTAAAGTTGCATAAAGGAACTGTTTACAATCTCTGATTGAAAACAGTTCCTGGCTCATCCTGGCTCAACAGAACACTGGCTCATCCTGTCAGTTTAGAACAGGGGCCTGCAACCTGCGGCTCCGGAGCCACATATGGCTCTTTGGACCCTCTCCAGCGGCTCTTAATAGTGGCTAAAATGTATATAAAGAGCTAAATAATTGACTATAATATATACCGGTATCAATAGCTTTAGCATTTTTTATAAGATGGAAAAGAATTAGATTAAAAGAACCAGAAATATGTTTTAAGAGACATTTTTCTATGAATTAGCTTGAAATTTATACGTTTTAACATAAAAAATAGATGAATTGATTGTTTGAGATGGCAACAACTAATTTCCTATACAAGATAAAAAAAAAAAAAAAGGTTTTCTAGATAAAGTCATGGTATATTTTGTGGCTCTAAACAACTTTTATTTGGTCGTACTCTGGGCAAAACGGCTCTTTGGATATGAAAGGTTGCAGACCCCTGGTTTAGAACCATTTTAAAACTATTTTAAAACCATTGATATTCATAGATTACAGTCAAGTGGCTTGATGAAAAAAATACTCATTCAACTTAAGTAGCCATTTGCTGAAAAAAAGTGTAGCACCCAACCCAAGTAGTTAGGCATTAACTCTGTATTAATGTTATGGTACTACTATAGGTGGGGCCCTGGGTACGCTACTTACAACTAATATTGTTAAACAGGAGAAATAATAGTAAATAGTCTTTTAACTGTATGTAGTAATTTAGAGTTTTTGATATTGACGGTGCCTCCACTTAGCAGGATTTATATATGCAACTCTGTATTTAAACCCACTAAGAATAATGAATTTATCTTTTAACCCCTTTAATCTTTCCTTTTTTATCCTTGAATGCAACCATTACTTTTAAACCTTGGTAAATAATTATGACACAACACAAATAAATTTAAATATATGGATAAATTTTAGTAAAAACTTAAATTATGATTCGGGAAAAAATAAAATAAAAGAGAAAATGTTGAAAAGAAAGTGTCCAAGTTTTTTTTTTAAGTGTCTCAGTACACTTACAATACTTCAAATGTCTTCACAGACTCAAAATAACAATTTAGAAAATGATATTCTATAAATTTCTTCCCTTAACCAGTCCAGATATGTAATTTATCTGTGCTCAGATTTAATAAACCGTTGCAGGCCTGGTTGTTGCTTGGGTTCGTTGGGACCAGAAAACAGAAAAAGGCCGCTTCACTTGTTGAACAAGCAGAAAATAAAATGCACGTGCTTACTCACAAAATCCTTTTGGAATAGGTACGAGATCTGATGGAGGTCAAGCCATGTCCATGCCAAACTGAAACTCTTCAACTTGGTTGGAGTTAGCTTCACACTCGAGAGTTGGAAGTACACCTTGAAGAAACTGCGACAGGTCTATCCACAGCAGAAGAGTCCAGAGAATTCCTCCCGGTCCATCATCAAAGGGTAAAACAGTCCAAAAACAGGAACGTAGACTCTGCATCCACGGCTATTTTTTTATGATTCTCCCCTTAGCTCTGATGAACAGCCTCCTCAGGCAAACCCAGTAACCGAGTGCTATAACCTAGATCCCGCCCTCTAACACATCTGATTGGATATTCAGTTTACATCATCCAATGTGATCAGAGAAATTACAAGATTGACAACTTAACAAGTCAGGTTGTAAACAAGATTCAAGGCAAACAAACTTAAGGCAACATTAACATTAGTATTCAACAATTAAATTGACAAAAAAACAAAAAACCTGTTGTTTGGATTTAAACTATTTATGAACACTTTTTAATAATTGATGAACTTTTATTTATTGTTATTTTAAACAGATTTTAAACACATTTTAACTTGATTTTTAATATATTTAACCTAGTAGTCTGAAATAGATTTTTTTTTTTTAGACCAGGCTACATCCTCCCCCTTCTAAAAGGTTTAGATGTCCTCATCTAACTCCAAGTTTAAACTTAGATCCAGAGGGATGAGTCTTATAATGTTTAGAACATTTTAAAGGATTTGTTTCATCTCTAGTGTTACTGAGGTTGACTTGTATTACCATTCCTTGGTGCACAATTGTCACAGGTTCCTCAGTTTGTGTTCCAGGTTTGTCATAAGTCAAACGGATGACTGGTTTCACTTCTCGCGCTGACTTTCTGGTTTTGGGACTTGTGCGAGTTCTCAACTCCACTTCGGCATCTTCAGATGTATCACTGGCTTCTGGTTCTAAAATTGAAGGTTGACATTCCTCTCGTGAACTTTCAGATGGTCCTTCCTTAAACTCAGGTTCACTCTCAGGTGAGGAAGACTCTTCAGAAGAAGCAGGTTGGACATCAGGTCTGCCTAGTATAGGTACATGTCTCCTGACATGGTCAGTGTTTTTGGTTTGATACTCATACGCATATTCATACTCAGATTCTGAGACTGAAGAAGCATTCGATTTTTGAGCATTTCGGTCACGTGTTTGACTTTGTAGAGCATGTTGTCGTCTAGTAACCGGTAATCTGACTCTTTCAGGTATTTCTAAGGTCTCTGAGATTCGGACGAGATAACCGATAGGTAGTAGATAATCTCTGTGTAGAGTTTTAACATTTCCAGTTCCTTGTTCTGATTTGACTTTGTATACCGGTAAGTTCGGTAACTTTTGAATTACAATGTATGGGGTTGATCTCCATCTGTCTTGTAGTTTGTGTTTACCAGTTAAACCAACGTTTCTTATCAGTACCCTGTCTCCTTCTTGCAAGGGTTGGTCTCGTACTCTTTGGTCATAACGGGACTTGTTTCTCCGGTGGTTCTTTGTTGCACTCTCGGTAGCTAGATGGTAAGCTTGTTTTAGTTCTTTTCTCATTTTGTCAACGTACTGCAAGTGAGTTTTCTCTGAATCACTTTCAAGAACCGCATTGAAACAAAGGTCAATCGGCAACCTAGCATTGCGTCCAAACATTAAATAGTAGGGAGAATATCCGGTAGATTCATTTTTCGTGCAGTTATACGCATGTACTAACTGACTAATATGTTGACTCCAATTTTGTTTTTTAACATCCTCAAGAGTTCCAAGCATCGAAAGAAGCGTTCTGTTGAAACGTTCCGGTTGGGCATCCCCTTGTGGATGGTAAGGTGAGGTGCGTGATTTTCGGATACCAAGCATCAACAGAAGCTCTTTGATAAGGCGGCTTTCAAAGTCTCTGCCTTGATCTGAATGTATTCTGGCGGGCAGTCCGTAGTGAACAAAGTATTTCTCCCACAATACTTTTGCAACTGTGACTGACTTTTGATCCTTTGTAGGGAACGCTTGAGCGTACCTTGTGTAATGATCAGTTACTACTAGTACATTGGCAACTCCTTTGCTGTCTGGCTCTATTTGTAGGAAATCAATACAAACTAGATCTAAGGGGCCATTACTAGTGATTTGATTGAGTGGAGACGAACGTTGTGGTAGTGTTTTTCGGGCGATACAACGTCCACAAGTTTTTATATACTGTTCCACATCGGTGTTCATTCTAGGCCAGTAGAAACGATCTTTGAGCAATTCTGTCATTTTCTCAATGCCTAAATGTCCACAGTCATCATGTAACGATCTCATTACACTTGTTCTGTATCTTTCTGGTAGAACCAGTTGTTTATTCACTGTGCCATTGGGCATTTTTCTTTGTCTGTAAAGTATTTGGTTGTCCAACTCAAGTTTTGAGCTCTCTCGACTTAACAATGTCACATCAGGTGGATAATTTTTGGATGAAATAAGCTGCTCTCCAGTTTGGATGGTTTGTTTAACTGGACCAATAATTGGGTCAAGATCTTGAGCAACTTGCAAGTCTTTAGAAGTAAACTGCTCATACAAAGTTGCTCTCAGACTCACTGGAAAAACGTAAGCTTCCGGAATCACTGATGGAGGGACACCAAGTTGGTCTACTAGCTTATTAGTTCCATTAATGGATTCCTTTTTACAGATGGCTTTTATGGCAGATTGCGGCACATCTAACCATTGTTCAGTTTCATTTGTGTACTGCCGAGATAATAGATCTGCGTCTACGTTGTGACGACCAGGACGATACTGGATGTTGAAGTCATATGTAGCTAAAGCTGCAAGCCAACGATGTCCAACAGCATTTAGTTTTGCTGTTGTCAACACGTATGTTAAAGGATTGTTGTCCGTTCTAACTGTGAACTTAACTCCATAGAGGTAGTCGTGAAATTTATCAACGACAGCCCACTTCAGCGCTAGGAACTCAAGTTGATGAACAGGATAGTTTCGTTCTGAGTCACTGAGTTTTCGACTAGCGAAGGCAA